TTTTTATCGGAATAATTCCCACGGTGTACCATATTGATCGTATGAGTAGATTATCATATTTTATTCTAAGTCCCATGGGTATGGTATATATATCAATTGCTGCATAGATATATACAAGGTTATGTAGTCTAGTGGTAAGTAATGCTCAAATGTGTGAGAATTGATTATGGGATTGCAGCTGAGCTTGCGTGGTCGGGAGTCGTGAGTTCAAACCAGGCAAGTGGCAAAGATTAGTGGATTTCTTTTTTTCTTTTTTTGACAAAATAAAAACTTGAATATGACAATGAATTTGGATCAGACAATGATTATCACCCCAACATTAAATTCATTGTTTGTCAATGAGCGATTCAGTGTCGCACAGCGGCACTGATTTACATCAACTGTCAATTAATTTCCTAGCTTTCAGCACTGATCATAAAGGTCTTTGGTTTTGATATTCATTGTCTCCACTACCCTCAGTATACGCAGCATTACACACTCAGCTAAAATGGCAGACTCCACTCGATGAGCATTTTCAACTTTTAGATTTGAATGAACACCTCACTGAGGACTTCGCCCTCTGCCTAACCACAAATAAGGTTTCAGCCGACGCAGGCGGCAGTTCCCAAGTATACATATATACAACTAGAAAGCCCAAAGCCATCATAACATGCACTCGCCCCCACCGCCACTGTCTGCTTACCCCCAGGTTCCACCTCCTTAATCATCTCAGCAGACTTGCCACCAGAAAAGAAACTAGCTCTGAACATATGTGTTGACGCACTAGCATTAGCTAGAATTATGATCTTGCTGAAGAGAAAAAATCAGCGAAAAGGGCTACAATCATGACTCTTGAGTTGAAACATACGTAGGCGATGCTGAAAAGTGGCTTCAGCAACTGTGTCGAGTAACTCCGTTATCTCAGAACTGAAAGATAGCCCCAGCAGATAAGGCGGGGTCAACAAGTTCACAGTCTTCAAAAATCTATATCTTCGCACAGCAGTGCTCACAGCTTCCCTGACGGCAGCTGCATTCGAAGACGCCTTGAACTGCTCCAGAGCAGCGTCAATAGGGTTGACGCACTCCTGTTGGGCCTGAAGATGGCGTTGCTGGTCCCAAATATAGAACGAGCGTTCAAGAACAATGACAACAGCTAATTGAAGAAGAATAAGCAGGCTTCGTGCGATGCCTCCAAAAAAAACTCACCTGGAGCAAGATAGAGCATTGAATCCAATCTTGTTGAGCACCTGGACTCGGAGGCCTAGCACATATTCAGCATGAGAACAGTGGGGACAGGCTGTGACTAATGGGACTTGCCAGAGAGTGTAGCCTGGACCAAATTTCGTTCTTTGAAAGGCGGTAAGGCTGATAAAATCATGATAGAGAGTCAAAATTGGTTCATATCAACTGAGAATAAATACGCTCACGCCCTGTCAACCCGGATCAGCGGTGTACTCGGTCAGCAAGGCTGAAGTTCGATGGAGGATAAACAACTTGCCGACTGTCAATGCACCAGCGATTTCTACGGTTAGCAGATTCAAGCTCGAATGAGATCAACAAACTTACAAACTATCAACGGGCGAGCAGTTTCTTCGGTCAGCAAGGCTTGTGCTCCACAAAGGATCGACACACTCACAATCTGTCAACAGATGAGTAAATTATTCGGTCAGCAAGGCTCGAGCTTGACGGAGCATCGACAGACTCACATCCTGTCAACGGGCCCAGATTGCCTTCGGTCAGAGCAATAGTCGAGCTCGGGGGAGGATCAAAACACCCACATGCTGTCAACAGGTCAGTAACCCCTTCAGTCAGCAAGGTTCGGGCTCAACGAAGGATCAAGACACTCACTCGCTATCATTAAATAGCAATAAAATCGTCATTCAGCAAGGCTCGAGCTTAAATGATGGTCAACACACTCACTCGCTGTCAATGGATCAATAGTGTCTTCGGTCAGCGAGTTTGAGCTCGACGAAATATCAACGCACTTACAAGCTGTCAGTGCATCAGCGATTTCTACAGTCAGCAGGATCAAGCTCAACGGAGGATCAAGATACTTACTCGCTGTCATTAGATAGAAATATAGTCACTCAGCAAAGCTTGAGCTCAAATGATGGTTACACTCACTGCCTGTCAATGGATCAACAATGTCTTCAGTCAGTGAGATCGAGCTCGACGGAATATCAACGTACTCACACGCTAACAATAGATCAGCAATGTCTTCGGTCAGCGAGACTCGAAGTCGATGGAAGATCAACGTGCTCACAATCTATCAACAGATCAGCAAGACCCGAGCTCGAGGGAGGATCAACACACTCACTATCTGTCAATGAATCATGGACATCTTCAGTCAGCGAGGCTCGAGTTCGACAAAGGATCAACACATTCACCAGCTGTCAATGGATCAGGGATGTCTTCGGTCAGCAAGGGTCGAGTTCGACAGAGGATCCACACTCACTTTCTGTCAATAGATGAATAAAGTCATTCAGTCAGTAAGGCTCGAGCTCTACAGAGGATCAACACACTCACATCCTGTCAATAGATCAGTGATGCCTCTGGTCAGAAAGGTTTGAGCTTTACAGATGGGCAACACACTCACCCACTTTCAACGGATCAACAATGACTTCGATTAGGAACTCTCAAGCTCGAAGGAGGATCAACACACTCACATACTAACAACAAATCAGCCATGTCTTCGGTCAGGCAGGCTCTAGCTCGAAGGAGGATCAACACACTCACTTTCTGTGAACAAATCAGCAATTTCTTCTGTTAGGAAGGCTCAAGCTCGGAGGAGGATCAACACACTCACTTCCTATCAAAAAATCAGAAATGTCTTCGGTGAGCATGTCACTAGTATGGAGGATCAACATACTTACAGCCTATCAAAAAATCAGGAATGTCTTCGTGAGCATGTCACTAGTAGGGAGGATCAATACACTCACTTCCTGCGAACAAATCAGCAATTTCTTCGGTTAGGAAGGTTCGAACTTGAAGGAGGATGATCAACACACTCACCATCTATCAACAATTCGGGAATGTCTTCAGTGAGCATGTCACTAGGTAGGGAGGATCAACAGACTTACTGCCTGTAAATGGGATCAGCAATGTCTTCTATCGGGATGGCTCAAGCTTGAAGGAAAATAAATACACTCACTCGCTGTTAATGGATTAGCAATGTCTGCAGTCAGCAAGACTCGAGCTCGACAGGAGACCAACACTCACAGCCTGTATCAGCAATTTCTTCTGTTAGCAGGGCTCGAGCGCGACAGAGGATCAACACACTCACATTCTTCAATAGATCAGCAGTGTCCTCAGTCAGCAAGAGTTTTGTTCGATGGACGATGAACACACTCACAAACATAAACGAGCTCTTGTGCTGCCAACATTTCAGCAATGTCTTTGCTCGGCAAGGTATAAGATACTCACTTGCTGTTAATGGATCAGCAATGTCTTCGCTCAGCATGCCACTGGTAGGGAGGATCAACTGACGTACGTTCTGAAACCGACCACCCAAGATAAATGACAGCATTTTTGAACACTCTGTTAACTCACCGAAATGTGTGGGAACCATTGAACTAAATCATTCACAAACTCCTCTTCCCGATAAAATCTTCCATCTTCCTCTATCTCCGCCCCCACGTTGCTACAGACATTGAGATGATATGAGCTGTAACTCCTCGCCACAGATAGTGTGATTCAAGAGTTACCTTTTTATCGCATATATCATACACAGCTTCAAATTAGTCTGCTGAGTTGAGACGAACAGCTGCTTGAGTACACGATCATCCAGAATTTCGGCCGTGCGTTCAATGAGTGGCCCGCAGTCTGCATCGTCCTTGGCCATGTCTAAATGTCGAGCCAAAATAAGCAACAGATTAAGTACCGATGCACTGATTCACTGGCTTACCAGGAAGGCATACATGACATTTTGGAGGACGTCGGTTGCCCTCGCAGTTGTACAACATCTTCACCTGTGGCCCATTGTCAAAGGATTCTCTGGCTTGCTGCGAAGCCAGCGCTTGAGCATCTTTCCTCGATACTCCCTTACTTGTGAGCTCTACAAATTCATCATCGTAGAGGGCATCGAATTTAGTAAATAGCACAATTACTGGAACTGAGGATTGCGAATGAGTTGATCATAAATCATGGCAAACCCAAAGACTTACTGCTTCCAGTGTCACACTCAGAGAAAAACTTGATTTCCGCTTCTGTGAAACACCTGCTCTCCTCGTCCATTGGAATGCAGTACCTGTGCCCCAAAAAACTGAGCTAGCACCTCTCACCGACTGAAGGACCAATTACCATATGACATGGATTCGATCTTTTAAATTTACTTTCTCTGAACAGTTTAGAATAAAGGCCTTCACCTTTCCGAATTCGGATTGTCCTCCAGCCTCAAACCCGCATGAATCGTGGAAGACGAATCTTGGGTTGGTTCAAAACACCATTTCATTCTCGATGTCGTGCAACCCTCGCTGAGAACACATCAACTAAGTCACATTATCAATCAACGCCACACCCTACCTCTCTCGATGCCTTCGACGACGGAGGGGTTTTGATCTGGTCTCGATGGGTCAATCATCCTTATACTAGGATCATGCTCCGCACCTTCTTCCCTTTTCTGTTGTATACCTGTGGGTCCTCATTTGTCTTGCAAACCCTCTGGAGGATGGTAGTTTTCCCTGCATTCGCTCTTCCTATAATGAGGATTCGGAAGCGATTGAATTTCTGTCTTCATTGTGAAGGGTCCATGGAAGAACGTGGTGGTATGTGTTGAGAGAAAGTGAACTCTGTGAGCGCCCGAGACGCAACTGGGTCGCAGCACTCTTATAAGTAACGGTGTCTGCCTTAGTCACTAGGCGGACCTATAGAAGAACAAGGACAATAACGTAGCATGTTAGCAAACATTGATGGTGCTCATTATATCTGGCACGTAAGCGGTTGTTTTGATGGTAGCAGTATGCTTCGAGATGGAATGACCCAGTTGTCTCCAACCTTTACTAAAATAAGTATACAATGATTCTAGTGTCTAGGAGCGCACACATGATTTGTCTCCGTTGCGAGAAAGGTACGGCCTGACGTGGGATATTCGTGGTTCCAATTACGGCCACTTCCCAATTGGCTGCGGTGGTAGCACGAGACCCATGACAAGGACAGGGTGATTTGGGCGGGGCAATGCGATGCGATGCGATGCGAAGCAGCACGGCATGACGGCATGTGGATTCAGAGACTTTTGTTCCTATAGAAATTGTCATGGGTCAGGACTCTGGACCAGGAGGTTAATGGGTCTCACGAGCGAATGAAACAGCCAGCGGCACTGCAGCTAAGGGGAAGAAGCACAAGACTCGAGCCCATCGACTTTGGGTGCAGTGAGTGTTGTCTTTCCGTCCCTGGCATGATCATGATGAACCCTTGATGTCAGTTTGTTTTTACCATGCCAGCAGACCCCTCCGTAGGATAAGAACAGGACCCATTGAGAGTATTCTAAGGCAATAAAGATCATTCAGTGGCAGAACACCATATGCAGGAAATGCGACAGCACCCCACTGTTCAAGGTCAATCTTGTTTTTTGCAGACGCAAGGGAGTCATGAGCTTTGTGGTTTAGATGACAGCCTCATGATAGACAGCATCAAACTGATCAGGCAAACGTTCTACTTGTTGACGGTCTCTGAAAAAAATCGATTGTGGCCTCTACACAGTGGTTCGTCTCCTGTCTAAATAGCCAAACCCCAGTTTGTGCTTAGCTGAAAAGCACCCCTCTCGTGCCTACAAAGCCCGTAGCTCTCCATTCAGTGAGGAATGGTATGCATTTGAAAAACCACCTCGGCGTCTCTCGTTTCCTTGTAGTCTGGCCAACTGAGTTTCTTAGCATCTTGAACGAGAGCAGTGAAAAAGCACCGTCGTTGGACGACAAAGTCCAACGAAGTGACTGTGCCCGACCTGGTGGCCAGTAAGGATAGAAAAGCTGAATCACCTGATGTAGACGGCACAAAGGGCTCGATGCAAAGGTGACTAGTACTTGTGAGGGGATGCAAAAACGGAGTAACTATCGTGGTTGGTAGGAAGAAGTGACTGACATACGGTCCGGGCCCAATCCGGGCCGTAGTATAGCACAACAGATCTGCGCGGAAGCCAACTAGTTGTTTGCACTTAAGTAGTATCTGCTATCTTGCCTTCACATTTAGCATGGACGCTGTTGAAAAAGCCAATACAGAGAGACAAAGACGATGGTAAGCTCCTTTCTGCAGGTTTCATCCAGTAAAATCCATCACGCTGCAGGGTAAAAGACCGGAAAGTTGGTGAAGGTACATACGCTGTCGTGTACCAAGGTGAGGTAGCTCATGTGCTAGGCGACAAGTCTCTTTTTAACTCTTATCAGGTCGAGAGGCATCAACAAGCCGTAAGGTCGCCATTAAGAAGATAAAAGTTGGACAATTCAAAGATGGGCTCGACATGTCTGCCATTCGAGAGGTCAAATATCTACGAGAGCTTCACCACCAGAATGTCATCGAGGTCCGTCGCAAATCTCCTTTTCACTTTAATGAACGCTGAACATCTGTCTTGCAGCTTCTGGATGTCTTCTCTTCAAAAACGAATCTTAACCTGGTGCTGGAGTTCTTGGACAGCGACCTTGAGATGATAATTCAGGACCGGTCGCTTGTCTTCCTTCCCGCCGATATCAAGGCATGGATGGCGATGACTTTGCGTGGCCTGGAATTTTGCCACAGAAATTTTATGCTTCACCGAGTATGTTCCAAGCTTCTCACAACCTTTCACTACTCATGGCGTGTTGCAGGATCTGAAGCCCAACAATTTGCTCATTGCGTCCGACGGACAACTCAAAATCGCTGATTTCGGTCTAGCAAGAGATTTTGCAGATCCGGGGCATAAAATGACGTGTCAAGTCATCACTCGGTGCGTGCGTTGATGTTACCGGTTTGTTCTTACTCCTCAACGAGCGCAGATGGTACCGACCACCAGAACTGCTGTTTGGCTGTCGGTACTATAGCTCTGCGGTCGACATATGGTCCGTAGGCTGCATTTTCGCCGAGCTCATGTTGAGAACGCCATACCTTCCCGGTGAGAGCGACATGGACCAACTCAAAACCATTTTCCGGGCTCTGGGAACGCCCACAGAAGAGGACTGGCCGGTGTGTATTTGGACGAGACTATCTATGTCTTACTTGTGTCTCATATCTCGCAAAGGGCCACACCAAACTACCAGATTACGTGCCAGTCGGACAGTTTCCAAGAACGCCCCTTCGCGACCTCTTCACCGCCGCGTCTGGAGATACGCTGAATCTTCTTAGCAGGTTCCTTGTGTATGAGCCACGAAGGCGCATAAGCGCAAGGGACGCTCTTAACCACGCCTACTTTTTCGCCCTGCCACACCCGTCACATCCCTCCAAGCTCCCCAAACCCGTTGTTCAAACCTCCCGTCCCCTCGAAGAACTTGATGGTAATGTTGACATGGCTGGCGCCGGGCCAGGCGTCAAAGCCGCTGCACCCAATAAACTTAAACGAAAACTGACTTCCCCCGATGGCACCGACCTGAGACCACTCGCTCGCAGATTAGACTTTTCTCAACTTGCAAAACACTCATGATCACTCGGTATTGACAACCAATGACACCTCCGTTCCGCACCTTCATCGGTTGTGTACATAACGACTAAGCTAGAGAGGCGTTGTATGAAATAAGGGAATATGTATGAACTCAGACTTGGTAGTGGATAAAAACAAACACTAGTGGTACGGGACAACCCATGGATGGGACAACAAGCTGATGGTTACAAGTGACGAAAAAGTACCGCGGTAACGCTATGCAACTTTCATTCTGACCCCAACGCCATCCCTTGCTCCTGAAGTGGAGCACATACACGACTTAGTTCTCCGTGCCGCCGCTTTCTTCTGAACTCAGTCCATCGTATCCCGAGCAGTGTCACAAACTGTACACTTGGTCGCGCTGGTAGGTACGTTCAGCATGCAAAGGGAACAAGTCCACGTATCCGCGGATGAACCTGGGACTTTCAACCCTGCAGCAGACCAGTCAAACACTGCAGGAACCGGGGCAGATGCCGCGCCAGGACGGGCCGCGTCACAGACAGTGCATTTGAGTTTCGCACTGTCTGGATTAGAAAGCATGCAAGTATCGCATTGCCAAGTCCCAACGGGTTTTGAAGGAACTTTGATAGCAGTTTTTGACCAGTCGAATATCTTCTGAGGAGGCACATCTGCAGGCTTGGGGGCACCACCTGACCTCGGTGCATCGCAAATTGTGCACTTATCCTTGGCGCTGTCAGGATTCTCCAGCATGCATATGTCGCATGACCAAACACCAGAGGTAGCAGCAGTAGGTGCTTTCATGCCTGCTGCGGTCCAGTTGAACCCATTTGTGGATGGTGCTACCGGTTTGAACTCGAAGGTAGGAAGGGAGAGCAGAGACATGCTTGCAGCTGCGATGCGAGCTTTGACGTGGCTGGGCCCAGGGGGATAGGCAGCCTCAGCAAGCTTGAGGCTATACTTTGGCAGTTCATCGACATCCATAGCCGCCACAACTTCCTTAGGGGGCAGCTTCGCCTTTGGGGATGTGGTCTGAGGGAGGTAACGGGATGCCAGTAACGGTGCCGGCGGTGCCTCAGACATAGGTTCCTCCTCAGCTGACGCAGTCTCCTTATCAGCGTAGTAACTGTACCGCAACTTGGATGGTTCCCTAGGAGCCGACGTCTTGGCTACAAATGCATTCTTCGTCGACGAAGGCGAAAAGGGAGCATGTGAGGGGAACGGCGAAGCGCTTGGCGTGGTGAGTGACGAGGGGGCGTCTTCAGTTGGCTCGATAATCTCGGTAGGCCGCATAAAGACCGTAGATTTGTCCTGAATCATCTCCACATCCTCCACCTTTTCCACAGATAGCATAACGGGAGCAGGTTTCGTGGTCTTTCGCTTCTTCGTAGGGCTTTCGTCCTGGTCTGAGACTTCTTCGGGAGTAATTGTTGGTTTTGCGATCTTGCTGTGGCCGTTGGTCATCGGGACATATGTGTCCTGAGCTTCGCGGGTTGGTTTCTCTTGCCTCTCCATATCTGGCGGAGGCCTTGCGCGCTTGCTTCCCTGGAATCGACATTAGTATGGCCCCTTGGACCTGAATCACCAATTCTCACTGACCTTCGGCACTGTGGCTTCAATAATCGCTTGCACGGTCATTTCTGGCTCCTTCTGCTTCTCTTTCTTCTCTGCTGGAGGGCGCGAACGTCTTGCGGGAGCCTTCCTAGCGGGCATCTTCACAGGACTCGCAGTCTGGTATGGGTTCGCCACGTCAGGTTTCTTAAGGGGAGTGACTTCTTTAATGAGCCCCGTCATATAGTTTGCAGCGCGCGTGGGTCGTGTTGGAGGCTGTGGTGGTGAGTCGTTCTGCTTCCACGTTTGTCGTAAAGGTGAAGGTACGGCTGGGGTCGTGGGCTTTACAGAAAGGCCCGCCGTTGTGCGTAAACGAGGCGTGGCTGTTCCATTCGCTTTCGGCGTAACAACAGGCGCCGGAGCCAATGTCGATGCAGACACTGGTGAAACTGTAGTCTTTCCGTTGACTGCAGGTCCAGAACAGGTGGGAGAAGTAGAGTTTGAAGTCGGGAAATCAATTGTAGACGTCGGTACTGGGGACGCAGACTTCTGTGCAGTCGAAGACTCAGCTTCATTGCCAACACGGCGACGTTTGCCGTCGGTTGCGGAAGGCGTCCGTATAGGAGATAGCTCAATACGAGGGCCTTGAGGCCGTGACCCAAACCCAGGCGATCGATATCGGTTACGTGGACGGGCACTACCCGCACCCTGCCAGCGCAATATGCCGTTAGGATTGCGCGAAAGCGTCTTCTTCGGGGCATGTGCGTCGCCTGATGCACCGTTTGGTGTCCCGAACCCATGGTTAGGAGAGGTTCCACGCGACGGAGATGTCGAGAACCGGAATGGCTCCGGTTTGTCTGCTGTTTGAGTTTGAGCGCACGCTTATACAGCATGCTGGGAGCAAGAAAATTCGTACCTTGCACGTTCTTCTGGATGTAGTCCACAATGCCAGCTGCCTCGAATTCGTTAAGAGGCCGCCCCGCTTTCTCGACAAGGAAACGAGTGACAGGCTCGAGGTTCTTAGCAAGCGACGGACTATGCTGCAAGTAGGGGGAAACATTGCTTTGGTGAGGTGGTGTGTTCAAACTATAAAGAGGCTGTCGGGTGGGCGTGACGGGTTGGGATGTCCGATTCGAAGGTCCCGGCTGTTGAGCATCCCAAGCAGGTGGGTAAACTAGTTCATCCGAAGGCTACTCCTCGTGAATCAATGCTATTAGACCAAACAAGAGACTACAAACCTCATGCCCTGGTGGTACATCACCAGGAGGAAGAGGGAGCACAAACTCAGGCTCAGAGTTCCGATCAAGTTGAACTCGACGAGCCGGTATACGAGGAGGCCCCTCCTGTTCCTGAACCTGCAAATCCTCGTCCTCGTCATTACTGGAGGACGAGGCATCTGTGCGCACCAGATCCTCAGCTCGATCATCCTCCTCCGTGCCACCGAATCGTAAGAAGCTCATTAAACCTGAAATGCTCCATAGCTTGGACGTCCAATGTCAGACAAAGTTCCAAATAGAAAACAATAGTATGCCGTGTGTGCTCACAGATTTTTTCGTTGGAACTGGCTTGGTGTGTCTTGTTGGCCGAGCGTAGGGAGATGAATGAGCAGTCCTCTTCGCCCGGCGGTCATTCCGTCTGTCCACGCTCATTCTCCTTAAATGGGCCTATAAATGTGCCAGCGAGTTAAGAAATTACAGGCCGTCTTGTGCTCGTCACAGAACGGGCGACCAGCGACTAGAAACAAAAAGAATAGAAGACGTTGAGGACAAGTTATAATGATTGGACTCACTTGGTGAGCAGACCTGGCACTTCCCGGTTTAGGGCCGGTCATTGTTCGCGACGAACCGTGACCTTGTCTTCTTGCACACAACGAGCACCCTACAGTGATTATTCTTTTCGTCAACATCTGTCGCGATGCCGAACAAGGTCGTCACGACACCATACCCGCTTGTCGACGCTGACCCACACGCCTTCCGCGTTGTGCGTTATTTCCGTTCTTCAGACTATGCAACTTGGGCCGCAGGAACTGCCGCATTCCCGGGTGCTTTGTATTTCTGGAGTACGCATCCTTGTTTCAGCCAGGACACTTTGTATTCAGCTGATATGGATTATCATTATGCTCAGATATGGCCGACCCCGCGAAAGTTAGTCTGCGGACCAGCCTTCGGCTCGGAGGCTTCCTTGGCTTCCTTGGTGGCTTCATGCTAGCATACCAACGCTCAAGTTGTGAGTTGCCCTGGTTTGCATAACTTGAGCAGCTTCATGATTTTCCCTGCTAGTCCGTTTCTGGGGCTGGTCAGAGAACAAACGAGAGGAGGACATGGATCTAGCCGAACTCTCCCAAAGGGCAGCTGAGGGAAAGCCTTTGTATGGCACATCCAGCCAGCCAGAGTGGGTGCAGGGAACTGCATACCGGAACTCTGCTTGGTCTCAATTGAAATTCCGTGAGTGTCACTGGAGTATATCAACTAGCGTTCTCTGGCTAAATCCATCAAAATCTGCAGACGCATTCCCCATGTACGAATATATATCACTAACGTCTCCAGTCCCTGACTCACAGTAATCATTATAGGTTCAACTTCGTGAACCATCAACATCACGGCACCGATCCCGCGAAATATGGTGTGAAGGAAAAGGAACTCTCAGATTAGATGTCGATACACCTTCCTGCTGGTTGTACTCTCATTGGGCCGAACCTATTTTGGCGCTTGAATATAATGGCCGCGTCGTTATCAACATTCCTGCCATGGTTTATCATTTGGTGACAAGTTTCTGGCTGTCGCGACACACCGATGACTGGAGCGTTGCCGACCACTCTATTGAATTCCTACCAGAGTGCAGTTATGGGCCCGAGGCATATATGCCGCGGTCTCCCGTGATATGACAGTCAATGAGACATGCGGCGATCGACACTAGATACAAGTCCGTCAATGAACAGCCATCCGTCGCCCATGCTCTTACAGATCCTATGCAAGTAACAAGGTAGAAGGGCGTGTTTTAGCAAACAAATATTTATTTGCGGGCCTGAGATGACCGAGCCATTCCCAGTACCATCAAAAGGGTTTCGCATCGTTGTAGAATGGCTCAGTCCTGCAACGAGTAGGAGGACAATTTACTTCTTGCCTTCTGTCTTCTTACCTTTCTTTCTCGGCCTCTCTACGTCACCTTCATCCTGGCCTTCACCTGGCGCAGCAGCAATCTGACCTTCCAGGGTTGCCTTTTGTTTTTCCTGTGTCATGACCTTCTGCACAACAGTCTCCCACATCACGTCGTTAATCCCCTTCGCCTTCCCAAGTTGTTCTCTCAAATTCTCTACCTCAGCTTCAAGCTCGGCGACACGTGCACTCGACGCCTCCGACGTGCCCATCGCGTTGGGTTGTACGAAAAACGCGTAGTCTCGTTGAAACTCGCCTTCGGGATAGTTATAAGCACTTGGTATGCCTCCAGGGGTCTTGGACCAATATTCGCATAAGCAGAGTACGCATTTGAACAGAATAAAAACTTACTTCGTCCTGCACGGGAAGCATCATCACTGTTTCGTGCGCCTCCCTTGCCTTAGAATCCTTCATGCGGTGGAACGGTACAACAGGGCGCATGGGAATGACGTCCTTTGCATCGGCGGAACTTCCAAGGTTGAGGGACAGGCTAACATGCCCGACGAGGTCAGGCGGCTTGAGCATGGTTGCGAGATGGGATATTGACATGCCCTTGTGCGTCGAGATGGTGCGAAGGAGCTGGTGGGAGGCAATGTCGTAGAGGTGGATGAGCCCCGTGGCGGTGCCCACAAGAAGAAACGAGCCAGTGAGGGAGATGGTGAGAGATGTTATGGGTTGGCTAAATTCGAGACGCGTCAGCTAGCCATGCGCATGGTAGATTGCATGAGACAGACATACTCGACTGATATAAGTCGTTTTCGACTGCTACTGTTATCTTCGTCGGCGACACGGATTATATCGCTGACACCTGCGCCTCCAACGGCTTCAATTGTCTGACCAGCGTGTTTTTCAGTTCGCTGGCGGAAAAGATTGACTTGGTATATGAAACCATCCGGTGAGGCGGCGAAAAACAAGCGCTCGGTGATGTCCCAAACCGCCGATGATATGGACTTCGGGAAGTGAAAGGTAGTCAACAAGGACTGGGAAGAGAGGTCCCAGAGCTTCGTATCCGAGGTGAACGAAAAGTAACCATGGCTAGGAAAGACGAGCTCACCTTTACGCTGTGATCGAGGGATGCGGAGAGGACGCGACATGTAGGGAATGCACCAAGGCCGCAAACGATGTCTTTTACTGGTAGGGTGTGGTCTGATAGTGTACAATATGGCGTCGGAAGTTCATTTTGCGTGTCATTGTCGACAAGTCTACCTTTCTATTAACAGCACATCGACGACCAAGAAATATGCAACGCACCTTGCCACGGACCAGACACTGACACCAGAGTCATCGCTGCCTGAGACAAGGGCAGCGCCGTCATGAGTAAATTTGAGGACATTAACGTGGCGATAGTGGGCATCCCAGGAGTTGTACAAGATGCCTGACGCGACCTACTGTCAAATTTTGAGTCGGGTATCATCTGACATATTGTTTATCTGACGCGCCTCCCACAGATATATTCGACCTTGGGCCGTCCCTCCCGCACAGAAGCTTCCTGAATTATCCAGTGCAATGCACGAGAGCCTCTCAGGGAGGACTATTTTAAAAGCGAGTTGGTCCTATGATAGACTGAGAAACGTAGAAGCTATATCAGAAATGTGAGGGCTCACCTTTTGAAAATTGTAGACATTTAGGATGGATTTGTCTTGTTGTGCTGCAAGGATGAACCCTCCCTGGCCATCGCGCGTTTCGACAAATGATGTGCAGTGCGATGTAGAGCTGGATTGCTTGAAGGATGCGAGGGAGGTGCCGGTCTGTATGTCATGGAGGACGATTGCGCCTGAGCCAGAACCAGAGGCCTGGGGTGCAGTAGCACATAGAACGACTTCTTGCAAAATCATTTCAGAGACGCATCAATTTGCATCAAAGTTTTGATAAGTAGCAGCCGTGGGAAATTGAAATTCCCCTATGGCTGCACACTGTTCGTAATAACTGAATAACTGACAATCTTAGCTTGTAGACTGCGTCGAACGTCGCAAAGGCTGAGCGCTGAGCGTTTACTTGGGCACAATACAGAAAAAAATTGGAAAACTGAAATAGACTTGGAACTTTTAGAGGATAGCCCAGAAATGGCAGTCAAGGAGGGGACTTCGGAGGCAATAGAATGTCATGGACTCTGAGCCCGTTCTGCCGTTGAACGTTCACCTCATAGTCTTCTGTGACTTTCTACTCTAGACTCAACTCTTGTATTGGTACTCCTCACAACGTCTCAGAATCTCTTGTCCGACACCTAACATGGCTAGCGACCTTTACGAAACGCTTGGCTTGGTCAGAAATGCTACCCCAGACCAGAGTACGTACTTGAGTATACAATAGGTCGAGTCTTGCACACTTACAACCCCTACCGCAGTTCGCAAGGCTTACAGGAAGAAAGCCTTAGAAACCCATCCTGACCGTTTGCCTCAAGGTGCTTCTCCAGCACAGAAATCTGCGTCAGAGGAAATGTTCCGCAAGGTAACCTTCTGGCGTTCATGTCTTCCGTATTGAATTCATCAAGTATTTTAGGTCAATAACGCTTACGAAGTCCTCAGCGACCCAGACAACCGTAAAGTTCGTATCAGTTGTACCATTCATATATTTTATTACAATCTTCTTTCAGACCTATGACCAGTGTGGAGTATGGCCTCCCCCAACTGCCCAGGAGAGCTACACTCAGGGCAACTGGCAACGTCCTACTAGAGAGCCCTTCCAAGATCCATTTTATCAAGATCCCTTTTCCCGACATCCATTTTTCGGTAACAGCCACCAAGCAGACCCATTCGGTTTCTTCGTTGCTTCACGTCATCCACACTTCCATGACTTTACAGATCCTTTTGTGCTCTTCAATCGCATTTTCGGAGATCTCCACCAAGCCTTTTCGAGAGATCCCTTCGGTGATCCGTTCGGTCATCGGGATGATGGCTTCTTTGGCCGGGGGTCCATGTCTCCAATGTCTATGAACCACATCACGAGCTCGCCGTTTGAATTCCTCAACGCCGGCAACGTAAATGTATACAGCTCTTCTTCTCGCGGTAGACTCGGTGGTGGCTCGAACGGCTCGAGATGGCTTTCTGAGAGTTACACGACTTCCACTGTGAACGGTGTTACCCACACCAAAGCTGTCCGTAGAGATTCACAAGTAAGTGGTGTTTACTTATCTGTCTTGACAATAATTCATCCTTCATTAGGGTAACGAGCACGTCACCTACTCGTTCCCGGATGGTACCGAGCGCCGCCTGATCAATGGGGTCGAGCAACCCTCAAACACTAACCATCTCCCATCTCATCACAACAACCGTGCAATCGCTGCGCCGCCGCCAAGTCAAGTACCCCCTTCGCCATATGATGCTCATGTTGTCCCACCGTCAGCTGCAGGATCCACGCGCTCATCACAGGGCCTTCATTCGAGGTCCCGAGACTACGCAAGGCAACCCCAAGATCCCAATCCTACATACGACTCTTACTCGATGCAACCACAAGTGCCTTATGCCTCGCAATATGCGGATCCAAATTCGTCTGGTGCGTACCACGGTTTGCGTGCGTTCAATAACGTCGACTCACACAGTCGTGTCTTTATTTTACAGGACACCGCCAGAAATACAGGAGCCGCGGTGGCGCAGACGAGGCACGGGGTGGGGCTGCGTGGAACTTTTGGAAGTGAATGAGGTTGTGATCAAGATGATGAATTTATTTTGTACTCCATACCTGGCCGTTCGCTCTAATTTCTGATGATTCTGTATACTCATGCGGTGTATTTGTTGTTTGTATTTTTTTTCCTTCCGCTAGTGTTGTATCCTTGTCCATTGTACATTTTACTTTCCATTTTGTTACCTCCCTACGGAGAGCTCGCCCGTTTCCCATTGAAGTAGCAGGGCTCCTGACAATAGAAGAATCATCCTCTCTCATTCACATCAATTTTGCCCCATAATTCGTTAATACACATGCTACCGTGATAAACCTAAAATTGACAGGACAGTCTCACAACCCTTCGAAGAAGGACAAATCTTGTGCAGTCAGCCCACCCGTATTAACCGGCTTCGCAGGCGGTCTCTCCGCTCGCGACGACGACGGTGACAACGATGCAAATGTCAACAGTGGCTGCGACAATGGCGCAGGCGGCGGGGATGGCGACATCTGGGGCACCATCATAGACTGCACCTTCGGCGGCGGGGACCCATACCTCGGTGCCGACAGCGCAGCGCCGCCATCGCTCAATAGATCCATATCCCGACCAAATGACGGAGAAGCAGACGGTGGTGGCAGCACGGGGTGCATGTGCGCACGCGGTGGGGACGGCCACTGCCCGCGTTGTGTAGCAGCATGATCAAGCAGACTCTGCGTGCGTACGTGCATGGACGTGCCAGATCGTGAGCTTGACATTCCCGCTCCCGCTCCTCCAACCACCTTGGAAGGCTTTGCTGGGACGGGCGGCGGGGATGGCGTGCGAATCCGGGAAGAAGTTATAAATTCGTCAAAGTCGTCGAAAGACATTGACGTTGACGACTTGCCGGAGTTCAGTGCTTGTGTGGAGGATGGTGAATTGAGGGATGAGTCGATGGACTCGCGTGGTCTGGGGAAGGGGTCTGTGCGAGGGAGGGCCGAGAAAGCGGAGAATGAGTCGTCGTCATCGTCATCGTCCTGATATGTGGCCGCTGCCCAGCTGGAATTCGGGGATGATGTGAAAGAAGTAGCCGCCGGTATGGAATGCACGACGGGCCGCGGGGTTTGCGGTGGTGAGACAGGGGGTGGTGGCAGGAGTGGTGGTATCGAGAGAGCAGAAGGCGCCTTCAACGGCGGTGGGAGCTGAAAGGGAGAGTGCGTTCTCAAAGATGGTTGAGGTGGGGAGGGTATCGCAGCTGGTATCTTTGGGTTAGTGTAAGCAGAAAAAGTTGCGTTGATTGGTGAAGATGGTTTTGGAGGTACCGCTGGGCTGTGCGGACGCGAGAACGACATCCCTGTCACTGGGGACAATGGTGGCGGCAGGAATAGACCACGAGCCGAAGTAGGCTGTGGAGAACCACTGGCAGGCTCCAGAGCAATACCCAAGCCGCTCAGACCAGCGACAGATGGAGGTCGGCTGGTGTTCAAGTATGGACTCGGAGGCTTTGGCGGCGGCGCAAGTGGGGGCGGAAGCTTTGTAGGCAGCGATGTTGGATTTGAATTGATCAGATTCGACAGCGCCTTCAGCTGGGCATCGTCCGTGTCATCGTCGGGGTCATGTGCACTAGGTACAATATCGGAAAGGAAATCAAGGTCATCTGTCGACAGAGCAAGAGACTTGCGCTCAGATCCAGTGCCTTTGGCGCGAGAGAAACGGTTCAGGAAGCGCGAAACGGCCGACGGGGCGGGTGTGACCGCTGGTATCACGATATCAGGAGTTGTGGATGAGCTGGCTACTGGGGGCGAATCCATGAAGACAGCTGGAGTGCGAGCAGGAGAAGTATCACGTCTCTCTGGCACCTGTGGCTTCGTGTTCTCAGCGCTAGAACGCCCAGGTATAGGCGATGATCGCGCATTCTCCACCTTTGAATCTGTGTAAGGTATTGATGACGATGCCTTGCGATTCCAGAACGATAGTAATCCTGCACCAGATTTCTTTGGTTGACTGGCGTCAGTAATGGCAGCGCTTTCGTCTTTCTCTAGGATTCGCCACCCCACTGGAGCATCGTCCACAAAAATATCTTTCCTAGCTTTGACTGATTTCTCCCAGTCCGTTGACCCTTTGGAACTAAGGAGGAGGGCCATTGGGCTCTTACGTGTCAAAGGCATATGCCTCGTGAGCTTGAGAGCGTTATTTACCGCTTTCACAGTGGCTGTCTGTGAGAATTGTATTGGAGGGGGCAGAGCCACGTCCTCAGGGACTAAGTCATTTAGTAGAGCCGTACTGATGTAAGAGGCATGTAAATTGCGCCGTAGAGAAATACCAGATTATGTACATACATGTTCTCAAGTCCATCAAAACCAGTCCTCCAGTTGCTCTGTGCAACATCTGAGTGAAACTCCATTCCTGGCCAGAGCTCACCAGAGACTTCCTGGCACTTCTGAATGAGAGATGCCATCGTTTCGGGAGGCTAAACGCTGATCAGTTAAGTCGGCGGACATGAACAGCATTCATACCACTGAACGGTTCAATTTCTCCTTCTCTTGTCGCGCCGCTTCCCATTCGTCGGGTGGTTCCTCAGCACTAACAGACACATCCGGTACAGATGTCTCTGCCCAAGCTGCACCCCACTCATCGCCATCATCTGTTGAGAGGTTTATTGGATCTGCCCATGCTTCACCGTCATCCTCAGTTTCATCGTCTTCCTCCTCAATAGACGCGCCGGCTTCAAAACCACCAACTACGTCAGGACTGTCTGGAACTGGTGGAATAGAATCGAACGTTGGCATCTCTAGGCGAGGCTCCGCAGAATCTGGGGGAACAAGTGCTACGATATTGTCCTCCTCGCTGGCTATGGTGGCAGCGGGTACGGGACACATGTCTTCCTCTTGAGTCTCTGGATCATCTACCGGTTCTGTTATTCTCTGACGAGAAAGGTTTATCTTTGCGTAAGTTGAAGAGCCCCACGCGCCATTGTCGTTGGTCGAAGACGTCCAAAGGGCGTCGCTGGTGTGAGATGGTTCTGGCCATTGTGTATTGTCGCTTGCGGACCAGGATGGGAGCCCAATATCTTCCTCTTGATCATGAGTTTGACTGCCAACGGTATAGGTCCAAGACGATGTCGGAACGGGTTTCTTTTGATCGTTTGACTGATCGTTTGACGGCTCCCAGGTTGTGACCCAAGGGTTGTCCATAGCAAGCAAGTAAGCCGAGCCGGTTCAGGCTGCCACTGAATAAGCAAATTTCAGCCGTTCACTCGCGACACTGGACAAAAGACTCCAGTTTCTCTAGGAGGCACCTATACATACCCTGATGATATATTGTCGAGCTCAAAGTGATTGCGTATGAATTGCACAACCCCGTGGGGGGTCGTGGGAATACTTTCAGTTCAATTCTTGCACTCAACCGCCATGGCAGGTCAAGATCCGATGCACAAGTTCGGTATCGATGGCTACTTAATGTTAACTTGCTCCACCTCGAACTATGCCATCCAACCTGACACGTCTGGGCTGACGATCTGTCCTTTTGAAGGTCAAGCTAAAAATCGATCCGAACAAGGACATTCGGTGCCGTCGATGGTGTCACGGGCGAGGAAAGCTCATTTCGTCAAGGGAGGCTGTGTATTTCGAATGTATTCATGGGTTCATGGGTTCCTGGGAGCCTTATCTGCTCTGTATCATCCTGCGACATCCTGCTAGTGAGTGCAACTGCTGGCTGACCTTGGCGGACAAACGGCGGCCTTCCAGAACATTACCCAAGTGGCGGTCCCTTACTATCATGATGATGAATCGTATGCGCTATACGATAGGCTCGAAAAATGGAAGCAGATCTGTACATCAGGTCGGAATTGGCGCAACTCATGCGATTCTCTGCTGCACAACAGGATTTTCACAAGGAGTTTTATGAAAACTATTCATGCTCAGCCGATCGTGTACAGTGAGAACCACAACTGAACCCCACATAATTCACTAAAGAAGATCTCTATTTTAGCATTCGCAGTGCACGTCTGACTTGGGATCGAAGACGTCCCGCGTTCTAATTCAATCAGTCCCGCGGCGACGATATACTTAGCTGTTGTGTTCGTCCCGAAGTCTACAGAGATTTCAGGGCGACTGTGATGGCTAGGTGCATATTGGAGGAAATTGAGGTCCTTGTAGCCCCTTTTGCGAGTCGTAATCCTTCGCTTCTGGTCTGTTCCCCCACATCGTCTCGTTGTCGCCATCGTAGGGGTTGGATGATACAAAAATGGTAACGCGCGCCTTCTATAAATAGTAATACAATCATGTGACCTCACGTACTACCAAAAATGGCAATTGATGTGGCTTGACTGGCGGTGTCAGGTCTCTCTGTTAAGCTCTTGTCTGTTCCCCTCCCCCTTAGCATTCAGTCACGGTCGTCTTCGCCATGGCCATGGACATTGCCAACAGTGAACATAGCATATTGGATTGGGATGAAGACCATGTCCACCGATGGCTTTCAAGTCTTGGTTTTCCGCAGTATGAAGCTCAGATCAAAGGTGCTACTCGTGTCATCTCCGAAGGTTCAAACGTTGAATTACATTCCACATATCAGAGCACAATATATCCGGTGACGTTCTTTGCATGCTAGATGCAGAAGATCTCAAGGCAATCGGCATAAGCACAGTGGGTCAGAGATTGGCCATCCTTAAAGCCGTCTATCAGGCTAAGCTCGCCCACCATGTGCCTGTCGAGGCCGACCACTACATTCCTCCTTGTGCGCGCTTCTGCGATGACCACTACTTCAGAATCTGATTTTTATCTCTAGCCGAAGTGCAGGAACGCAGTGTAACGGTTGAGAAGCTCCACGACATCGTCAAGGAACAAGGTCAGTCAAGACCCTTTCCGTTTCATGGTGATGTGCTAAGATCATCCCCTACAACAGCACAAAAAGTTCATTCACTTGAGGAGGACAACAAACGTCTGAACGAAAGGTTTCAACTGCTTGTTGAGGAGATCAGCCATGCTCCGCTGAAGCGACAGCCCTCATTCAAGTGGGCTCAGTACGTTAACCCTACCAAGTCACCGACCAAACCCGACGTTGAATCTCCCCACCCTTCTCCCCAACAAACGGACCCTGATGTTTCTCATAGTCGCGGGCACCAGCAACATCAAACCCACAAGCAGCCACCAGCACCTGTAGAGTCACCTGTGCAACCATCACCATCAACATCATCATCGCGACCAAGCCGGCAAGACAGCACTGACAATCTCAAGAGTTTCAAGGTCAGTTTGGAGGACCCGACGTGGAAAGTGCTTCCCGCCGCCCTGAAGAAGTACAAGATCAACAACGACCACTGGCAAAATTATGCCATGTTCATATGTTACGGCTCCGCAGGTAAGCACGATGGACTTTACGAACATTTTTTAGAAAAATGTCACTTCTGCAGGAAACCGCATCGAGCGATGTCTCAGTTACGATGAAAAGCCCCTGCTTCTCTTCCAAAAACTCAAAGACGCAAAGAAGAACCCTGTTTTTATGCTCAAGCACATCAAAGATATCCGTTCTCCCATCGCAGTTGCACAGCAAAAACACGCGCTGCGGAAGGCGTCTGTTGCCTCAGAGTCATCATCCAGTCAATCAAACAATAAGTCTTCGACATCAGGGCAGGGCAGGGCCGCGACGCGACCACCGAGATTGGAAGTTAACGACATTACAACTCCCGCACCCCTTTTAACAGGTACCACACCGCAAGCCGGATGGCCAGAGGTCATGTCGCCAGTACTGGAGAAGCAAGATCAGGAGGTTGTGAACAACCGAGACACATGTTCGACTTCGACGACACTCGTAGGCCATACGAGCACCATAGAGGTTCCAAAATCACGGATCACGAGCACTGCTGACGTAGACACGGCGAAGAGGGAGATGCCACCACCAATGGCTGGGGTATCATACGCGGTTGCAATATACCCGTACATGGCTGAGCAGGAAGATGAGTTTGACGTGGTTGTGTAGGTGTTTTTTTCTACTGACCAGTGGTGCCTAAACTTAAGTCTCATTTAGTGGTGATACGTTTGTCATTTTATCGCGAGCACGAGGATGGTGGGTAGTGCAACGGGATCCGACAGGTTCGGGTGTGGTCGACACAGACACCTCAAAGCAGGGCTGGGTACCTGCAGGTTGCTTGCTTGAAACAAACGTCCCAGTTGCATCCGCTATTGCAGAGGCCACCGCAGCCTCCAAGGCACCAGGTTCCTCTGAATCGCCATTAGCAGTCGATTCTAAGACGCCCATCCTCCCTTTGAGCATCATATCGACGAGTTTCCCTGGAATAGCCCTTATGGACTACAAGAAGAAAGGCGAAGAGGAATTGGATCTAGTGAAAGACGACGCGCTTAGGGTGTTCAAGAAATACAATCACTGGTCATATGTAAGATATAGCTTGCCGTCCATGACATGACGCAGCTCATTCGTTATTTAGGCTGTCAAAGAAGATGGTGGTGATCGAGGATGGGTACCTGTGCGTTACGGTGTTCGTATTGATGGTTCCCCACTAACCATACTTTCTGCTTATTAGTCATGGTTCATTGGCAAAGTGCCTACCCCTGGCGCAGCGCCACCGACTCCGAGCACGAGCTCCGCGCCCGCACTCAGCAGTGGACCCTCCGTCTCCCTCGACGCTGAGGGTGCGAACCAAAATCAGGTTTCACCGATGTCCTCCGCCTTTCCCGTGCAAAATAGAGGCGGTGTTATATAATGTCTCCATCACACACTGACAATAATTCCCCTCATGTACATTATTCCATCCTTCACTGCTGATATTTTCTCATTCTTGGTTCCTTACTGGGGTACTTTGTGGTTGATCTGATCGCGATGCTTTCTTTCTATCGTCCATTCGCGACGCATCATTTTCTAATACCTACACATACTTACATATTACGCATGGTCATACTCTGCCGTTCTCTTATCTGCCAAAATGACGCATTCATATCTAGCAATCAATTGCGCTGAACTTGCATCAGTAAAACCGCGCTCCTTGCATGTTATGCACACCCGGATCATGAGAAACGATTGCTGATTAGGTTTGCAACCCTGCCTGTCGTGTAGAACCAATATGTGCTGTGTGATTGAACCGATGTTTTGTTGCATACCAATGAGGAACCCTTTCTGACAATAGCGCCTGCCATGTTAGGTAACTCACAAAACCCGGCATCCAATAAATATGCAAAATTGTGTTGGCCTTGACCTTCTTGTTACACAGGATATTGTCCCCTTCGGGGTGACATACGAAAAATTGGAACGATACAGAGAAGATTAGCATGGCCCCTGCACAAGGATGACACGCTTTCCCGGAGTGGTAGACCTACGGGTCTCAATATTTATTTTACTTTTTCATAGTGTAATTATTTTCTTGAGAGAGATTAACATCGATACATTGACTATGAAAAGGTTAAGATAGGATGCGATGGAAGTTGACCGCACTAGTGCACTTGGTCTCCTTGATACATGTGATCCGGGTACCCACGGTTTGACTGGACCACAACGTTCGTGAGCATGAACCAAACACATGAGTTGAACGTATCTCTAGAGCATCATCTTCTGGAAGTTCTAAACGCTCTCCCAACTGTCTTACCCGACGACCTGGCTCTAGAATTGTCAGCCTTCATATCACCATCATCAAGCACTGTCATTCCGTACTCCATTCTCCTCAAGATCTCTCAATGGTCTCGCTCGCCGGCAGGCCTCAAAGCCCTGCAAAGCTCTTCGCTGGACCCTCAGTCTTATTCCATGGTCTCTATGCTTGCTGGCACACGAACATCACCAGAAAAGAAGTTTCCTGCATACGTAGCAAAAGACCCAGAAACAGAGCGCCGGCAGGCGGCAAATGACAAGAAGTCGGTCTCTACGGTCGTTAATGGCGTCCTCAGCGTCGCAGGAACCGGGTTTGCGACATGGTGGGCAAGCGAACGTACAGGCCTGCGGCTTGAATGGGTATGAAGCTTCTGCTGGGTGTTATTAGATGCTCATAAATGTCTATCCAGAGAGCATTGTTTGCCACATGTGTTGCCCTCGTTGTTGCCCTCGCAGAGATTATTCTGTACATGATATGGGACTCTCGTCGATCAACCAAGAAAACAGATCGCGCTCCGCGCATAATATCAAGGAACGAGAAGCTAGTGGAAGGCTCGGATAAGGCTGACATAGTGGATGCTACCGCAGCTTCTTCTAGCACAGATCCTCATCACACTGCATTACGCCAACGCCTAATACAACCCGCTTCCATTCCTCACGACAGTTTGCCCGGGTGACACGAGATACTCCGTCTCCCACTCCTATAACGGCGAGCGAGTGAAGTGCGACAGTATCTCCCATGTCATCCTGTGAAGTGAACAGCGCCTTAGTATACGCTGTAGAGCAGATAGGCAATAATGTGTAGAGATCCTACTTGATAAAGACAACCTGTGTACGTTGGCTGTGTCTCAAAATATAATCATATGGTCGAGATCAAAGGAGTCATACGCATGGTACGTGCCATGGCCATGGCGTGAAAGTCACGATGCTGTGGAGTATGACGAGTCTGCCGAGAGCTGTACAGCACCAGCGTCGTGAGTCATCAGCCCTTCTTTGTCTTCCTTTTTCTGTTCCCCGTGCCATTACTTGGGCCAGTGGCAGGTGGCAATTCAACAGTGCCTCCAGCCGCTTCGGCCCCCGTGCCGTCCTCCTGCTCGATTTTTGCCCGAGCTTCCAAGAAGAACATGACGTCTCTGACCTGATCCTGGAGTTCATCGATTTTAGCCTGATACTCTTGACGCTGCGTCTCCGATTGTGTGCTCGTCTCCTTCATTTTGGTTAGATTCCTCAAAAGTCCCTCACTGACGGCCTTCTCTTCCTTTAATTCTTTTTCAAACTTCCTCGCGAGCTCTGCGACGCGTTCCGCTTTCTTCTCTGCCTTGATCTTGTCCTTGTATACCTCGTTTAGTTTCTCCTCCTCTTCTCGACGGCATTGTGCCTCGCGTTCCTTTGCTTCTGTCTTGTCCTTTGCTAGGTCTAAACTCAGCCTTTCTACCAAGTTTCGCAGCTCTTCCACCTGGGTCTTCAACTCAGTCGTTTGCTCCTCGTAAAACAACCGCTGCGAATCCAACTGCGACGTGAGCAGATAGGAGTACTCGATTCCAATAGCCTCGATCTTCTCTGCGCTGAGCGAATCGGCATGGCTTGGTCCTAACGTACCGTCGTCTCGAGAGTTGACACCCATCGAGGACGCAGCGGAAGGAAGCTCGACGAGTTTACCATCCGCTTTGTTCTGAATGAGACGATGTACATAGCCATCGCCCGCGTAGTCCCAGACACGTTGTGTTTCAAGCTCGAGGGCGTAGAGATGGGTTGTCTTTTCGTAATGTGCATGTGCATGAGCACGGCCATAGCGCCCGCAGCCAATATTGCCGCATATCAGGCAGATCCACAAGTTCGTGGTGGAAGAGCAGTCAGCGCATGTAGAAAGAGAGGGGGGTAGCAGCGTTTGCAAAAGGGATGGGCCGTGAACGCGAGGTGGACGATGTCGGATGTGAGGAGAGAAGTGTTTGCGAATATCGACAAACGGGACATCTAGTAATGATCATAAGTTGCTAAAGGGGAATTGCCATAGATAATAACGTACCGACTGTCGCCCCATTTACTGAGACACATGCAATGGAATGTATGTGAGCAAGGGACTGTGATGAGACCGGTGACAGCCGAATCCATCCTTTCCAGACACACAGGGCAGGTCGGCAGTTCATAAACTGACTGAGGTAGACGCGCAGCGGTAGAGAAGGAAACAGAATCTGAATCTATCTCGACAGACAGGACACGCACAATATGACACGTCTCGGGCTGCGATAACACTCAGTATCGAGCTAATGGTAGTGTTGAACAACCTACGTCCATAGAATTGAACGGTTTGCCATTGTATGCTTCTGCAAATTCAAGGGCTTGATCGGTCTGCCGAAACTTGATGACAGCGATGGAACGGTTCGGCACGGAGTCTCTGAAAATACTCCATAAGCCTCAGGACGCGAATGATTGATTTTGAGTGCACACCGGATGAGACGAAGGTGAGCCATACCCTCCGCAGCGGGTGCCACAAACGCGAGAAAGTCCGAAGGTGTCATCCATGCAGGAACTGCTAATACACCAAGCGTGCAGCCGTCTTCTGGAACGCTCTCGCTCGCACTTGCGGCAGAGGGTTCGTTGGCCTCATCCGTGCCATTCTGTCGCCGTTCATTACATTGGCGGTACACGTGAACTGTGCCCTCGGGCAAATTCGTTGAACCAGACCTCGTTGTCGCATTAGGGATAAACTCTGCTGTCGAAGGGCCTGACAAACAGCTTGAACTCTCGTCCGCAACAATATGTAATTACTCGCACCTCGCCCTGCTTGTTTCTCTTTACCAGCGTACATAACAGAATTCGCACTCTCGAAATCAATCCAGTCGAGTCTTATTGGACCGAATCTGTAATCCTTGTGAGCTGGGTTGAATAAAGCGTTCCTCCTGGCAGTTGGTTTGGGGCGGTGTAACGGTAAGCTTTGAAATAAGGCCTTCGGCGTGAAAGTGTCGACAGAGTCGGGATGTGACAAGGAGTCGTCAATAATCTTTCTGTGTAATGCAACTCGGATATGATAGCCGTTTAACATGTTGTGGGCTTTCGAGAGGAGCCCATTGATATCGGATAATCTAAGTTGCACTGTGCACGAGCGCTCAGCGCTCGTCAGCTGATCGTCGCGGACCTACTATGGTCATCGCCACTCAACGTTCAACAAAGCTTGTTCCTCATCCAGATGGACTCCGACCAACCTTCGCTCAACCTCCGCTTTTGCGAGATCTGTGCTGGCTTTCTCAGCCAGAGCAGTAAGGACAGTGTCCCATCTTTGACCAGGGCGCTTGATACGATCGCTAGTGATCTCGCTAGAAATGAGGACCTGAGGTGCGATAGGGAATTATCTCCCATGAGAACTCAATAATCAACAATGTAGGATTCGTATGGGATTGGATCATCCTTCGATCTGGCCGTCCCTCCAACAGGTGTGGAATTATCTTGCGGACTATCCCTCAGCGGATGCGGATGTCGCAGAATTGCGCATCCTCGTAATAAGCGTCGCCAGATTTACCAGGAATCTTGTCGCAGGTGTTGCAATGAACCAGCAGAACGCATTGTGAGTCAAACAAAAGTCAAATGATGCTGATGTCCTAACGGCCGAGCGAGTTTCAAGTGGAGTCGAGCCGGCTCTCCGCCGTATTTTGCATTTGTACAGCTCCTGGTCTGCGTTTCAAGTCCCGGATTGTGAGTTGCCCATTCTTCATTACACATGGGAATTCAAATCATATACCCGCACCCACAGCTTTTCCAGCTACTAGGATGGCAGTTCAAGCGCTCTCGAACATTGTTACCACCAATGAGGATCTCACGTCCCGTCTTTGGAATACTTATCTTTCCCTGCCTGAGGAGCATGTGGTTCTCATGTAAGCCACTACAGCTACTTGCTGAGCTACAGGAGTTGATTGTCTTCTTTGGAACAAATCCAGCCGCTTGCTCGGCTCCCCTGACCATAGGACCATCCTATCACTCTTGGTCCTTATGGTAAATTGCATTCACGACAGTACTGAGCGCCGGTACGTAACGTATCGCTCGCTCTGTTTACCCTCTTGACAAATTCCCTTTGCATCCAGTTCTTTACTCACGAAAACACGTGTGGGAGCCCGAATATGTATAACGCTTTTGGACCGTGTAGTCCTATTGTACGATGCGGAGGAATCCAGCGACGGCGCAAAGGCGTTTGACTATGGGTAACTGCAGCTAGTGTATTGTGAAACTTCTTAATGACTCTCTTTAATAGGTATCATTTGTTTGCCCACTTGTTTGACGGCGGCTTTGCGCCGGACCTGTACAATTCCTTGTCCGTGTACGTATAATACTCTTATTCCACGGCAGACAAAGTACTCATGCTCTGAGGTAGTGAAGGGGAGGCAATTGCGCCGCACCAGACTACTTTTTTGAAACTCCTCGACTCATACCTGCAATCGTCGCAGATCTGTCCGATTCATCGTGACATGTGCCCCATGCTGTCGGAAATTTTTCTGTCCCTCGCGTCATATTCGCAATCATCGATTACACGAGCTATTAACCCAACCAATTCGGAACCTTTGGATGGTTCCATCGAACACCTACAAGAACTTGATTTATTACTGCCCAAAACGTGCGAAGCACTCGTACTTGCAACTCAATGTATCGTCAAAATCTCATTACTCTCCGAGGACCAGCGGGCGATGGAACCATCCGCTTCCGATTTGGGAGCGATCTTCCGAGATGCCACCTCAACTGACGGTCAGGGCATGGCTGAGAGTATTATAGGCAGGTCTAGACCGTCAAGCTAGATTAGAACGTAACACCTGATTATCTTTATTCAGAGCTCCTGCGCCTTCTAGACGCGTTTCTTCCACGTATTTACTTTGGCAAGGCTGTCGTAGATCCCGTGACGGATCAAACCACCCCATTGTCAACCGCAGGATCCAACGGATTTTCGTATTTGAAGCGGGATCTTGTGCGTTTGGTCGGGGTGCTTTGCCATCGAGATAAGACATTCCAGGACCGCATTCGGGTATGTAGGGGTATTCCTGTTATTATGAATATGTGTGTTGTGGACGAACGAAATCCGTGTACGTCAACTTTTTTTCTTGTGAGAGCTCAGGTTTCACGCCCTTGAATCTTTAGACCTTCGAGAACATGCTATATTAGCACTTCGGAATCTGTTAGACGACAACAAGGAAAACCAGGACGAAGTTCATAGCATTAAACCATCAGGATATTGGGATGAGACGGGAGTGCTGCGTGAGAAGGTTGGAGCTACGTTGAGATGAACAGCTGTCAAAAGCATCAGATTATGCGTAATTATACATAGAACAACGATGAATGGAAACTAGGTGGCGGCAAATTATTCGTCGTCGTCGTCGAGCGCCATCGTTCTCTTTTTACGTGCACCAGACCCAGCTTTACGGACCCTATGCTCCTCTTCTTCTTCCTCGCTTTCGATGTCCATGTCTTGGTCGCCATCATCATCCCCTGCCTCTGCGCCATCATCCCCTGCCTCCGTCGTCCCCCCGTCGTTTCCAACGTCTTGGTGTTTCCGCTTCCGATCATCTTGCTGGCGCTGAATAATTTTAGCATCAAGCTGATCCAGAGGATCTTCTTCTTCCTCCTCTCGGTGTTTCCGTTTCTTCTTGGACCTAGCCTCACCATCAAACTCCGCGTCATCGTCTGACTCATCCGCCACCACGAAATCGTCCTCTTGATATTCGCCGGGACCCCTTTTCTTTTGTTCATCTGTTTTCCGTTTGGAAGCACCCAAATCATCGTCATCCTCTGAACCTTCATACTCCGGTTCTTCTTCATCTTCCGACCAGATATCGTGTCCCTGCCTTTTCCTTGATTGACTATACCTCTTTTTACGAACACCAAATCCAGTATCGTCAGTTTTCTTTTTGGATTTTCGAGCCGATTGCTTCATCAACTCCATCTTTTCGCGCTCAGGGTCCATGGTTGGATCGGGGGCCATACGTAGTCGTGCCACCTTGTTATGTTTCTGACCAACCGCACGCACCAGCATACGATGCGTTTCGGACTGCATGCCTGTCGGTCGCAGTGTCATATACCCTGTGACGACAGCTTCCGCTTGCAGTACCTCTGATCGCTTGTGTTGTGCGACCAGATATGTTAGACCTTGAGATCTTGAGTTAGAGAGAATGTTTTGTGATGCTGCCGGCTGGCTCTGTGATGCCTGTGACTGCTGAGTGCCTCCTAGTGATTGGCGTACGATGCCGCCGGATGTGTCGACAGTCTTGGTAATATCAAACAGCTCCTTGCCTAATCTCAGGCTGAGAGAACCATCAGACCAACGAATCACGCGACTGTTCGACTGCCTTTTCTGTACATAGTAAGAAGGTCAGGCATCAGGGGCTTGCACAATTTGAATTTTCACTACTTACATCTTGACCAAGTTCATCTTTTGTCCACCGCCAGCGTACAGTATTTTCGACTTTGAGCTTGATAGACATGCTCTTCTCACGGATGCTCTCATTATGGTGGCTATCGTCCTCCTCGTGCTCTGGACCAATGTACGTGTCCGGATGAAACGGCTTTGAGTCCATTTTGACAAATGTTGGCATTCTAATTGCCCAGTGCTATGGAAATGCAGCTTTTAGCGTACAGACATAGTAATGAGACTAAATTACATACATCCCCATCTGAGCTCTTTGGAACCGGGATGTTGGGAATGCGCACATCAGCTTCTCGGACCTCTTCCACGACGACACCGGGCTCTTCAGGTTCCAGATATTCGAGTGCTTGTCGGTGTTCTTTCTCCGTCTGTGAGATATCGTCGGACTCAAACCCAGATTCAGCGGGGGTAACGGCAGGGGCACTAGGATGGTAGCAGTTGTACTCATCAAAGCCTCGTTCCTCGTACACTGTGTATTTACCTGTCTGATTTCGAATCTGCAACGTCATGCTTTTCATCTACCTCGTTTCCAAAGAGATCTTCCATTTCTTCTTCTTGGGCTCCGTCTTCAAGCACCCCAGAAACTTGCGCGGTATCCTCTTCCTCCTTCGGAAGAACGTCAGTGCTCGGGGGCTTCATGTCCACGTCTTGGTGATTGAATCCTCCTGGGATGACAGATGATAGTTCTGCCGAAAACCCATGAGTGTAGCTTGCGGGATGGTCCAGGGCGCCAGCGAGGGATGACATATGAACTCAGTAGCTTGTCCCTTCGAGCGCGACTTGAGCTTGAGCGTTGAACTGAACGTTTGAACTTACAAATCTTGATTCTGGAAAAGGAAATTTCGGGCACAACTGCACTAGTCAGCTGTCAACGGTGAACTCACACCGGAAGTTCAAACTTAATAGTGCGAATGCCGTCGTTTCAATATGTATCCTTCTTTCCTTCTTATCTCCCAAATTCAGTAAACCTGGCTGGGCAGGTGGGCACGAATTCATCTCATTGGCATGCGGCGGGGCAGTTCGGGTCGTTGCTGTGTAGCTGGAGAGCGAATTAATCTCATTGGCGCCGCGGGGCGGTGGATCTCTGGCCATGGTCGTGACAAACAAACTTATTTTGGTGCCCACCCCGCAGCGCTCAGCCATGGCCTGGTTGCTGTTCCTAGATGTTCCGCGACTTGAACCGGATCTGGAATGCCACTGACACTTGGCTGTCTATAGGCTTGCCCATTTATGTGCGGATGTTTCGTTTAGAAACCACTCTCCAACGCGCTTAAGGGCCGACCATTTGGACTGCGGAATTTAGTCTTCCCCAGAGTAAGATATGACCTGACTCAATAATCAGGATACTTGCGATTGAACTATTTAGTGGTAAAGGCTTAGGTCCCTTTTTACTTACACGTTTCACGAGGCAGGTGTCGTTATTCCGACGATCTCTTTAGAACGAGCGTTCCGGCCGCTCCAGATTATCGGCCACACCCCTTGGCTTGCACAGCAACTATGTACTTGCTGTATTTCCATCTTCCATGTCATCCAGTGCCTATAAATTGTGGTCTCAACCGGCCAATTCAATCTTGCTTGACATCATCTCCCCATGACTGACACACCCTCATTCGACGGCTTCGCCAGCGTCTTCAATGCAGAGAATGATATGGGATGGAGCATGGACTTTGAACAGCAGCACCAGCAACAACAACAACAACAACAACAACAGATGTCAAGGTCTGCCTTCTCCCATGCTCCTGTATGTGTGTTTTTGCATGCTTGTCACCTCGCTCACCACCGAAATATATAGATCAGCCAACTGAGTCCGTATGACTACCCAGGTCACGAATTCCCTGGCCAGCTACAGTTTGACTACTCATCATTCCCTGTACCGGTTCAAGATGCTCCTAGGAATGTGCTTCCTCGAATTGACACGAAAAATTTTGGTCCGCCGCGGGTATCAGTATCTGACTCTTCTTCAACGACTTCAGCAGGATCAATGATGCCGCGGACTCCCTCTTACAATTGGGTAGCAGATGGTCACCTTCAGGTCCTTGGACCTCCGGGAACTCCATCATCTCCATCCAACCTATATCATGCATTCTCACCCTCAGTATCAGTATGTCTCGATGAACTAATTACACTATTCATTGACAATCGATGTGTCAGATTTCGAAAGGCCTGTCACCTATCCCCTCTCCAATGTCACCAAATTCGCCTGCTGCAATGGGTAGCTCCGATGAGGGGTCCTTTTCGCAAGTTTTCGACGACGACGATGAGGTTAGTACCAATTGGTGCAGTTGTTGTACACGTTGTTGAAAGATAGATGGATACAGGAAGACGCCCCTCAACCTATGGAACATGTCGTGAAGTGGAAGGCCATCCGCGATCAAGCGATCATCACCACAGGCACCACTCTCTACATACCTCAGACGATCTATCAACCATACACAGAAGCCGATCGTGTCCGCTACATCGAGAAAGCCGACCTTAAGGAACCAATTATCTTCAAGACAGCACACCCTGATCAATGGGGCATAGCACTCGAGGATGCCCTGAGAGCAAAAATGAAAGACCTTCTCGATAAAGATGACAACATGTTTGAGGACTGCGGTCCCTCAGTGTCTATCCGGCTTCAGGTACACTAGTTCCTCGCTGACTCGATTGTTTCCTCATATATCCACCCTTAGTGGCCTGGATACCGTGCGTGGACAAAACAGATCCCTACGATGGACTTCAAAAGTCCGAAAGGTCCTATCACAAGGGCCAAGTTGGCTAAAAACATTGCCAACTGCGTGAAACGATTCATCGAAGTGCGTCCTACAGTCTATATGCATAATCTGTGACTCATCTCACATTCATTACAGGAAAAAGAAAAGGAAAGAATGGAAATGGAAGCAGACCGAAGGTGGAGGGTCGGAACACGCCACATCAGAATGGAGGACCTAATCTTGGTGTCCCTGCACCACATCTCCAAAGGCAGTTGGCAACCTCAGCTACGTCTACGCACTCCACTGAGTGAAATTCACCTTCGGCGTACCAATCCAGTCCAGCCTTCCAGTGCATAGACTGACAGAAGTGCACTGCTTAATTACAATGCAACATGCATTGAACACCCCGGATGCCATCTGGATGACACCATGCCGGTTCCGCTCAGGCCTTTGAACTCGCTTCATTTCTCTGCTACCTCATTGGAAACGTGGTCTGTGCTCTTCGATAGGTTTTCTCAAAATGTGTGGTCGTTTTATGGAGTATCACATTTTGTATCGCTCTGCCTCTCACTGCTGTTAGATTTATAGCTTATTAACGTTTTAACGCCGGGCTTTCGGGTTTCCGTTCTTACTTGTCCATCGTGCTGTTTGCTGTGTAGCGTTCAATGCTTCGCTCCAGTAGGCTTCACTCCACGTTTTCTTGCTGCTTTCTACCTAGATCTGGACATTTAAACGACAGGATATCGTCTGTAACCCTATGTAACTTTTCATCGTGTATCCGTTTTTATACCCAAGGAATGGTATTGGTCAAGGATTTCAAGTTTGGCTGGCCGCTGGACCCGCCGCATCATGGCTCAGCGCCAGCGCTCAGTACTTTTACAGCCTTCTCAAGGTACTTACGAAGGACCAAAATATCAATCTTGCTTGTTGCAAATTCACGATGGTTCAAGAGGATATTTATGGTGTGTTTCATGTGCGTTTCATATGCATGTGTTGCTGTATTTCCAGAAACATCAAACAAAAACAAATTTATCTTGCTCTGCCTCATAGCTAGGCCTCACGAGCACTATCACAAACCAACCGCTGCTTGGTAGTCATGGAACTAACACAGGCTAGGTTTGATGCTGAACAGCGCTGAACACTATGCTGTCTCGATGAAGCATCGGCTCAAATCACTCTCACCCAGGATGTCGCACTGCCTGTCGCACTGCCTGCACCAGCGCCTACTGCCAACGCACACCCCCCAAATGCCTAATCTCCATCCATCGTGCACCTTTCATCCTCCCCACTCTCTGCGTCGGTCTGAGTCGCACTGGATATCGATGTTATTAGTGAGGATGCAAAGAAATTATAAGCCTGGTGGCATACTAGCAATTGCCAACTCTGATGCAAAACTGATGCAAACTAGGGCTCCGTGAAAAACTCCCCACGGAGTTATCGACGAGTTTTTAACCTACCCCCACCTTCGAGGGGTTTTTGACACGAGTTAAAAACTAGTTTTTGACCAGTTTTTGACACACTCAAAAAATGTGTTTTTCCAGGTCATTTTGACATTTTTTCGCTACGGTAATGCAAACTCCCACTGTACGGGCCCTCCCAATGGCGCTGGAACTGTACCAGTGTCCTGTAGTTGAGGTATCGTGCTTGCTCCTTCCACCGGCTTCTCTGATAGTAAGTCTAACAATCGAGGAGCATCAAGATGAGCATCCTCGCTACCCACAAGCACTCTTGTATCACACGACCTGTACATTGGATCACACTCGATTTCTGGGTCCTCACCCTCCTCCAACCAACTGTCCTCTGAGTCCGAATTAGGTGGGACAACACGAACACGTTCAGGATCCATCAAAGCCCACTGCCGATGGAACCTCATATGATGTGTCAGTGAACGTTATTTTTCATACATGCATTTACTCACTGATTGCTTTGCACAATTATAGTGATAAACTGTGGTCCGCCACAGATCACGAAGCCATTTTTGAAGCAGCGCAGAATTGGGACACTGGTTGAGGGCAGCCGTTAGAACGTCGACAACTGCAACAAGACCTGGCCCGCGCTCCTCAAACTCAAATGGGCACAGTGCGGACTCATCCTTCCGGCCTCTGGGTGCAAACGTGACCTCGAGCACATTATTCAGCGCAGCTTCGGTACTGCCATAGAGCTCGACCCTATCCGGATCTGGTACATAGTGTTCAAAATTATATTTGGAATTTCCGAGGGGGATGCTATGTGGAAGTTGTGTGAGTGCCGTTCGGAGGTGGTTTAACCGTGCGTCGTTACGCACAACGTCGTGGAAGAAGCTCATCAAGATTGTGATCATCGAGATACTTAGTTTGTCGGTCATATCTTATCGATCGTTCGGTGATTTCGGGTGTTCGAGAGAGTTGACAGGCTATGTTCCTGGAATCATATACATATATATTTGAGTTTTCGACGAGTTTTTGACATCCCAATATCAGGCCCGAGTTATCGACAGGATAAAAACACGTTAAAAACCGGTCAAAAACTCCAACGTCAAAAACTCCGAAGTTTTTAACGGAGCCCTAATGCAAACCGCGCTTACACTAAATCCATCATGCATCACACAGTTGATGACATCGGTGTCACAGGCATCAATCTGAGTTTTGCACAGAGGCCAGATACATCATGATATCTTGACGTCCGATCATTTGCATTGTTGATTGAATCTACCATCATGTGAGTATCTATCATTCTCGATTTCACACCTGTGTCACCTATCCAGCTATATCTTTGTTGACCTGCCTCTTGTCCATCCCAATACTTTCGCCGCGCCATTCCAAATTCTTCCCCATGATGAGTGACGCACCCCCGTTCGATACTTCCCCGGTCGTCTGCAGTCCAGATGATCATAGCCAGTCAGACATACTATTGGAGGGCTCGGATCTCGCCCATCCACAACAGTTGCCGATCCCACCATACTCTGTTACTCCTGTACGTGTTTCTTTGTATAGTAGTTGCCTCGCTCACCACCGAATCATGCAGCAAACCGGCCACATGAATGAAAATCGCGACCCCCGTGAGCTGCTGTTCAAGTATCATGGTGTACCATTTCCTGCAATTCTAGATGGTCCTCTGAGGAATGGACTTTCTCGAATTGACACGAAAGCCATTGGTGCACCACCGGCACAGTTATCAGTAGATAGTCGCCTTCAGGTCCTTACACCTCCAGAAATTTCAGTATCTCCGCCTGGCTCAATATCATACCCTGCATGCCCTCCCATGGTGTGTCTCGATGAACTAATTACATTATTCATTGACAATCGATGTGTCAGAATTCGAAGGGCCTGTCACCTATCCCCTCTCCAATGTCACCAAATTCGCCTGCTGCAATGGGTAGCTCCGATGAGGGGTCCTTTTTCCAAGTTTTCGACGATGACGACGAGGTTCGTACCAATTGGTGCAGTTGTTGTACACGTTAAAAGTTAGATGGATACAGGAAGACGCCCCTCAACCCATAGAACATATCGTGAAGTGGAAGGCCATCCGCGATCAAGCGATCATCACCACAGGCACCGCTGTCTACATTCCTCAGACAGTATATCAACCATACACAGAAGCCGATCGTGTCCGCTACATCGAGAAAGCCGACCTTAAGGAAACAATTATCTTCAAGACAGCGCATCCCGATCAATGGGGCATAGCACTCCAGGATGCTTTGAGAGCTAAGGTGCAAAACCTTCTCGATAAAGATGACAACATGTTCGAAGACTGTGGGCCTTCGGTGTCGATCCGGCTTCAGGTATACTAATTCCTCGCTGGCTCGATTGTTTCCTCATATTCACACCTCTAGTGGCCTGGGTACCGTGCGTGGACCAAGCAGATCCCTACCATGGACTTCAAAAGTCCGAAAGGTCCTATTACAAGAGCCAAGTTGGCTAAAAACATCGCCAACTGCGTGAAACGATTCATCGAAGTGCGCCCTACAGTCTATATGCATAATCTGTGACTCATCTCACATTCATTTCAGGAAAAAGAAAAGGAAAGAATGGAAATGGAAGCAGACCGAAGGTGGAGGGTCGGAACACGCCACATCAGAATGGAGGACCTTATATTGGTGTCCCTGCACCACATCTCCAAGGGCAGTTGGCAGCCTCAGCTACGTCTACGCACTCCACTGAGTGAAATTCACCTTCGGCGTACCAATCCGGTCCAGCCTTCCGTCGTATATTGATGCAATACCCCATATGCCACCAGGATGATACCATGGCTGACGGTTTGGCTCAGGCGTTGAAACTCGCTTCATATCTTCACTATCTCATTGTAAATGTACTCTTGACTTTTCGATATATTTTCTCAAAATACGCTGGTGGTTCTATGGAGTGTCACGCCGTTATAGAAGCACCAAAAATCGAGTTTCTCATGGCTGTTAGATTGATAAGTGACCGGGCTTTCAGGTTCTTGATTTGTGTTGATCTTTCTTTTTTTGTTAGGTGTTGGAGCGGTAGACATACACGTTCGTTGGTTCAGGAGTGTGCGTGGACGTTAAAGCGTATCTGAAAGGTATCGCCCCAGCGGGCAATAAAGCAAGATTTATGAAGAAAAATAATTCTGAAGACCAAGTAAACGCAGACTAGTCTAAGTCGTTGCTAGCTGTGTTAGAAGGCTTACGTACTCGGTCCTTTCAGCCCATTCCGACGGAATGCGACCATAGTCCATGACGGATATTCAAATGACATATCGTAACTTTTTTATCGTGTATCTCAGGCCTCAGGGCCCAAGGCTCAGAATTGCATGTAAATTGCGCAGTTCACGTTGCCGATTGCAGTCGTTTGGCCGGTGCGCATCTTATGAACGACTAGCGCGTCGCCGCATCCCTTCTCGCGGAAAAAAATTAGTTTAGGTATGGAAGCGTTGCGCATCTGATAGACCTGTTCAAACTTTTCTTCGAGGTATCACCTTTGCCCAGGCCGCTTCCCTGCCTGTCCCTCTGGGCCCGGGAAGTTGAATGGAGCGCGACCCGTTTTCTTGATCGACCAACAAGAGTATCGCGTACAAGATCTCCGCAGAGGCAACATCAAGAGCAGTGTTACTCCCTACTTACGGGTCCGGAACCTCCGAGCATCAAAGAATGGAATGACCAGTGGTATCGATTCCAACTTCAATGGTTCGCCTACTAGGGAGACTAACCCTTGGCAGCTTAATACTACCATTAATAGTTTCATACCCCGTTGTGGAGCTGAAAGAGGGGGTATTCGAGCCGCAAGCCTGGTACGTTTACTAGCGCTTACTTGCCACCATGTTGCGAATCCTGTTCCCGTAACATTCGGAACGATCGTGGGACACTGCCTTCCTGCCTTGCCAGGCAAGCAAGAAATCTATTTTTTCTGGTGACGTCGTGTATCAGCAATCAGAGACATCGTAAATAAGACGGGGGATTCGGCGAAGAGCTTTCGCTTGCAATGAGAGCCGAAGCAGCCCCTACTAACATTAATTCTCTCGTAAATTACACTCGTAAGTGATAAATTTGTACTGCGCGTGTTTCACGAATTGAGCTGATTCATATCTAGAGTCATCTACAAAGGCAGATCTTGGGGTGACTGGGGCTAGCCCAGCTCCTGACTTCAATATCATCAGTATCACTTCGGATTCCCGGTGTATCCGACGTTCCACAGCTGTGGGAGTTTCACAGCAACTTGTAGTTGATGGCCTTCCAAGGAGAGGAACTACGCGATCTATTGGTGTTGGTCATTTGGTCATTTTCACTGAACCCTCTGCGTCGGTACAAAAATTCACCGATGAGATTGATAAAGGACTACAGAAGTGAATGTCAGACGTTTCGTCATTCATGTCCTTCAACAACGCCAACCCCTTTTCTTTTGACAAGCTCGCCACCCCAGAAGCACCCGGATTATTGAACGGTGGGACGACTTCGGCGGATGATCTGACCGCTCGTACACTGTCTGGTAATGTCAGTTATTGCTCTCTTTCTTGAAATCTTAAATATTCGAATTACTCATCCTCGAAGTCATCATGCTCTGCAGGATTCCTGGAACTGCCGCTGCGGCCTACTTCAGAGTCCCCGCTGGATTGGGATTGGGATTGGGATGCTTTCTCGACCCTCATCGGCATTTCTGACAGCCGCATCACACTAGCAATGTGTGATTGTGAAGCGGAACAGCACACGCTCCCGATTGATTCCTTTACAAACTCCAACACAGACATGCAGTTGACAGAAATGGTGAGTTCATGGTTTGTTGGGTGGGTCGGCGATAACCCATTTTTTGTAGCGAATCCAAGCGGAACTCACGCCATTGCATGCTTTTGGCACCACCGACAGCGTATGCGAAGACTCTGGGAGCGATCTCAGCGAGATAAGTCGGTCTCCTCTAGAGAGCTGGGTAAGTTTTTTTTTCTCTTGTGATTCTGTAAGCTCTTACCAAGACTGTACAAGGACACCGGGGCAAGTAGTCGCTCAAATTTCAGGAAACCTGTCGACGACCAGGAGGAGGACCTCCAGCTTGCCATATTTCCGACCGGAACCACTGTCGTTCCTCAAAAAGTGTATCAGCCGCGAGGAGAAACCGAGCGACAGAAGTACGTACACACGGCGATATTATCTTCGCCCATCTTCTTCTACGCTGAGAAGCCATCTGAGCTGGGTATATCCCTGGAAGAGATACTCGAAAAAAATTCGAGACGTCTTAGCGATAGGGATGACCTGGTGTTTGAAGGCGGCGGCCGATCTATCTCATTGAGAATAGAGGTCTGCCACGAACCTTGCGATCTGGGTGTTATGAACTGATCGCGAACTTGAATAACAGTGGCCTGGCTATCTTTCTTGGAATTGTCAGCTCCCTACCAGAGACTATCGCAAGACACCAGGCCCCATCACTAAAGCAAGACTTGCAAAGAACCTTGCTACCTGCATACGCAAATTTGTTCGAGTAAGACTTCACGTTTCTTCGTTCTCTCCTGCCGAAAATTTTAATCATTTCCTTCGGTGGTTTTTTTTTTTCAGAAAATGGCTACTCACCACATGGAGGCCGGCGCTGATCCTATGTGGAGGATTAGTCCCCGTCGCATAAAATTTGAAGATCTCATCCTTGTCAGTTTGGATCATGTGTCGCAAGGAAGTTGGCAGCCTCAGTTACGACTTCGGCGACAGGTGCGGGGTGCATCCAGCAGAGCCTGATGATTCTGAGGTTAGTTTCATATTGTGGGGTGGAAGACAGTATCTAATTTCTCAGGCCCATTGATTTTCCCTCAAGAGGGATGCCGAGACTTCGATTTCTTATCGCTTTCACCATTTCAAATTCCCCCCACGAATCCCATGCTTTCCGTCACAGGACTAATATTTCTTCGCAGCTTTGCCGTTCACTATAACGTGTGTGTGCAGCGTGAGATTTATTCCATTGCAAGTTGTTACAATTTTCTCGTTCTCAAACTTCCTTCATAGTCAACTTGTTGTGCGCTGTTGTATTATTATGCTTTCTGCTGTCTTGTTTTCGTAGCTATCCGATGCATAAATTTTAGTCCGCATCTTCTGAACTTGATAAAGAGGATCTTCGGCTCTCAATGAAAGTCAATACCCAAAATGGTATCATAGGGTATGTCATATATCCGATATCCTTATCGCGACCTTCCAAGTCAGCACATTCTTCCATGTCGTTGTACTTTCTCCTCAAGAATAACTTTGCACGAAAACCTTTTTGGCCATTAGTTTATTGTCCGTCACGTGTTGTACTACCTTTGGACAGTGCTAGCCAGCATGGATGGGTGACAAGGTTGGCCATTTCTTATTCTTCGCCGCTGAACAGGGAATCGACTGTTGTACGTATGACAAGGGTCAAGCCTCAGGAGTCTTGACAGACCGTCGCTCTGTCACTGTCAGAAATGCTCATATAACTGAGGATGACCCTTAAGTTTCCCAAGCGTTCCCAAGTCTCCATTGTCAATTGCCAGTGGGCTTTATCTACTACCAGAGAGCCGTCTCTCATTCCTTTCGTATTTTTTGACATTATTGGCCATTGTATCAATTTCCATATACTTCATCGTCGCCCATCATGAATCGCGGAACAGTCGCTATCGCTGTTGTGCAGCACCAAGTCATGATCATACAACTTGCACAAGGTACGTGCTCGCCGAAACTGTTCAAGATCAAGTTCCTTAGAAAATTCTCTACGCAGCTGCCTCAGACTACTCTCACCATCGTCGTGATCGATGGCTGGACGTGTACACTTATACGCCCTTTGGCGACCACCTGTTCCTGGCTTCATCCGTCCCTCAGGCGCGCATCGCCCCCTCAGACCTTCTTACCGTCTTCCCGTTTCGTACCACCACTACGGACATGATTGAGTTGCCTGCACAGGCATATCAGGAATTCCTGGAGCTCAAAGTCAAGCATCAGAAGAAACAGGAGAATTTGTGGCGTACCTGGAAGGCCAGATTGCGCTAAATCATATGGTCCATTTGTTTCGCATACTATGAGCTGAGGAAAGACGGAATTACTTGTATTTTTAACATTTTTAACAATTTCCCCGGAATGTAGCTGGAACTAGATACCGCATCACATTGTAGCCTTAGTACCTGAATTCGAAACTGTATCTTGGTAGAATTTTAAGACATCTCGTCCATTCGGCGGTATACAACAGATTATTATGTGCTTAAACCGATATTTATAAGAGAAAGCAAGAACAACACAGAAATGGTGTAGTAACAGATGGAAATAAAAATATCGATAAGTCGATGGCGGGCCAAGGGAAGTAACTACGTCGATCGATTACAGTTAAGCAGCAGGGGTGGCATCTGGGTCCCTAAATACCTATGGGCGCAAAGGGTCAGTCACAATCAATGACGAAAGCAGTGGGCGCACTTTCAAACTCCATATATCTCCCACTTTGTCTCTGTCTTCAGAGTCCATGGCTGTATTCTCAGCTTCAACCTCCTCGTCTAGCTGGCAGTCGGGAGAAGTCTGTAGCTTCAGTCCCTGCTCATTAGCAAGGTGCAATAGACATATGAAGCAGAAGCTCGTGCTGATCTCTTCCATCTTGTCCTTCGGATACGATTTCTGTAATCCGGATATCACTGAGCTGAAAACCCTATGTTCGGCAGGGTTAGTGAGAGGCGAGTCATCAACATCCTATGGGCGGGTGAGCAGAAAAGGCGGAGCGATTCAAAAGAGACAAACCATATCGTCCTCTTCGTCGTCCTCCTTCGGTTTCCCGACCTTAATGTCCAAGCCCTTCCATATATTTTCTTTCAGCTTCCTCACGTCTACCCGTTTGGCACGCTTGGCATAATTGACGAATTCTGGTCGAACCCGCCGCGTCTGACCTTGTGTTGCAGCCAAGAGATCTTGCTCCCCAGAGTCCTCCAGTGCTGCACCGTCGCCGTCAAAACCGTCATCAAAGCCCGGGCCGTCATCATAGTCATTGTCGAAGAACTGGGTATTGAAGGGTATATTCAGTCCATCACCGGCTTGCAGAGCAATGAGTTTAAAACATATAAATCGTAGATAAATAATATTCTCACTTTCATCATTGTCAGCTGCAGCACGACCTGCAGCTTGGTTCGCCGCGGCCTGTGCCCAAAATTGTTCGTCAACCTCTCCGTCGCCGTTTTCATTAAATCTGACAGGTTGTCCACGCATCTTCAACTGGAGGTGCACATGTGTCAGCTCATGTCCTCACGAGAATAATTGCACGTACTGAGAATTTGGGCTTCAGGAAAAGGGTAACGAGCTGCCTGCTTGAGAAGTGCATGTCATCAGGAAGAGTATGTTCATCACGTTTCTCCTCCTTTGCTTTACGGCTGCCCCGAGCCTTTTTGCCAGTCTTTGAACCTCCATAACTGGGCAAAGTAATACCAGCCCCCCGCGTGACTTTTGCAAACATCTCATTTGCAATTGTCTTGATGTCTTTCTCGGCGGGCGTCAGGAAGTCGATCTTAAATGCTTCCTTCTTCTCTCGCCGGGGTTTCGGAGCGTCAGCTTCTGCTGTAGCGCAACTTCATTAATATGGCTTTCATGAATGAGCTAAAGAACTCACGTTTCCGGACCACTTTTCTCAGCTTCCAGTGCTCAGGACCTGCCCAGTTTTTCATGAGGTTCTGATCAAAGTAGCCCATCATCGCGTTTTCTCCGTCCGCGTCCGTAATGGCCACCACACGATCTGGCTCATTCGGTGCACGTCGTGGGTCGAAAGGAAGAAATGCGCCTCCTGGTCGTGCCGCATGTCGTTGATCACCTTCGGCGCCGACCGATCCATTCTCGCCACCCCCATAGTCACCCCCACCAAAAGCATCCCCACCGTCATAATCATCATCGACAGCTTGGTCGCCCTGGAAGAAGTCCTGGCCACCATCCACGTCCATGGGTGGATCATTTGCGCCGTAGTCTCCGAAGCCCACATCGTCGCCGTCGTCATCATCAGCTTTATTATCGACTGTATCATCACGGTAGAGAGAGTCGTCAAATGTGTGGTTGCTGTCTTTGGCAAACGAGAAGGTGACCAGCGAATGGGAGATCGCCTTATCTTCGAGAATATCCAAGTCAGGCAAAAATTGATCTGGTATAATAATGAGTATTTTTTCGCCCAAAACGGTTTTCAACATACTTCGTAGGTAACTGATGTCCACATCTTCTGCGGGCTCTCCTCCTCCTCTTCATCGTCTGCCACTCGGCCCATAGAGTCACTCGCGTCAAAAACGACGCGCATACCACCATCACTTCCAACCCCCAAACTGAGGTGATTCATTAGCAAGCCCTGTGCACCACCCTCGTCAAAGTCTGCACAAGTTTTGCGGAAAAGGGGGTCGACGCGGAACTCGAGATCCAGCTTCTTGCTCCGGAGCTGTGAGGCATCTTTAGCAAGCGTAGAGTCGGGGCGATGCGATTTCTTCTTTTTCTTCGCCTGCGTCGGGTCTTGACTATCAGGGTTGTCGGACAAGGCTTCATCGTCTTCTGCGCCAACCATGCCTTCGTTGGCAAGATTGCTGAGCAGCTTGCCTGTTTCTGTGCCAACGGAGTCGACGCGACTAGTCCAAATTTTAACGCAGCCGTCAAGCGTACATGAAGCGCGCTGGAAGTTGATGGAATTGTCGATGTTATTTCGGAGTAGCGACATGTCGTGGAAGTAATCAATCAGTGCGAAGTTCCATGAGTTCGCAGCGTTGATTTTCTGGTGATAACTATGGTAAGAGCGATATATAGTTTCCACTAATACACGTACATTGTCCGTCGCCATTTTCATCCATTCCTCAAAGTTGGAGCTCATGACGTCTAGGGGTACGTTGATAACAGGAGGCGGGGCTACAGAGGTGAGCTGTTGCTGCTTCTGCTTCGCCTGTGCAGCCTTAGAAGACTCTGCCTGATCTTGACGCTCTGTCGAAGGCCCCGCTTCCGCGTTTTCAATGACAGCTAGCTTATTGCTCTTCCTCCGCCTGCGCTTCTCAGCAGCGTCGTCATTGATGTTGACCGCCCTTAGGGGAGGGCGTCCAGATTCAGACTGTGCATCATTCTCACCGCCATAGACATCGCTGATCCGTTTCTTGCTGCCCTGTCGGTGTGTGGGTCTTGGTGTATCTGGTTCGGTGTCACCACCTGAGTCCGAGCCATAGTTCTCTGTATCTGCAATCCTAGCGCGTCTTGAATTCATTTTCCGTTGAATAATGTGTCGGCCGTCCTGAACGCTGTCGTAAAAATGAACTCGCTGTTACCGTTTGGTTACCGTCCTTGGTGGTGTTCACTGTTCAACAAATGATGATCAGTCCATTCTCAAAGCACGTGACAAACGCGCCTTGTCACAGAGTCACGCATCACGCCATGTACATACGCGAGCACAGCCACCAAAAAGCGAACTCTAAACGTGAGATCGCGGCTGCACGTGATTCACCCATTATGCTCAAAACCCAAACATTGTCAACTCTTTGATTTGCCCACGAGTACTTAAGTACTTAAGCTTTAAGTCTTGCTCTACGTTCGTTGTACTACTTCATGATTTTCGGAGACTTGTCTGCTTGTGTATTCGTTGACGGCGAGGAGCTTCCGGAGTATGATGTCATCCTTTCCACCACACCAACAGAGAACAGAATAACCTGCTGGATCGCATCGGAAGAGGGAAAGGTGTGTTATTCATTATATGCACTGAAGAAAGTCTTACATGCTTCCCTAAGAAATTTGGGGTCAGGTGGATGAACACAACTCAGCAGTCCTGGGGCATCCGTGCAACCGTCTCCGTTGATGGTGTTCCCTGTGCTACGCACATGGTGCCCCCGGGCGGGGTCGGTACGAATAACTTCACATGTCTGGTCAATGACTCAGTCACCAGAGATTTCATGTTCTCAAACATTGAGCTTACTGGTCAGCGTGGACAAAGATATCTAGATCATCCTTCTAACATTAATGAACTGCAGATGATGACTCTATGCTCGGTGATCAAAATTCGAATGACATAGGTCAGATTGTGCTAGTGGTAAACACGGGGAAGTACACGAAAAAGGCAATCAATCACGGTAAATTGAGAAATCACACCCTTCGCGTGCGTGAAGGCAGGGTGCATGAACGCTCTAAGAAGGCATGCGCTCATCGCGTCATGTGTGTAGAATTGCACCCCATGTCTCGTGTTTTTTTTAATAATTGTCATCTGTTAAGCTTTGGAGAAGAAGTTCCCCGTCAGGTGCAACACAAGTTCAGCTCTAGCCTCGAACCAGATAACCGTCCTGCAACTGTCTTCGTTTTCAAATACACGCGCTTGGGTGAGCCATGTTGCTTTCTACGCATATCTGCTTCTCACACCAGTTTTCAATTTTAGATATCTTGCAGGCAATGGGTATCGCACCGTTGACATCAAAGAACCCAGTCAAGGAAGAGGCCAATGATCATGGCGATGAAGTTGAAATAATCGACGGACCTTACCAGCCTTCAAGTTTGACCTCAGAGGAAGTGAAGCCCCGAATTCAACATCTTGAGGTAAATTCTCGCTTTGGTGACATCCTTCCCTTCAACTCATTTTTTCTTGCAGATGGAGCTCCAGCGTTTACGTGCGCAGTTGGCCTCGTCTGAGGACCGGAAGCCCTCACGTGTTAAGTTAGAATGCAAGGTCTCGCGACGGCAGCACACCGCTATGGAGATCCTTGATTTGACCGAAGATTAGCTTTCATCTGTCCTCGCTTGTGCTCCGGTTTCTATGCCACTGCTCCTCCATGCAATTCAACTCCCAGGAACTCGACACTTTGCAAGACGGGGCACGCAGCATGTGTCCACTCATTCACACCACCATTACCGATACACACAAAGGTACTTTGCATTGGGACACTACTTCTTACTTAAATTTCAGTCTGTCGTCGCTAGTTGTAGCTTACGCTTGTCGCTCACAATAATACTTTGTTAAATACATACTGTTAGTACGCATTTTTGTCTAGAACCCCCTCCATTTCAAGTCGCCACAGCAAGTCAATTATGTACGGCCGGTTGCTTACGGGGTTTCAAACAAGCAGTAGCGAAGAGAATTCTATATTATTGCTCCCCATCATTCGCTGAGCGTGAAGAATATAGTCAACGCGACAATGCTGAGAAATACTCTTCGAATTGAATGGAGGACGTAACTTCAAGCTTCAAGTTCAAAGCGATTCGTAGTCGCATCTGCGTCTGAGAAAGTAAGAGGCTCGTTCTCTGCGACCCCACCTCGTTGATTGTCCGTGTCGGTTGCCTCAAGCTCCGTCGTCGGGGATCAGACGTTTAACCCAGTGCCTGCGACTGCTTTAGATACTCAAGCTGGACCACACTTGAAGAAAATATTTCCATGATGATTGATGATACAAGAATGCTGTGAAACCAAGCGAAACGAAAAACAACGATACATCGATTTCAACTACCACAGATCTGCATCAAACCGCTCGAGGACAGAATTCGCATCTTCTACGTCCTTTTGCGCCTTCTTCCGCATGTAGAAGATCGGGCAGTCCTTACTTGAACATAGCACATCCTGTCAACCGCAGTGTCAATGATAGTCGAAGCAACAGCAAACATAACCTCACTTGATGCAAAGACCCCTGACAACGTTGGCATTGTGTCCACAGTCGCGAGAACCGTACTTGCAGCTGCGACGCGCTTACGATTTGCTTTTGATATAACTCCCCGATCTTTGGTCGACAGTTATTGCACACGGCACCATCTGCAAAGGCGGTAGTGAGATAGGATCAGTTTTTTTTTGTTTCCGCTCACTCTTTACGCTGTTATTGGACCGCAATGGTGTTTTGCACCCGAGACATGTTACTGTCTTCACTGCGAACTTCATTAGACCGCCAACCGTTGGCGTTGCGATCTGGATTGTCCTGGTATGCGCGCCCGACACTGTGGAACGTATCAAAAGACGATGCTCATGCAGCCAATGAAACTACTTACACAACGATGCTGCCTTCTCACCCAGGATGGGTTCAAAAATTCTCATGAGAGGATTTGAGAGCTGGTTTTCAAGGTAGTATTTGGTATCGATGGGAATGTTGTTCTCCAATACATAAAGGGGGTCCTCGGATTTTTCGTACGCAGCAGCGCCTATTCACAAGTCAGCATGGAACCATGATACTTGGCGGAATCCCACCTTTAATCCCTTTTACAATAACGTAGGCGACACGGTCACCCAAGGCCGGTGCAGAACCTGACCATGGATATTAGGACATACAATCAAATAGCCACATCCGTCACAAACCTGCGTCACGTTGCCGCATGCGCTCTGCTAACTCCACATGCGCTTGTTTTGCAGCATAATCTGCAGACATTAAAGCATAGGCCAATTCTCGTTCAAGACTTACATACCTGCTTTGGCTAGAGCCTTTGTAATCACCAGTTGGGACATATCGACCTTGTTCTGCAGAAGATCTGATATGACGCGCTTCGTGTACCTGAAATAGTTGAGCTGGTAACAACAACAACAACAACAACAACAACAAAATATGCACTTACTCCTCAGCTCCCCTGACGTCTCGATCGATCAACATCTTATGTAGGCAAGTCTCGATGACCGTCGAGACTAGCCGACAGTTATCTCTCCGGACTGTCTAGATTCTACGAGTCAGTATCCACGGAAGCGGCTAGGCAAACGCCAATGATGACAAACCTCGATCCCCTTTGAGTCCATCTTGTCCCATTTGCCTGGCTTTGTCCAGTACAATCCAGCGTACCGCTTCTTGCTGATGAGAAGGTACGGATAATAAACTTTCTCGAACTCGAGCTTGATAGGTCTAACAAATTTTGCCGTCACAAAATCAGCAGCCTCCGCTCCTGTAGAATGGTTCAAATCGCGTGCGAGTGAGGTTGCTGGCTGGTGCTAACCGAGAGCCATGACCTTTTCCAGCTCCGCAGGCCCGAACTTGACCATGACAGAGTCAGTGTCACCATAAATTACTTCGGCATTATAAGCGTGTCCATTATTGATGGAGAATTCTGCTTCGACTTCCTACAACGGGTCAATAATCGGATGTTCACTGATGGACAGACCAAGACTTGCCTGCTTAGTCTTCTCAATCATCTGACGCCCATATGCTGTGACACTGGAGGAAATAGGAAGGCAGGGTAACTTTCCAATCGTCGCACCAGTGAATCCATAAACGGAGTTGGCACTGATCTGCAATTCAATGAGATCGGAGCGTTACTGTACTAGCTGAATCCACATCACCTTCAAAGCGAGCTGACGACCGTCCAAGACTGCACGCTTGGATGGATCCGTCTCTTTCTTGAGATCTGTCTTCGCACGCTTACGAGCAGAGATCAAATCTTCCAAAACAGTAGGTAGTAGACCCTTTCGTTTTGCTTTGGTAGCAAAGAAATCTATTCAAAAGCATCAGCTGATCAATCTGCAAACTGCATATTCAACAACTTTAACATACCGTTATTGGGGGTTTGGATATAGTCTACGTCCTTGACGAGCTGCAAGCGATCAATAGTACTCTTTTCGAGGAGCGTCGTATAACACAAGTTATGCGCCATCATGATAGACGGATATAGAGAGCTGAAATCAAGAGTAGCAATCGGTGTATCGTAGTATCCTTTCTTCGGCTCGATGACAGTAGCACCTTCGTATTGCTCATCCGAACCCTCGCCCTTCAATACAGGAATGACGTATCCTTCTTCGTTGGCCTTGCGGAATAGCTGGGAAAGCACCTTGATAGACTGGCCACGGGAAAGAAGGTAGTTAAAGGGAACACCCGTGACACGTGCCATCTCGGTGTAGTTGACGAAGCACATCAGCTTGTCCATTAATCGCTGGGGAAGATATGCATCCTGTGGCAATTATAAGAACGACAAAGACGACACACAAAAGATATTATCACCTTCAAACAGTAAACGGCCAGCCGACGTCTGGACTCTGGTGTACCATTCTGCAACTCTGTGATGACGGAGTGGTGCACATCTTCCTTTTGCTCACCAAGAAACTGTGCACAAACAGAGTTGAGGGTATAACTGCGTAGCTTGTGCTCACGTTGCATGAATTGCAAGACGTCAAGTTGTAGCCGACCTTCTAGCTCTGTATCTTTGGAATCGCGCTGTCCGTATGCCTTTGAAGAAAAGTGTGTGTCCTTTGTCTGAGTTTTGGAACCTTCAAGACAACATAAATCGCGTCTTATCACAGCGAACAGAGGCGCGTACCCTTCATGCGACCAAGATAAGGGAATTTATTTGCCTTGAGATGCTTTGCTCGCTCCATAAGATATGGAAAATCGAAGCCTGCGATGTTATACCCGATGACAAGATCAGGGTCGACCTCTTCGACAAAGTCGCGCCAGGCCTGCAACATCTCAGCTTCGTCATCAAACGACATCACTTGTGAGCCGACGATGTGTGAACATGTATTCAAAGTGAAAATGTTGCGAATGAACGGTTTGGTCTCGCCTTGAAATCCAACGATAAGCGAATGTACAGAAAAGACTGCAGATCCCATACCTTGCCTCGTCACCATATTAGCGATCTGTATGACTGGGTCAACCTGTGCCTCGGGGAAAATGCCCTTTCGTCCAGCGCATTCAATATCGAAGCTCAGTATGCGGAGAGGTGCAAATTTCTGCCAGTTTTCTTCTGGTGGGTGCGAGACGAAGGCATCCCACCTGGTACAAAATACCATCAGACATTGAAATTCATGACACGACGGATCGGAATTTACCTGACTTTAAGCTCAATCTGACATGTAGATTTCTTGTCTTTCTCAGACACAAGTTTGTATTGACCAGCAGGAATCTCAATCCAATTCATGCCTACAACCTGCAGAAACGTTATTTCTGAGCTCTTGCAAAAGGTATATCCATACCTTGGTGTCGATCATGAAACGCAAGGTGTACGCAATGTTACTCTCGAACGTCGAACAAGGTTGTCCGGTGGGGAAAAAGTCCCGAAATCCGCACTCACCCCTCTCGAACAAGCGTGTTGGTCAAATAACAATAAGTACATGCAGAAAGTGAGAACGAAGACACTTATCTCGAATTTTTGGGAGATTTCTCGGTTCGGATATTGTAATTTTCATGAAAGGGATCCAGTCGTCTCCACGATAGCCCCAAAGGCTGCGCCGCTTGACAATCTCTATTTGCCTCACAAAGGAGCCTTGAGCCTGTTTCTGTAGGCAAGTTCAGCTACGATATACGTTATGGGCAACCACGATGCATACGTTTAATTGGTCTGCGAACGCGTCAATATCTGACTCGTCAAAGCCGCGAGGGACAGCGACGTAGAAGTAAGGAAGGAAACCGGTGACATAAGCGAGTACGCTGTTTCCGCACTGCAAGGTAATTTGAGCGCTGCATGAAGGTGCAAGTGCAAAGGAGGTACCTCGGTCACCCCAAATAACCTCAGTACGATAGACCCATTGCTGTAGTCCGTTGCCTCGTCAATATCAATTTGCTGAAATACTGCAAAGGATAGCACCGTAAGTTGATGAGCGCTAGACAACATGTGTACACACCGATACTATCCCGCTTCTCATTAATGGAGGGAATATTCGGACGGGCCCAGCTATCAGCCCCACCCTCCGCGGCTATTCGAACCATCAATAAATAAAGTGCTGGAGAGGTCTCCACGCTACGTACCGGCGCCGTCATGTGCTCTGTCCTGACTCAGCTGTTCCAATACGTCTGCAAAGGACGAGTTTTGCGTTTTCTGGGAGCTGGATGTGCCCAGTTTGCGCCTTTTTGCGGCGGGTTCTGAGCTTACATCTGGCTTGGTGCTGTCAAAACATATATCTGAGTAAGTACGTTTGTGACGCGCCCCGATCCTTACCGCGTGCGCGCCAGTGGCTGATTTTGCCGTGTGGAATTCGTCTGGCCAACCATCGTCGCGTCTCAGTAGCTGGGAGGAGTATCACACACGACAGAGTATCGCGAGCGTGCCGGGCAATGGATGATGTAGGTCCGGTCACTCAGAACAGTGAAGAAGACTAAGGACGCGTTTGGGATAGAAACACGTATGGTCATATTTGTTCGCTTATGTACACATTCCGTCATGGTCCACAAGTAACATACAATGGCAACATCTAGCTGAGTCCAACGAAGAGTCATTTGGTATGGTTGTGTCTGTTATCCAAATTCTATGCGAGTCCATAGACTTCGAGTTTCTATAACTTTCGAATGAGCGCTTTATGACAGGAAGAGCTCTTTGCAGATTCTCATAGTATCTGCAGGACTCTCAACAGTGTGCCCGACAGTGCGGGAATCACTGAAGATCTCGTAGTCGTTGCCACCCTTCGCAGAAATTGTCAAGTTGACGAAATTTAGTTTGGTAAAAACCTCGGCTCTGACCTTATATGTCTTGTCCCCGAAAAAATGAATTTCTTCGAAATCATCTTTCTCAACATGTCTAAGGCAATAAGTCTTGTCCCACCCGTGTGGAAAGACATCGAATGATATCTGGCCACCGATAGAGAACGTTAAGTTTAGTCGTTTGAATCTCTCTTGGAGAACTTTCACAAAGTCCGCCCTAAGGTGGTGTTCCTGCCGAGAACCAATAAGTATGGTAATCGATGATTCTTTCATGTCACTACCTTATCATAAGCCTCGAAATCGTTGCGTTCCTGGACACTGCGGAGCCCAGGGGTGTTAACACAAGCTCAGGGGAATAGCACGTAAGAGAACACACGTTGCATTACGGCCGATAGGGCTGACGTTGATCATGCCATTGCGGAACTCGACGAACGTTCCACTGCAATTTGCAAGTAAATGGGCTGATCAACAGCCAAATATAATAGAAATTCACCGTTTGATTGGGATGTTCATGTCAGCGATGTAATGCAAGATGAAATTGACCAGCTCCTGATAGTCCTTTTCGCCTACGGTTTTGATGAAGGACTGCGACTCGAGCGGCTTTCCGAGTCGGTACGCAGTAAGGCCATTCTCAGAGAATCCAAAGTCGAACTCCTCCAGAACTGTGCATGCGTATGAGTATCTTAGCCGTCAAGGGGACAAGATTCATACGATTGAAGTCGCCAACATTGAGCTGTTCAGATATCTTGGGGAGATTAGACCCGCCAACATATCCTATGGCGACTTGCTTTCTGAGGCTGCGTAAGAGCTGGATGATTTCTGGAGATGCACTCTGTCGGGAGATCTCGACATCAAGTGTGGTAGTCGTCGGGAAGCTGGTTTACCTGACGGGGGAGCGACAACGTCCCATCGACATCGAACAGTACGAGCTTCTTGACCGGGCGTTCGACGAAATCTGCAGACACCATAATAATGGTACAGTTGTAAAACCGATTTAGTAGCCAATCACTTGAGTCCAAGTACTTTACTGAGTTCGGACATCTCCGAAGTCATGACATTAGCCTTTGTCAGTGACTCTCTTCAAGTCATTTTGCAACGGGTCCGTCGTTTGCCCTATATATTGCCATGGTGCATGCTTAGATTTTACTAACAGACTAGCAGGATTAGCACAAATGGCTCAGAGATACCATGTCTTTTCGCTACCTCCCGAATTACTTGAGACCCTCACACCACGGAATCTAATTAGTCGACCACCACCCCAAGTTTCGACCCTCGTACAAACAGCTCCTCCAGGATCAGAAAATGCGAGAGCGTGTAACATTTGTCTTGGAGCAACCTTTGCAGACGTAACTGCGCAACGCTCTCATTTTCGATCCGATTGGCATCGATACAATGTAAAGATCCGCCTGAGGGGCGGCAGCCCTGTGACGGAGCCAGCCTTCGCGCAGCTTGTAGACGGTGGGCACTTCTGACTGCTGTATCGTTTACTTTGACGAAGCCCGCCTTCTACAAGCTAGGATTGGAAGACTCCCTCTCAGGGTCTGCGTCAACTGATGAGAGTTCTGATGACTCCGATGCAGTCAAGGCACTCGTCAGCAAAATCAAGCGAACATCGAGATCACCTTCGCCCAGTGAGGAGCGACAAACACCGCTTACAGCTGTTACTTGGTTTCATTCGCCTCCATCCACTCAAGTCGGGATGTACAGAATGCTATTTCCAATAGATACCCCTGCTCCGTCATACTTGGCGGAGCTGAAGAGCATCCAAGAACGCGTGGAAGGTGGACGCAAGTGGGCTATGTTTATGGTTGCCGGAGGTCATTTTGCAGGCGCAATAGTAGAAGTCAGTAGACCTGCAAAAGACCAGGATTTTGCTGTTTCTTCAAATGGGAAGAAGAAACCACCAAAACCCAAGCCGGAAACGTCAATCCTGAAACACAAGACATTTCACCGTTATACCAGTAGGTATATTTATGATTGTCTTATTCATTAAACTGAAAATCGCGTCTAGCTCGCCGTAAACAGGGTGGTTCGCAATCGGTCAACGACAATTCCAAGGGTGCTGCCATCAGTGCAGGTGCGATGCTTCGTCGTTATGGCGAGCAAGCTCTCCGAGATGTGAGGGTCTTCCCTTTTTTGCTTGCTATAGCTAAACATACACTCCTAGGAAATTCGCAACCTTCTTCAAGACTGGGCTGATGACATTCAGGACTGCGAAAGAATTTGGTTACGTGCTAGTGTCTCTAATAGGCGCATATTCCTCGACTATGAAAATTGCGTCATTAACAAAGGAGACGATCGTCTGAGGACATTCCCTTTCCCAACGCGCCGACCTGTACGTTTTCTTTGCCGCTGTCACTTGCGTGATTCTTATTTTTTTCTACTTTCAGACTCAATCTGAGCTTGTGCGATGTCTCCTGGAGCTCACTCAAGTGAAGATATCACACCTCACAGAGGAAGCGCTCCGAGCGCAGGACGAAGCGTTCCTTGCCTCCTTGCCTAAGCCCAAAGCTACACCGTCCTCCACGCCCGCTCCAGCACCTGAAAAGGCAAAGCCCCTACGATTGACTAAGGAGGAGGAGGCCTACCGCGAGAAGTGGTCTCGATTACTAGATATGATCAGCAAAGGTCGTTCGGAGCCTCTCAAATCTTTCTGGGAGCGTGAAGGCGCTTCCCTCGGTGGCGTTGATGCACCCATACCGGAATGGACTGGGGATCGGCGCGCATCCTTGCTCCAGGTCGCCGTGCAATCAGGCCAGGAAGACGTTACACGCTGGCTGTTGTACGAACTGCACGCCGATCCAACTATCACTGTTCCGTTTTCAAGCACGCGTCAGGAAGATGAAGCTGCCCATGAATATGACGCATCGAATGCGTCTCCTCCAGGTTCGCGCCGTACCGCCTATGACTTGGCCCGTACAAGAGCAATCCGTGATGTCTTTCGCCAGTGCGCAGGAGATCACGCTGACTGGTGGGACTGGTTTGGAGCGGCGCGTGTCCCAAGCAGCTTTAACAAGGAAAAGGAAGAAGCGAGGGACGAGAAGAAAAAACAGAGGAAGAAAGGTCTAAAAGAGAAAATGCGGGAACGGGAGGTTAGGGAGCGAGAACGGGAAGGTAAACAGTCTGACAAGGATGGCGAACAGGTGGAGGCAAAGCCAGAGCCTCGCTCTCAAGACCCTACAGCTCCCCGAAAGCTTGGAGGTTTGTCGGGTGCAACTGATGGTGTCGTCGGCTTGACTCCTGAGTTGAGAGCAAAGGTGGAGCGGGAACGAAGGGCCCGAGCAGCTGAAGCACGGTTGAAAGCTCTTACAGGAACATGATCGTAGTCAATACTTTTCTGACCCTTCTCTGAATCCTGTATGCATTCAACCTAAGGGTCCCAGTGTGACATTGCACAACGACAAGTCCGGATGTGCTGAGATCCTCTTTTTATTTTCATGACGAAATCCAGTGACTGTAGTGACTCCAGTGACATTTTAGTGACTATAGTGACACCTATAGTCACTAAAATGTCACTGGAGTCACTACAGTCACTGGAGCTGCAACTTTTTTCAACCACCATGATGCTGGATGTTACTGAGCCTTCAGATCTTCTCCTTTCCCCTCGAGAAATCCCTAATATTGCTCATCAAGTAATCAAGCCCATGCCATGTGAGTGGGAAGGGTGCACAGTTATCCTAAACAGTTGGTATAATTTGACCAAGGTGAATTTAGATTACTCTTGATCTCTTGATCTACTGTAGATAAATACTAGTCATAGACGTTCTGGACTTCTGATTGTGGTATACTGAGTGTACTACTCCTCTCCAGGGGTACTTTAGTAAATCTTCAGCTGTAACACTTTGCTTTCAAGTCAATAGTGGTCATGCTGAAGGTTTTCTAATGTGCTCTTGGAGGGAGTACTCCCTCACTTTACCATATCATTTACTTCACCCTTCATCACTGGTCAGTACTAATGTATGCCTATCTATCATACAGCATACCTTGAGGCACTGTGACCGCATGTCCAACATTGTGAGTTTTTTCATTCATAACTTCCCTTGTGATGCTTACCTGTTGTCATGGTAGGAAGGACATTATCAATGCCGATATTTAAGATGTGCAGGTCGCATACATGCCACAAAGGATGCCCTCAAGGCACATGTGGACATCAGCCATCTCGCTCGTCTCACAATTACTTGTCCAATCCGAGGTATTTCTCAATTGCAATCTACATTATTTTTAGACTCATTTTTTTTCTCAGATTGTGAGCAAGTTTTTCCGCGAGCATCTCAGCTCGAGTCACACTTTGAGACCGATCATAAAGATCTCGTCAACAGACATGTGACTTGGGCCTTTGAGAGGCTTGTTCCTACTGCACCACCAACACGACGAACTGTGACTCATCCCCCGCCATTGCCGTCAAAGCACGTACTCGAAAATTGGCAATTTACCGCCGCTCCTCGTGTCACACTGCGCCACAAACCATGTGGCCCACTTGCACCACTGGAACCGATATCCCGAAAATGGAGAAGATTGGACGCGCCGGACGAGGATGACTGTGACAGAGATGACCATATCATTCCAATGGATGATCTTGTCCGTTCGAATGAAGTCGTCCTCGACGTGCGAAGGAAGCCACTGTCATTCAGCGAGGAGCAACGGCTCTCGTATCCTCAATCCATGCCTCGCCCACCTCCGCGCGATGATCTCGTTTCTACGACCATCGGTATTTCTATCTTCGAGCAGAAGTTTGGAGAGCTTGCGAAAGATGGAGTGGTCAATGGCTCGGACATGCAGCGCGCTTGATGGAGAAGCATAGTTTTTTGGTCTTGCGAAGGTAGCGGCGAGAGAAGGAGAGCCTCAGTTGGCCGGTTGATTGTCATCGTTGTCGCATACTGTTGTCGTCGTCCTCATCGCCGCATACTCAGGCTGTTGTCGTCGTCCCCGTTGTCGCGCACTGTCACATCATTGTCCCATACTGCCATACATTGTCCGTTCGTGAAACGCTCAGGACGTATGGATTGGCCGTGTGCCATGAAGCCTCCCTGACACCATTGGCCAATGCACTAGATGTAACCACCGACGTACACTTCTTGTTTACTCATGGTGAGGAACATCGCGAGCTAGAGCGTTGCTTATTTCTCCGTTATGCATCGACTAGAAGATAGAAAACATCTTCTGAAGATCCTGCAGCGTCCTTACATTGCATGAAGCATAAAAGCAGGTGGTAAACGCAAGGGTTATTGTGCTGATGTATGAAGTATGGCTATAAAATAGAGCACATGAACCTATACTGCCAGCATCTCATCGCGATTTTGGGTTTATGCAGCGTTTCCCTCTGCGAAGGTGAGGAGATCAGAGTCTCCAGGATCGCTGACAGTCATGACACTGAAAGAATCCGTTTAGCTTGAGAACGGATCAAAATATGTGACTACTCACCCGACACGGAAAAGCTTTCCAGCAGCAGTGCCAAGTGCGACGTTGGTGCCAGAGAAGTGGTGCACGGTTGTCTTTGACAACATGGCATAGTACTCCAGCTCAGATTTGCGCAGTGGTGGGCAGTTACCAGCAATCAGAACGAGCTTGGCTAAACGATCGCGGGTGCGAAGTGGGCAAACACAAGGCAAAAATTACCATTAGCACAAGGGACCTTCTCAGCCTCACGCTCCAGTCCCCGTGGGTGAGAAGGAGTGCTCACCTTTGCCGCTGCGCATCTGCTTGAGGGCAGACTTGTAGCCAAGGGTGTACTTCCCCGACTTGACGACAAGGGCAAGACGAGACGAGATAGACTCGGACGACTTGGTTGCCTTGGACTTCTTTGAGGGGGCCATTGATAGATTTATGTGTGTCGGGGAGTCTTGAGGAGATTGATGACGGCGAGCGGTTTTTGATATGAGAATGTCTAAATCTAACTTTCAAAATCGTGATGAACTGTACAGTTGTGACCAAAATGGTTTCAACTCCGACAGATCACCCCCATTCAAGGGGTCAATTATCAACATTTGTACTGAGAAGTTAGAACTGAAATCATATGCATAGCAAAAGATGTTACAACGATGCTGGAGACATTTCTAAAACAGCATGTGGCCCCTTCTCATTATAATCAGTCTTCGACACGAAATTCTTCCCATGTGACTCATTGAATGCGATCTAAAGGGAGCTCATCAACACAAAGCCCTTGAGTGTGTTCAATCAATACACATACCTTCGCAACAATGCTAGTGCCAAGGAATGCCGCGAGGCCATCTCCTTTTTCTCGGTATTCCGCAAAGTATTCAGGCACAGTTAGCACTCGGATTGACCGCGGCTGCACTTCAGTCGCCTGGTCTGGAGTGCTAAGAATGAAAGGCGCTAGCCGCGACTGCAGTGCAGCTCCGATGCCTTTGTACGATTATCACTTCGAAATTTACTAGTGGTACACGGTCACGCACCTTTGACATGGTTGGTAAGGTCGCCATTAACAAACAAACCTTGCCAAATGTACTGCCTCTGGACGACATCCGTTTGGCGAACGGAAAACGCAACAGCCTCCTGCAAGGGCAATATTCTCCCTTCATAAGGATCCGCACGCTCAATAGGCAGCCCGTTCAATAGCGTAGGATCAAAGAGCGGCTCGCAAAATCGATGCCGCTCTTTACCCAGAGTGATAGAGTGGTCGCGGAACTCCACAGTGACAAGATCAAGTGCCTCAATCTCCCTCGCGCGAGCTTGCTCCGCAGCAGAAGCCTTCGCAGTCAGCTTTTTCTTCATCCCCGTCTCAATAACGGCTTTTTCTTTGCCAGCAACGAGGACTGCTGCTATATCAGTGACCCCCTCATCTTCTGGTATCTCTACTGTTTGCCCGTCTGATGGAACGCGGACAAGACCCTCCATCCAAATGCACTTGACAAAGTCATCCACGAATCTCTGAGCGACCTCTGGGTCAGTTGGGTTGTCCGGAGGTGATGCCGCTGCCATGACCGATTGGTTGGAGCGAAGGAGGTTGGCGAGGTAAATTTGACAGTCTCTGATGCCTAGAGGTGTCGACGAACGAGCGTTATGCACGATGAACCCATCGTAAATTGGGGTGATGTCGGTTATTTCATGACCAATGTCAACCACGACTCCGTTGAGTTGTCCTGCAGCATAGAGCTGGGCCATAGGACGGTCAAGGAGACCGAAGCCTGCGACATTGAAGCGCTCGAAGAAGATCTGACATATGCGTTCTGACGAGTCTCTGAAGAGGCCTGCTGGCATGGACAGCATAACAGGAGACTCGTTCTGAGTTCGTTTGAGTTGAAGTGTATTGAACAGAACATATTTCCTTAGTCACACCATGTGAGGTGAGGACACCACAATAGAGTTGCAAACGTACCAAAGTGCCTCCGCTTGAGTCCAATCACGAACATCACCATCTGCAAATGGCCACGAGACAATGACATCTTGACCAGCTTGAAGAGCTTCGTCTAGTTGTGGGCCGACAAGGTAGTCGTGAACTTTCGCCGAGGGACTAGGCTGAAAAGGCAATGACGACGCGCGACTGCTGGATGCAGAGGGACGCAAATTCTCGCTGCTCTCGCCTGGCCTTAGTGAGGATGTGCCATTTGCACTATCGCCTGGATTGCGTCGCAGACCGACGCGAGCTTGTATTTCCTGTAGGATGTATCACACATGTGGAATTTCAGACACGAAAATGAATCATACGAACAACAGACGGCGCCTTGAGGAGGTCGTGTAAGCCAACGCCTGCTCTGATGAGCGTTCTGCCAGACTCGATGATGACGACGGACGAGTCTCGGAAACTGACCATAGTGGAACACTAGAATTGTGATTTCTGTTGTGGACGCGTTGTTTACATCATGAATAATCGTTGACATATCTTATGTACATAGGTATTCGGTTGCAATCTTACGACGGAAGACTTCATTTATTAAAGGTTGCCTCTCATTCTTCGGCCATGATGTACATGCCAACAGAAACCCAAGTTTCTGCGCTGTGGCCCCAGCTCGACGTCCCAGAGTCTGGAAACAAGTCCTTCACAAACTACAGCCGTTGGAGGTTGCTCGTAAATGACGGAGGAAGGCACACCTGGCACTACCTTCAAACAGACGAAGAATGCGAGAGGTGGCCTCAGAATGATGTAGACAAATACTGGCTTGGGATTCCACTTGTGCGTGTGTTGTTCAAATTTTGGCTCGCAAACGCGCTCAGGTCTCAGCCGCACAGAACTTGCCCGACCTAGCCAAGCCGAAGGATGCGCTGGATGCTGCTCGAAATGGGTATACATTCTACAAGCACCTGCAGTCTCATGATGGACATTGGCCGGGCGAGTACGGTGGCCCTATGTTCCTTCTACCCGGCCTTGTCATTGGGTCATACGTGACTGGCATGAGCTTCAAGAAGGAGGAGCGTCTGGAGATGATTCGCTACCTTTTGAACCGTGCTAACACAGAAGATGGTGGCTGGGGAATGTAAGTTGTAACATGGTATTTGCTATTCGCCCAGTTACATAAATCCGTACAGACATATCGAAGGACACTCAACCGTTTTCGGGACAGCGTTGAACTACACTGCTCTTCGGATTCTTGGTGTGCAGGCTGATCACCCGGCTGCCGTAAGAGCTCGCGAGACATTGCACAAACTTGGTGCGCTCATTCTTCATCTTTGTCGGTATGTTGATCAATACCTTAAGTGCAGGAGGAGCCACTGGTGCTCCTGCTTGGGGCAAGTTCTGGCTCGCGATCTTGAACGTGTATGATTGGGCCGGCGTGAATCCAGTCCCTGCGGAACTTTGGTCCGTTTGCAGGTTTCATTTTGGCGCCTGGGCTAACGTCTAAATTATCTGAAAGGCTCCTTCCTAATTGGCTGCCTTTCCACCCTCATCGTTGGTGGATACATACCCGGACCGTATATGTGCCAATGAGTTATCTCTACGGTATCCGGTTTAAAATGCAGGAAAACGACTTGATACGAGCCCTCCGGGAGGTGATAGTTATAATGCCGAGTCTTACTCTGTGTATACTGACAATTCGATTTGCAGGAACTATACCCATCTAATTATTATCGGATCCACTGGCCGTCGCAACGTAATAACGTGTGCGCAGCAGACCTATATTCCCCTCATACCACTGTGCTGGATGTTATGAACTCTATTCTTTCAATCTATGAGGGCTGCTCAATTCCTCCCCTCCGCCGGGCAGCTCTCGCACGTGCATATGACCTCATCATCCTCGAAGATGAGAACACCGAGTACCAGACCCTAGGACCCGTCTCCAAAATGATGAACCTCATCTGCCGTGCTCACGTGGAAGGCCCCGACAGTGAAGCATACAAGCAGCACGCTATCAAACGCGCAGACTTTATGTGGCTTGGCCAGGAAGGCATGATGATGTGTGGGACGAATGGAAGCCAGCTGTGGGATATTGGCTTCATTACGCAGGCGCTCGTTGAGACTGGCCTCGCGAAGGAGGAGGCGAATAAGGAGAGTTTGTCGAGGGCGCTTGGGTGGTTGGATATTTGCCAGATCAGGGAGAACCCGAAGCACTACGAGACATCGTACCGTCACACTACGAAGGGTGCTTGGCCATTTAGCACTAAAGAACAGGGGTACACGGTCAGTGACTGTACCGGCGAGGGGCTGAAGGCGGTCCTATATCTGCAAAACCAAGTCGAGTCAGTATCCCTCTGGTCTGTTTGAACCGCCAACTGATCATTCTCACAGAGGCGCAGAGAAAATCATTTCGGACCAACGATTATTTGATGCTGTGGACGTCATGCTAACTATGCAGAACCCGAATGGCGGATTCGCTAGTTATGAGTTGGTTAGGGGTCCCAAGTGGCTCGAATGGCTGAACCCTGCAGAAGTTTTCGGTCAGTCATTTGCTCTCATAGTTTTATCACTATCTAAATGACGAGCTGTAGGTGACATCATGATCGAGTTCTGTTATCCAGAGTGCACAACCTCGGTTATTACGTCGCTATCCATCTTCAGGAGGCATTATCCTGACTACCGATCTGCTGACATTCAGTGAGCGAAAATGCACTGTCCCGCTTACCGCCCTAACATTATATCAGAAAAACCATCGCAGGTGCAATCAAGTTCTTGCACAAAGCGCAAAAAGCCGAAGGTGGCTGGGTTGGCTCCTGGGGAATCTGTTTCACATATGCAACACAGTTTGCTCTTGAGAGTCTTTCCTTAGTCGGAGAGAACTACTCAAACAGCTCTCACGCACGACGAGCATGTGAATTCATTCTCTCTTGGCAAAGAGATGACGGTGGTTGGGGCGAAAGTTACAAAGTGGGTGCATCCAAATTTACATTCGGGATTGAGTTTCCAATTTGTTCCGTATAGTCCTGCGAACAGGGTGCCTGGGTACAACACGAAAACTCACAGGTCGTGCAGACCTGTTGGGCGACCATGGCCCTCATGTACGCGAAATATCCCAATCCCGAGCCTATCCGAAAGGCTGTCCAGTTGGTCATCAATAGGCAATTACCCGTGAGTTTAGCGCAGAATAACGGTGGTCTTCAGAGGCTTATATATATCACAGGATGGATCATGGCCGCAGGAGGCGATTGAAGGAGTGTTTAACAAAAATTGCACTATTTCATACCCTAACTTCAAATTTTCATTCCCCATTTGGATGCTTGGACGAGCGCATCACTACCTGAAAGAGCTGGAGGAGCAGCAGGCCTCTAAGCTGTGAATCTGAGGTTGTGGCTGCTCATCAAGCTCGAGTTTCACCGTTTATTGCGGACTCAAGCGGGAGTGTTATTCGGGTTCCGCTCTCATGAGATTGATCATCGCGAAGCGTTCCGGTCTACCCGCGATGCTTATATACCTGTATCTAACTTGGAATGATATTTTTGCTATATGCCAGGCACTAGTACTACTTCGTAGCCTTTGTAAGGAGGTCACGGTACTTTGCGATATGAATATCATGATTGTACAAACTTGAATTCGGAATTCGGTGGGACGCCAAACAGATGGTGTGCTTTTGCTGTCATCCTTTTGAATCCAGTACTATGGTCTCGTCGCCTCCTCAGCGGTTTTTTCATCCCCTCGGTTTGCAGTCAAGGTAAATTTTCGCTCTTTCACTGGCAATTTGCATTAATTTCAGCTTCTAATGTTTTACAGCCAAAGTCATTATGTCGAGTGCTACCTCCAGCGTAGCCCGGATAGCTTATCTGGCTTCGGATATCATTGTAGATTCCCAGCCTATCCTTCCGTCGACCTCGCAGTTCGCAAAAGAGTATAGTTCGCTCTCTGCGACTTCCATTCGACGTCCGACAGTCTTGTCGGTGCCCCTAGGCGGCGATCCGGGGTCGACATTACTCAGAAACGGAACCACTGCTGGGCTCATCTCGTTTACCTCTTCGGCTGCACCACAGACCGTTATCAGGCTTGTCCTGGATGCCGCTGAACTTTCGTCACTTCCCCTTGCCTTGCATCTTGCCGTAAAAGATGACTTGTCAGATGTCCTTTTGCTCCGTTCCGCTGTCCCTTTCTTCCTTGTCTCTAGAACTGCCCAACAAGCACACGATAATTCACTCCTAGCATCTCGCTTGGCGCGGACGGAGAAGAAGGCAGTCGTTCATGTCTTTTATGAGGGAAAGACTGATTCAGTAGAGGAAATACCAGAGAGTGAGGTGCAGCCATTCCTTCTCTCGGAGAAGCTTGCGTCGACCAATGGAGTGAACGGGTATAATGGTCATGCGAACGGTCACAACGGTCATGTGAACGGGCGCAATGGTCATGCGAACGGCGCAAATGGCACCAACGGTGTCAACGATCATGCGAACGGCGCAACTGGCACCAACGGTGTCAACGGTCATGCGAACGGCGCAACTGGCACCAACGGTGTCAACGGTCATGCGAACGGCGCAACTGGCACCAACGGTGTCAACGGTCATGTGAACGGCGCAAATGGCACCAACGGTGTCAACGGTCACGCGAACGGCGCAAATGGCACCAACGGTGCCAACGGTCATGTGAACGGGCACAATGGTCATGCGAACGGTGCAAATGGTACTAACGGTGTCAACGGTCATTCAGCAACCGTAGTGTCCCCTGGCTCAGAGCTTTACAAGCTTTACGAGCGCGCAGCACTATCTACAGTCGTTCGCATTCGTCGCGCATGCCCCCCGCTCTCTGTACATGGTTCCAACGAACCCCATACTGTCATCTTTGGGCTGGGTGATATCCCTTCTGTGGATATTGACGGAGTGTCGGTTGTCTCAGTCAGCTTGCTCACTCCATTACCCCCCTCCCGCATACTCGATGCCATCCCACCATCTGTATCACGCGTCATCATCCTGGAGCAGCTCCACCGCTGGAACATGAAGTGGACACCTTTGTATCTTGAACTTGTCGATGCAATTCACCAGCGGGTGGTAGAGCAGCGACTCCACGTCCAGAGCGTATACTTCAGTGACCCTGCACAAGTAGTACCCCTTGCAATTTTGAAAGTGCTCCAAGCAACTCCCTCTTCGGCTCCGCTTCAACTTGGAGGCACCAGTGCCTCCTCGCTTCTTTCGCTAGAGGTGCCACACATACCCAAGCACGAGTCTTCTTACACGAAGATCTTGTCTCACGTCTTCGGCGAGCGCCTCGAAGTTTCCAATTCGCCTGCCTTGGTGCATCAACAAGGTGCTATTGCCACCAGCCCAGAATTTGCACTGGGTCGTGTTCGGGGACAACTCGATCAACGAAGTGAACTTATTCGCTCTGTGCAGCAGCTCCTGGAGGTCAAGGAAGTCAGCCCCGAGCTGCACAAGCTTTCTAGCCAGTGGGTCCTCGTCAAGGACGATGATACCAAGAGTCGCTCAGTGGGCAAGGAGCTCATCGCCGCTCTCGAGTCTTCAAAGCTCTCGAGTCCTATTATCGACCGCATTCTTGCACTCCGTGCACACTTCCCCACACGCTCGAGATGGATCATTGGCTCAGACGCCTGGTCCTACGATCTTGGCGCCTCTGGTCTGCACCACGCCATTGCGTCCGGTCTCGACATCAACGTCCTCATCATCGACACCCTTCCTTATACATCCCGCAACTTCGCTGATCCACACCGCCGTAAGCAAGACGCTGGTCTGTACGCAATGAACCACGACGATGTCTATGTAGCGAGCGTCGCCGTGTATTCGTCGTATGCTCAAGTACTGCAAGCAGTCATGGAGGCGGACAGGCATAAGGGCCCCAGTGTCGTGCTCGCATACCTGCCTTACCAAAATGAGGATGCACCAGCACTTGAGGTTTTGAAGGAGACCAAGCTCGCTGTCGACGCTGGGTACTGGCCGCTTTACCGTTGGGACCCCGTGAAAGAAGCACAAGGCAAAGAGCCATTCGCACTTGACTCAGACGCCGTGAAGAATGACCTGCAGCAGTTCCTCGATAGGCAGAATCATCTATCGCAACTCGTACGCTCTAAGCCCGAGCTTGCTACGGAAGTGGTGAGCAGCTTGGGTGAGAATGTGAAGGAGGCGAGAAGGAAGAGGGCGCAACAAGCGTATGATGACTTGGTTGTCTCGCTTGACGCGCCACCATTGCTAGTACTGTATGCATCGGATGGTGGCACCGCAGAGAAGTTTGCGAAGCGATTGGCCAACCGCGGTAAAGCCAGAGGCTTGTCGACGTCCATTGGCACCATCGATTCCATGTCCATCGACACCCTCGCTCAAGAGGAGTACGTGGCCTTCGTCACATCTGTGGCAGGCCAGGGTGAACCCCCGCAGAACGGACGGACTTTGTTCAAGGCGCTCAACGCTGCTGCTCTTCGTGGAGAGAAACCTTTCTCGAAGCTTCGATACTCGGTGTTCGCCCTTGGTGACAGCCACTACTGGCCACGGCCAGAAGATGCTCACTATTACAACAAGCCGGGCAAGGACCTCGATGCTCGCTTGGAGCAGCTAGGGGGAGAGCGCTTTGCGGATATTGGGCTCGCTGACGACCAGGATGCAGATGGACCAGACACCGGATACAAAGCGTGGGAGCCCCTCGTGTGGAAGACGTTTGGTGTCGACAGTATTGAAGTAAAAGAAGCAGAACCCGACCCAATCACAAACGAGCATATCAAGGCGGCCTCGGGTTACCTTCGAGGCACGATTGCTGAGGGTCTCGAGGATACTAGCACGGGCGCCCTCGATCCCAGTGACACACAGCTCACGAAGTTTCACGGTATCTATCAACAAGATGACCGCGACATCCGTGACGAGCGTCAAGCTCAAGGCGTCGACCCTGCTTACAGCTTCATGATTCGCGTCCGCACGCCCGGTGGTGTTTGCACGCCTGAGCAGTGGCTGCAGATGGACCAGATCGCTGACGAGCATGGCAATGGGACATTCAAGATCACCACAAGAGCAACATTCCAGTTCCACGGTGTTATCAAGCGACACTTGAAGCCTTCCATTCAGGAAATCAACAGGGTCTTGTTGGACACTTTGGCTGCGTGTGGCGACGTCAATCGGTGAGATCTGCGGCTTGCGATGAGGTTTCTCGCTGATCGTCCGCCTTAGTAATATTATCTGTTCCGCTATCCCTACCTTGTCCCGACTTCATGCGCAGGTCTATAGCTTCGCAAAGCTTGTCAGCGCCCACTTGTTGCCTAGAACGACGGCATACCACGAGATTTGGTTGGACAAGAAAATGGTTGCCGGCGAGGCGGTCAAAGACTTTGAGCCCCTCTACGGCGAGTTCTATCTTCCTCGAAAGGTATGTTTGGTTCCGCACTCGTTCCCAACCGCTCCTCATGTTGCGATAGTTCAAAATAGCGGTTTCGGTACCCCCTACTAATGATGTCGATGTCTTCGCAAACGATTTGGGTTTCATCGCCATCGTCGATGAGCAAGGAGAATTGGCTGGCTTCAATGTCGCTATCGGTGGTGGCATGGGAGTAACCCACGGCAATAAGAAAACATATCCTCGAATTGCAGACGTTATCGGTTTCTGTACTGTCGAACAAGGTCCTATCGTGGCTGAAAAGGTCGTGCTTACGCAGCGAGACAACGGAAATCGTGCAGAGTAAGTCTTCTAAGCGCTCCATACTTCTGTATTCTGATAGAGTCTTCAGTCGCAAAAACGCTCGATTGAAATACACCATTGACCGGATGGGACTGGATGCATTCAAAGCGGAGGTTGAGAACCGACTCGGTTATTCACTGGCCCCAGCACGACCATTCACGTTTGACCGCAACATCGACGACTTTGGCTGGTCAATGGGAGAAGATGGCAAGCATCATGTGATGCTCTTTATTGAGAACGGGCGCATTCAGGATGAGCCTGAACGCGATTTCAAAACTGGACTTCGCGAGATTGCCAAGATACACAAGGGCACGTTCCGTCTGACCGCGAACCAGCACTTGCTGGTCTCCGAAATTTCTACGGAAGATGTGCCGGAGATCAAGAGAATACTCGCCAAGTACAAGTTGGACAACCTGAATCACACTGGTCTGCGGCTGTCCTCGTCAGCTTGTGTGGCCTTCCCGACGTGCGGTAAGTTGATTCACATCTACGGCTATCTATAGTTTCTGACATGAGTATACGACCAGGTCTCGCAATGGCTGAGTCCGAGCGTGTGAGTAGTGACTTGTTACAACTCGTAAAATTTCATCTCATCGTGACATTTTCTAGTATCTCCCAGTACTCATTGACAAGGTCGAGAAAATCTGCGAGGAGAATGGCCTTCGCAACGACTCCATTGTCATGCGGATGACTGGCTGCCCCAACGGCTGCGCACGACCATATATCGCTGGTAAGCTTCTCTCGCTTCCTCTATAAAATCATCACTGAATATATCCACAGAGGTCGCCTTCGTAGGTAAAGCACCTGGATCATATTCCATGCTTCTCGGTGGTGGGTACTATGGCCAGCGCCTGAACAAGATTTACCGAGAAACCGTATCGGAACCCGAGATCCTCGCCATCCTTACGCCCATGATCAAGCAATATGCGCTCGAGCGACTTGAGGGCGAGCACTTTGGTGACTTTGTCATCAGGGCGGGATACATTGCCCCAACAACATCCGGGAAAGAGTGGTACGACGGCATGGGCGGAGAAGGACAATATCGTGAGGCTGCGGCCGCTGCATGAGGCTCTGGACCTTTTGGAATCAATACATCTATTGGCCTTTTTTTGGGTTTCGAATCATTTCAACTGGCTGATCGTGAATGACGTAGTATGAAATTGAGATGTTTATGTACTCTGTTTATTGTATCGCACATGTCACACAACTATCTCGCTCTAGTTTCTACTGCTTACTAGCCTTGGCTTCTGCAAGCGACTCCTTCACAGCGCTGATAATCTTGTCGATGTCCCCCCTACTAGAGTCAACAACAGAAGCGCCCATATGCCTGAGAGAGAAAGTCAGTCGCATCACCTCACGAGTATTTCGCAGGCAGAAAATAACGCACCCTATGCGGAAGTATTTGTCTTTTAAAGGAGGATGATTTTTAGTTTTAGTAAAAAGACTCCTCGCAGGGAACTTCACTGACCTTTGATGCTGGCGTGCAATCCGCCAGCGACGACGACGTCTTTCTTCAACAGACGAGGAATGATATCGCTCGCTACGAAACCGTCGGGGAAGTAAAGCTGTATGCGGGATCAACGTCAGTTGCTCTCGGTCGCAAAGCAATCAAATACTGCACGTACTGCAGACATGCCATTTGCCTGGATGTCTTCACTGAGAGGCACGCCCTTGAATCCGATTTCCTCTGCTGCCTTCTTGACGCGTTGGCTAGCCTCCTGGTGGAGTTTAAATCGTTGCTCGAGCGAGACAGAACCTTGCATAATCTGCGTGAGAGACGCGTGGAACGCATATATGAGGTTGACGGGTGGCGTGGCGAAGTAGGCGGCGGAGTTGTTCTCGTAGGCTTTCATTATCGGTAGCCATCTATTTGGGTGTTGGGATTTATTTCAGGATAAAAATATGAACTGTGCGCACTTCTTCCAGCTGCCATAGTAGGTCGTAACTGGCGTTGAGCGGTTCTCGAACACCTTCAGGTATTTGACATCAGTAGCTGCACGCCATGGTAGTGGGGGAAAAGGCAAACCTGGACGGCTTTCTGGGAAGCAACGAGGATGCTAAGACCTGGTGGTGTGCCCAGACCTTTCTGGCTGGCTGTCAATACGACATCGATGCCCCATGCATCCATTTGGATTTCTTCGCTCGCTACAGAGCAGACGGCATCAACAACAACCTAGTGTCCCGCTATAATGAGTACGCGTGAATTGAGGAGTCCTTGGAGATCTTACAAGTGTGTCCGGAGAAACTCTCTTCACGACGTTTGCCACAGCTTTGATGTCGGACAAAACGGCTACCCAAGATAGTCCAACATCAGGAACCTATCAGGCATCCCATAAAGCATCACTAACCTGTCGAGGTGTCGACGTGGGTTACAGTAACAATCTTGTACTTCTTCGCCTTGAGTGCACTCTCAATATCGGCCTCCTTGACAGCGCCACCTATCTCAGCCTTGATTTGGTCTACATTGGCACCATAGGTCTCCAAACTGGAGAAATATGAAGAATGAGCGACGACTAGACTGCTTACCCCATGCTATCCCTACCAGTCTGCGAAGCTATCGGCAAAATAACCGCTGTGCAGGACGAGCGCGTTCTCGCCTGGCTCTACGAGATTTGCGGATACCTGCGCCATGAACACCATTGTACCCCTGAAATCAGCACGAGACTGTGTCGTACCTGATCCCATCCCAGCGTGCCTGACCCGGCAATCAGAAACGGCTGCGCATCCTTTGAGTAAAGAAGTTGTCTGGCAGACGCGTGAGCTTATTGTTCGACTGCACCGGCGCAGTATATATGTCCTTGCCTAGTCATGCGAATGCAGTCACCAAAGACTGGTGCGAAATCGGGCGACATATGCGACATCGACGGATGCGCATTGGCGAAAAGGACCTGTAAATAATGGCGTCACGAATGATGCAGAAATATGTCGGGGGGTTGACGCACCTCATCTGTGACCTCAATCGGTCCTGGGATGCTAAGAACACAGGATAAGCTGAAAGACACGCCGGTAAAGACACAAGCACACGTACACCAGAAGCCTTTAGATGTCAGTCGCGATCTTTAGTCGCGGACACTCATTCATGACCTGATCATAACTCACTTGTGTGGAGCCTGCACCATGGGGCGTCAATATCAAGACATCCGAACAATGCACATGGAACAGACCTGAACGAATTTACACTCTGTGGACATCTTACGAGAAGTTGAACTTGCCAATGGGTTGGTGAATATACGGGCAAGTGCGTAGGAGATGGAGGAGGAGGACTTGATGGAGGCGTTACGGAGGGCACTCATTGGGAACATAACAGGACAAAACAGCTACTATGTATTACAACCCTTCGGGATGGGCGGAATCGCTGTTCCACTATTCCCAGATAAAAATCCCGTATGTAATATTTGTTCCCCATATTTCTGTCGCCACTGTGTCACCACATTCCGTGTAACCCACTCTAATTCCGTCCTTGTACTGCAGATCAATCAGTGGGACATCGTACCACGCCAAGCGTGCTTATCGCCCGTATCAGGTCACAACCTCAAAAGCCATCCTAGCATTCAAATCAACCCCCATGAAGACTAAAGTATCATGGGAAAAATGGTAGTAGCATACAGAAGATTAATCTGAGCAAAACAGAACATCCCACTTACGGCACTCGAGGAAGTCGCTATAAATCCCATGACATGCCACGGAACAACCACGGAGAATTGGGCAACGATCATCGCCCAGCAACAATCCGCGTCGCGTCTCCGTCTGATACTCCGTTGGCTTGCGCACCCCCAATAAAGCCCGCAATCGTCTTTTGGAGGTCCGTCCACTCAGATTCACGTGGAAGCGCCATGTCACCAATGTCGTAGATATACAGCTTTCCGTCGCTCCCTCCAAGTGCGGCGCGCCGTCCGTCCTTTCTATCCCATTGTAACTTGTTGATAGCTCTCCCGGAGCCGACGTTCGTAGAGACGACTGGTACCTGGAATGGAAGTCAGAAACGGAGTCCCGTGGACGGCATCAATGCCCGATCTAGATCAAACCAAGTACTCACTTCCGTGTCCGTATTCAGATTCCAAAGATCGAATCTCCCGGAACCATCTGCCGTTCCGAATACAGCAGGATGTGCTGGATGCCACTTCACATCGTATACATAGTCATCTGCCTCGTCGAATGAGTAGATAGGAGAAATAGTATGCGCAGCAGTCGACGGTTTTGCGAGTGACTTTGCGCGCCAAAGCTTGACCGTCCAATCTACACTCGCAGTCAAAAACAGATCTGAGAAGTCGACTGGTCCCACAAGAGGATGGAAGTGCAGCCCCATGACAGGCCCCGCGTGTCCCTTGTAGATATCATACTGATTTAATCCGGCCTTCGCACCCGCACGGTCGTATCGATTGGCCTGATATACGTTGCCTTCTTCGGTACCGACCCAAAACGTGGTAGTTTCATTGTCGGGAAAATCCAGTGTTGTGATGGCCACCTCGCCCGTTTTGTTGTGGCCTGCATGAATAAGCTCTAGGGTTTCCTGAGGACAAATTCAGGTCTCAATTAATATTTGGTGATTCACAGGCTCACTTGCGGTTGGGCGAGCATGTCAACAAGCCAACTGCACACGGTGCCATCTGTACTGCTGGTGATCAAGTTGTGCGCGTTCTGGGTGCCGACCATTTGCATCGCGTACACAGGGTGTGTATGGCCAGCAGCTGAGAGGGGCGTCTTGAGCACAGGTAAGTGTTTCGATCGTGTGTCCCACAGTAGGATCTGCCCCGAGTATGTGCCACCAAACACCAAGTTTGAGTGGAATGGGGAGAACGTGACGGAGAGGACATCGGACTTGATGGGGTATCCCTCAATCAGACAAGCACATATGACTTGCAAAGATGCTCACCGACCTGAGAGTGGAAGACGAACTCGGGCCTGTCGAGTAGGTGGAGGTTCCATACTGCAACAATCCCATCGGGTTCATTCAACGCGGCGGGATTCTTGTTGTACGATGCTACGCTCAACTCCGGGTACTGAATCAAAACAATCAGTATGGATTGTCGTGCTAGAATTATATACGAGACCTTTGGCGACCAATCGACATCTGTAATCGACCGATTCTTCCCATAGCGTTCATCATAGAAAGCACAAATCCGCTTGACGCGCTTCCCCTCCGAGTCATCCCTGAAATAATCATCAACATACCGAAATCACGTCTACAATAAAGGAAACATGCCCGTTTGCCTCCGTGCCTATAGTATAATCACGAATGTAGTCATAACCATCGTTTAACGCCCGCTGTACTATCTTTGATGATTGCTCCACAAAGTCAAGGAATTCAGGTGCACTGAGTATATGCGAACGTTCCTCTTCAGTAAGCTCTATATTTTGCTACTCAGTTGCGGAGCATCAGAAGAAAGGACACCACGCACCGCGAATCTCCTGCTCAATCTCCTTCTCGAGTTGTACACTCTCCTCCTCAAGCTCCATATCCTGCGCAAGACGCTCTGCCTCCAACTCACGCTCGCGCAATATCTGTTGTCGAATATCCTCTTCAGATACATGGGGCGTCTCTGTCTCAACAGCGGTCGTTTGGACTTCTTTATTGTAGATAACGCGTTCCTGTGAGGGAGGTTCCAGATGAGAGCAGAGCAGGAGACGATGAGATTGGGATTGCTTACGCGTTGTGGTAGCTCAAATAGTTCTTGCTCCACATCTATAAGGTCTGGTATGAACCGTGGTGTCAACACCCTTCGCGTTGGCGTCAGCACTGTCCAAGAAACCACTACGGAACGGACCTCTCAACATGCTCCATCATCCCCACCATTGTCGTGCCCATGCTAACTCTATCGCTACCGACATCGCTCTGCCTACTCACCCTGCCAGACGGTGAAAGCGTTGACCCGTAAAGCAGGTTCGCGGTTGGTCGAGGCGGGGTGTTTGGGAGGGATGATGAAGGTGTGACATCCCCGCCGGTGTCTAGGCCACTGCGACTCCCGACGAGTTGGTTGACAAGTTCGTCGACGTCGCGTCGAGCGCCGCTGGAAGGACCGGCCTAGAGAATATAGAATGATCAGAACGAGTGCGTTGAAGAGTGTGTAGACGAGCCTCTGACTGCCGTCTTTCAGTTTCTGCCCGTTGCCGGTCTGCTCTGGCTTTCCGAAGTTCTGCGAGCTTGGCACGTTTAGCTTCGATCTCTGCTCTCCGCTTGTCTGACATGGCTGCGATTCAAAAGAAATAGATTTGATATCAGGAGAGAAGACCAGGGGGTGTTATGAGACGCGTTATGTTTAGTAAAGACTTTAGAGTTGCAAATGCGCGTTCTGAGCAATATAAAAGACCCGCGCGCCCATCTTTTCGATCCAAAACACGTTTCACTTGCGTCGCACAATCAACCTCAACTTGGTGAGTGCTTGGAGTAAAGAAATGAAAATGAATTCAGAAACTACACATCTAATACTCGTCCTCGTACATGTACCAAAATTGTCAAGAGATAAACCATACGGTACATATATATATAAAAGAAAAAATGAACAAATCGAAGGAATTTACATGGGGGAAGTTGGATGTACGTGCGCCGTGCGGGACTGCGAACGCTGGGCGGCGGTCTTCAACTTCTTGTGCGGTGAAGCTCCAGGTTGTAGGGGACAGAGAAGGAGGCCGGGATTTAGTCGTAGGAGACCTCTTACATCGAATATCGCGGAGATACTTGGCGGCGCGTCAAGATAGAGTGTACGCGGCTGGCAGTAGCCTTCAACCTCGTGTACAAGTTGTCCAGGTCGTCGGAGATAGCGAGGGAGGCAGATGTGCGTCTTCAGAATGCGAGTACTTGAGTAGTGTGTTGTGGATTAGTGTGTACCAGCCGAGTTCGGGAGCGATGAGGCTAGGGATAGCATGGAGGTGAGGCTGTGTTTCGCCATGACGCCGGCCCAGCCATCGACGAGAGCCGCCTTGTCGACGATGAATCTCGTTAATGAAGTTCCTCGAGGTGGCCTATTTGATATGAATAAGTGTGGAGACGTCAGGAGCAATTACTGACCAATATAAGAACGTGCGCGGGCGGCATGCAAACGAGCTTGGTGCTAAGAAAGATGAGGGTTGTGCTTGTTATAGCGATGAATATTTCATACCTGTTGTTGGCGCCGGTTAGTAGCGGGAGGCTTGGGCGGTGGAGTACTCCCAATAAGGAAGATGGTTGTCGTCGTTGTCATCGATGCGCCTAGTCGGGTGAGGTCGGGGGCTACCCAGTGTTTGTCGACCAGAACGAGTTGAGGGTTGGAATTGTCAAGGGTGACAAGTAGGATGCCATGCTAAATATTCAAAGATTAGATGATGAGGTTTAGTGGGTATAGGGCTTCGTACCTTGCTTTCTTTACTAGTGCACTGTTTGGGATGCGAGATATTGTCGGAGTCAATGAAGTCGTCGTCGAGTGATGGTGACGCGAGCGGTACTGTGGAAGACAGTATAAGTAGAAATCATCTTGGCAAGTGGTAATTGTGGAGAGAGAATCTCTTTCGCCAAAATCACTACTTGCCAACGTAAAGTTAAATGGGTGTGCACGTGAACGAGGCAAGATGGTCATCTGGGTATTTATACCCCTGGGTTATTTACACGTGCTTGGCACTTCCGCGTCAAGTCACGTATTTCGAAAATCAATTAGAGGGCGACTTCACCCAGGACCGCTCCCCAGCGGCGGAGTCCCCGCCCTCAGCGATAGTACTGCGGAATTTGATTGAGAATAAGCGTGATCTACGTTGAAGTTAAGCCTGAAGCTGAAGGAAGATCATATTATAAACTGATAAGATCAAGGGATGCAAATAAGTATTACTAACCTTGACATCGATGTCACTCATCAATCCAACTTCCCGTTCAAAGGCCTCTTTCAAGCCGTCGTCGCGGCGTGCAGACACCGCCAGAGTATATGCTCATCCTCTCCCAATCATCTTTCCAGAGCCAACATACACACTCCTTGGACTCTCCCTCACCCGTCCACTCAACCCTCACTGCACCGCCCTATTTGACCCTCTCACCCGCTCAGCTTGGGTCTCAACCTCTGGCGACGCTACCCTATTATGGCAGCGCGGCTTCTTTGGAAAAGGAGACCTCTCCAGGAGTGAGCCTAGCTGGTTGGCGAGACAAATCAATGCCAGAAAAATGAAGGGCAAGGGTACGCCGTTCTCTTGTTCTGTTCCGAACATTTTGACTCCTAACTGCCACAGGACTCACATCCGAAGAGATCACCGCAAAGCGCCGTGCAGAGCGCAAGCAGTTCAAGCTCGATCGTGCAAAGGCGATTGCCGCTGCTGCTGCAGAAGCAGAGACTGCTTTCAAGGAACAGGGTCGCATTATCGCGCCTGGTATTGCGCCCGATGGCACTCGCATAATTCCCTCTGCTGCGACTTGGAAACCAACCTTTGCGTCTGTACCCCCGGACCAGTCGCCTCCAAACGTCACACCAGACGACGAGGAAGAGATCGAGCCCATACAAGACCTCGAGCATCTCCAACTCTCGCTTCAAGAGGCCTTTTTCCTCGTCTGGGCACTTGACTGCTTGACAATCTTACACCCTGAAACCGTATGGCTTCTTATTCCATCCTCGAAACCAGTTCATCTCATTATTTTTGCCCAGAATGCGCCCTTTACCCTCGCTGAATTATGGAATGCATTCCAAAACGCCCACATATCGTCGTTGGGCCCACAACTAGATGCACCATCACCTCCACGTTTCGACAATCCCTTTCTCGTGTCCTACATCGCATACCACCACTACCGCTCCCTTGGTTGGGTCGTCAAAAGCGGCATCAAATTCTGCGTCGACTATCTGCTGTATAAACGTGGCCCCGTATTTCAGCATGCAGAGTGCGTAGTATTTACCTCAATATTCATCTTCCATATACTCTCCTCCTAAACCTCCCACTTCTCTCAACAAACCTCGCTACATTCAAAGTTATCTCAGTTCCGCTGACATATCTTCAGATTCGCAATCGTCGTCATCCCCGTATACGAAGACCCTCAAGATCAAGCAACCTCGCCATTCAAGCTGCAAAACGCAGAACCTTTCACGTGGTCATGGCTGAGCACCATAAACCGGGTTAATTCTCAAGTTCAAAAAGTTCGTCTCCATCATTCCGCTGCTGATATCCGTCTCGTCATGCTAAACTGGTTGACAGACGCTGATCTTGTCGTATATCACCATACCCGCAGAGTCAAGGGTATCTCCCAACGTCCTCTCTTCACCTGCGTGTTTTGCGCATTATTCGGTGCGCGAAGTTGTGTTGAGGAGGTTCATTCCGGCACGGATGCGAGACTAGCTGTTCGAGGGGTATTTTGGACGTGAACGTTCGGTGGGCGTTGATCTTGCTCAGTGGCCCTCGCATTACGGGTCGATTCGGTGGTCGCAGTACCAGTGTCGGAACTGTCAAAGTGGCCCCTTTTGGCTGTCGCTATTTTGGATCGATACCGCTGCCAACAGTCTGACCATGGTTTTCCTCGCTGCCGGGGAGCTGACGGCAAGGATGAAAAAGTTTTAGGGAGCTCCTTTACCCTTTGTTACTCGTTGTAAACACTAGTGCAATACACTTTGTGCATGACCCTGCATAATTCGACACATCACCTCAATTTATCAGCCGTCACTCGTTATTTTTCACGTTGTAAAGAAGCTACGAGCGCTGTTGATAGCCTCGTCCGTTCCTCTACGTACACAACGTTATCGCCTACCCTTAAGCTGTCCGAATCAATGGCTCGAGACCTCTCCTAAAAATTGCTTCTGAATGTCTTCCAGACTATGTTACTAGTCTCATTTGTTCATGCAAATTCCAACCTTTCAACATCGAGGCAGCAACGCAAAAGCAACAAAAAACGATTCGGATACCGGGAGTCGAACCCGGGGCCGCTGTGTGAAAGACAGCAATGTTAACCGTTACACCATATCCGACTTGTTAAATATAACTCACGTTGCATTGACATTACGCTAGTGCACCATGTAACACAAGTACACTAGTACTTGTGTTGTGTTGGTGTTGTATACCAAAGCTGGTCCAGCCGCACCTGCCTGCCAACGCCAAAGACGACAATGATGAAAATCAGAGGCAACAACTTTCCTCTAGAACACTGTCGACCACCACCGTCACACACCCGACCAAGAAAAAAATAACGCGCTTGACATTAACTTCAATTGTAAGAGACGATACATAACATACACAAGGCAAGCTGCTCCTCCCACCCCTTCCTCGCACACCACAAAAAACCCAACAAGTTCCCATCAACAACTGTTGGTATGGCGCCGGAAGACTGGAATCAGCTACCCAAAAATAAAACCATCCTGATTCCGATTCTCTCCTCTAAGAAACTACGACCGCAAGCCGCATGAGAATGAGACTCTATACCGTGTTGTGTTCTTGACGGTGACTTGGTTCTCTTGACGCGGACGCGAAGACCTGCTGGGGCTTGAAGATTATGATGAGAGAAGAAAGGAGCCTGGAGGAAAGGCTGGGGAACGGAGTAGTCGCTGCGATATATAAGTTATCTCTCCTCCTTCTATGGTATACCATCCAGGTGAGATCGATTGGACAAGATGAAGATGACATGTAAATGAGACGGAAAAGACGGACAAGGCTGGCAGGTAGCAGTGCGGGAGAGGGATAAGAGCGGCAAGGAAGATGTTGGAGGCGCGGTAGAGGAGCGGAAAAGGGAGATGTGCCAGTGTACACTCGGCGAGCTATATTGCACCCCTGATCCCAACCTTGCGGTATTTCTCCTCGTAAACCTGTGCCAACTGTGGTGCAGCAGCTTTACAATCAACCGTCTTGTCCCGATCGGGGGCGTTCGGGTTGATGAAAAAGGCAGAACCGTGCGTCATGAGGAACTTTAGTGTTTCTGATACTGTTTCAAAGCCGAGCTCATTCTGAATGAAGCACAATAAAAGTGTGCGGTATCTAATCAAGACAAGTAAGACAAGGCCATCAATATACGGAGACGACAGAGACTCACGCTTTTGTCATAGTCATCAGCGCCCTGGTCCTCTCCCGATCAATGAAATAATCCATAATATACGCCCCCATGTTTGGTGCATTCCAGTACATCTCAAACAGGGCGTGGTAGTTGCCCATGGAGATTGCACGCTGGACCCGAAGTGCGTGTTGCACTGCGGGATCCCTTTTCTGTCGTGGTGTTAGCGTACCTACGTAGAGATTAAGCTCTACGCAGTGAAGCGGGAATACAAGTATGAGTCATATCCTGAACTGACGAGAGGGGAAGAAGAGGCACACCGCTTTTATTCCGTCCATGCAGGAGCATGAGAATGCGATAGGCGGTAAATTCTTCGTGTTTGCCTGGTATGCCGAGGTCGTATAAATTCTTAAGCGTTGCCTGACATTGGTTATATTCTACCATGTCCGACTGCAGCAGCAGATCAGCTGTAAGCCGCACAAAAAATCCAACACCTACGCTTTCAAGCGCCATGCGCGCGTGGATTTCGTATACCTGTACTGTAAACTCATTTTTTATACGTTGCACCTACCAAGATGGGGGCGTGTCAACACGAAATTTACAAGCGATGGAGAACGCACGGTAAGATCTTGCCGCAGGCTCTTGAACTGATTACATATCCAGTTATATGACACCTTTTCCTTCCAGCGTTTCTTGAGTTCAATAAGTGTCTGCTGGAGAACGGAGTATGGGCGAATTGTCTCTGGTTTCGGTTCCTGTGGGACAGTTAGAAAGGCAATGTGATCGCAAGTGATCTCATACCGAGGTAAGACGCAGATAATCCTTAAACAATTCTTGGTTCGTCCCCACGATTGTATACTTATCCCAGTCTAGTACGTTCTAACCAACAACATAAACATCCACGTGAACTGCATGAGGAAAAAGACGAACGGGATCAGCCTCAGGGTCGTCAGGATTAGTACCAAAAGCGCTCGGAGAATCGGAACGCGATATCCGGTTGAAGAGGTGAGCATTCTGATTATTTGCCTGGAGAGAGGCCTGACCGCGCATACTCTTCTGTCGCTCTATGTCATGTTCCCGCTGGAAACGTTCGGCTCGGCGATTGAGAGCCGCTTGATCCCCGAAGTCGAGGTTGGCATCAGTGCGCTTCTGCGCCGCGGCTTTCTTTGCTTTTTTGCTCATGGGTGGAGTGTCATTCCTATAGAGCGTCAGCGGGTCATAGCAAGTTAAGATGCAAATGACACAGACATTTTACGTTTGAGGGAGTTGAGCGTCGGTGGAGGTTTGGGCATCAGGCTGGATGTCGCAAGTCACTGAAATCTGCAACTCAGCTTGCAACAAACTCAGACCGCGCACCTTTTTAATTGTACACCGGCCCAGTCGGTTGTCCATAGGGTCTTTTCAGCGAAAGCGTTAGCAATTGATTCTCTCAGCTCAGCCTGAGCTTCTGCCCTATTAGCATCTGTCATTTGCCCCAGGCATCGTGCCACCCAATCTCTGAACCACCAACCTCAGCTTTACTAGCTTGATATGTAAGGATGAAGAGATGGGCGCTTACTTCAGTGGTGGAGGCCACGACTCAGACGACATGGTGACTTAGTTATAGCCTTTTTGGTGTGCTTAGTGCTCCGATATTGGCCGGTAGTGGTATGTATTGATTGGCGGTCGTTGGTAGTGTGTAATAGAAATTAGTGCAAGGAAAGCTTGAGCAGGTTGCGAGAAGAAAGGACAACGATCCTAAACGAAGTACCACTGGCAGCATGTCCTCAACTTCATCCCGAGATTCCCACGGTTGTCACGTCTTTCTCATATATGCCTCGAAGGTAACCGATATCAGACTCTCTCGATTGAAAAATCAGTCTCATTAGAAGATGCAACATAAATTGCAGCATCTGATGCCCGTAAGAGTCTATGGAATACTCAATCTTCCCTACGTACACAAACTCTAATGGTTCAAATCCTTGGGCGGGTTGTAGACTGCCAACTCGATATCAACATCTGCAAACAGTATCAACGATGTTAAGAACTTACAGATCTTCCTGTTCTTGATCACGGTCCACTTGAATCGCTTCACCCCGATGGAGACAGCGAATAGTGCAGAAAAGAGGATAACAGCCTTGATACCCATTTTCTTCCGCTCGTCATGCTCGGGTTCAGCTGCCCAGCTTAAGAAGGTGACAATATCTTTGGCCATCTGAGAGGTTGTGGCAGGGGTACCTGTAACAATAATCAATACAAGGCCAGCTGAGCTTACGAAAGAGGGACATACCATCTTCGTACTCGACGAGATTGTCCCAAAGGACACGAGCCATGGAGATGGCACCACCAGGGAAGTAAGGGTTGTAGTTCATTCCTTCACGAATTTCAACACCAGCAGGGGGATCAATGTAACCCGTCAGCAGGGAGAACACGTAATCCTGGTTCACGAAACAACATATGAGTCGACATCCTCATTGAAATAACAATTTAAACCACTTACCGCACCACCATGACGGGCCTTGATGATTAAGCTGAGGTCGGGAGGAAGGGCACCACCGTTTCCGGCCCGAGCAGCCTCCTCATTGGGGTATGCAGAAGGGAGGTAGTCGGAAAGCTTTCCGGGACGCTGGAACATCTCGCCTTTATCGTCTGGACCGTCCGTGTACTCTACGTCCTCAGCGAGTGCACGCACTTCGTCGGCAGTATGAGACACGCCAACAAGGTTGCGCCAGGCAATGCGGTCAAGCGAGTGACACGCGGCACAAACTTCACGGTAGACCTGGAACCCGCGACGGATGCTGAGGTGCGGGTGTCATGGAAGATATTGCACAGTAGTTAACGCGGACATACCTAGAGTGGTCAAAACTGTCGAACAAGCCCTTGTGGGACCAAGGATACGCAGTGGGATGGAGACCGTCGTCAGCTAGCGAATTCGCGTGCACCTCACCAATGAAGGGGAGGGAGCCGTACAGATGGGTATACCATGCTATCGAGCCAGCAGAGAAAAGGGTGAAGGAAATGAGTGACGCGCGGGATGTGAGCAACGACTGCAATTAAAAATTAGTGGGCCCGTCCAACAAACATCATAAGACCCATTGAAAACGAACCTCAAGGGTAGCTGAGGATGCAGAACTGGATGAAGTAAACCGGACCTGCTGTCGGAGGTTGAGCAGGCGAACTTCGGGTTAGTTTCAGAACTAGAACTGACCGACGTAGCACGCGTTCTGAAGGCGCTGAAAGTAGAGCGAGATGCGCCCAGTACAGATTGACTCTTGAGCGCGGCCACGGGCAGCCTCGACAACATTTTGGTTTCAAGTCCTCAAGATTTTCGAGGAGCGGAAAGGCTTGAAGGGGTGACACTGTCAGTGTCACGCGTCACACATATCAGTCACGGAACGAACCGGAGGCTACTCGGCAGTGTACTCCCGATCCCTCCAATACGATCATCTGAATTTCACAGCCATTTGTGGAGTTGTAAAAATCCGAAAGTGAATGATATCTTTGAAGAATAATTTTACAGGATATCACAGGCAAACAGTCATTCAACACGATACTATCACGAAGTACGGTATCGTAGTCCAACGAATAAAAATCAGGATATGACTCGCGACCAAGTCGTAGAGAGAGAAAGTAAAGGTTCGTGTCCATTGTAGCATAAAGGCATCCGGCCGGCATATGAAACGTGATCGTGAGCGGTTTCTCATCAACTGGGCATTGGACCGTGCCAGCGGACAACAGCCCTCCGATGCGACTCCCAAGTCTTACAATAGACAATCGCAAAGTGCCTCTGTCAGGGTTAATTTTCAGTATGCCGGCGACTCGCCAAGAGTTCAGAAAACACCCACCCTCAGCGCAGCAGCAAAGACATGCACCAGCAAGACAAGCTAAGCAGCCAACGCCTCCACCAGCACCACTAGACTGAGCAGGTTGTTGTCTGTAAAATTTTCAGCCTCGTGTTAGCCGCGCAATTCAGGCGCGCAGGGTTAAGTAAGGATACTGACACATAAACTGTCTGCGGTGGCGGCTGAGGTTGGTACCCTTGTCCACCGTAGGGTTGACCACCGTAAGGTTGACCTCCGTACGATTGCTGGGGTTGTTGAGGGTAGTAACCCCCCTGTCCTGGCGGTGGACCTGCAGTCCTTCAAGTTTCAGAGATCACATTTCAATGAAATGCCAACAAATGTGACCAACCTTGGGGTGGGTAGTATTGCTGACCACCGCCACCACCACCATAGTAATCCTTGTTGGCCATTTGTCGATAGAAGGAACCTTTAACGGTTAACGATGAGAAGGAGAGAATGGAACATGGTTGTCGCTTTTGACAAACTTATCTGTAACGTGCAGTTTTCTCACGCTACACGAGGCATATCTTGGCGGTGTCCAACTCCCAGCAATGATCCAAATGGCAGTGCATACTGCATGGCCACTGGCTGACCTGTGCAGCGGCCATAGATCCGTGGCCGCAGTAGCATTTGAGCCAAAATATCTAACGAGTTACCAATCTTATGCTATGCATTGGCTTCCTTGTTTAAACTGGGGGAATCACGGTCTCAGAGCACAGGCAAACAAGACATATGTGTCATTACATTGTACTGCGCCGTCTAACCATCACTGCACCGGAAATGAATCCCTGCAGGCGTAGAAAAGTCGATGATCTCTCTCGTCGTGGGCCCGCAGTTACACTTTAGGCGAAATCTTGTCATGACTTGGTGGCATTAGATCGACGACGACGTTCAGAGACGCTGGACCTGTCAACTTTGCGGCTCAATTGTCATGCTGCAGACGCCTTCGCTTCTGGTTATTACCTCACCAAGACTTTGAATGATGCGGCATGCAAACTTTAATTGAATAATCTAACTTATCCTCAACGTGTGTTTGCAATTATAGCCAGATGATATGTGCACAGTGCACTCAGCAGGTCAAGAGCATGCGACAACAAGAATAGCAGAAATGGATGTCAGTGTTGGAAGGTCGAATGAGTGCACAAACTATGATATACAGCAGAAAACGAAAGAAAAAAAATGCGAAGGTGACCAACATGCGTCGGAAAGTCCGAACGCGAATTCTAGGGTCTAAGAGTTTGGTGTGAAAGCATGGATTCGTGCGCCCTGTCTCAGGAAGCTTTGCGTTAAGCGTGTAATGGCTGGTTTGGAAAAAGTGGCCCATCAGCAAGAAATAACAACAATAAAGCCAGGTCCTTACGCGGTGCGACGTAATTTTCATGCGCATAGACGTCAAATGACCGTGTGCGAGCCTGTGCAAGCACCGTCCCTTGAGATGCAATACTCATAGTACCAGAAGCATCAGTCCTGCGAATATCAGAAATGAATGAAAATCAGCCACGGTCACCCGCCTCGTTCCTTCATTCACGTACTCTGATATCCGTAACAGAGAAATCCCGAGCTGAAAGCGGCCGCGCCAACGTATACTTGCGTCGGGAAACAGAAAATATAATCCAAGACGGCCCTGAAGGTCGCGCAATTTCTGGGGTGACGACACCAGGTTTCCGTAAAGCAGACGCCGCGGTGGTGCCTCTCCGTTTGGTGAAGTGCCCATGTCCAGCGGTCGTGACCCATCATCCGTGAACAATGACAAGTGGGCGATCAAGAACGGCAGCTCCATCTCACTGTCGGAAAGATATATTCGTGTGCGCTAACCTTGTGAGGTGCTGACGAGACTTACGGAATGATGGAATTTCCAAAGCGATCGCGTACAGTGAGCTGTACGACTACTGGCGGAGCTAGTGGCAAACGAGAGAGGCTAGCTGAACCAAACTCCGCGGTCCTTTGGGGATGCTGCACGACATCAAGGTGGTATGACCTAGTTTACCAAAACGTCAGCGCGAGAAAGATCAACACGCTACAAATAACTTGCCTCGTTTGACCATCGTTTAGGAACGAGGAATGTTGGACCCGAGATTGACTCGAAATATATTGATTAGACATGGATGGACTAGCGCGATCGGTGGAAGAAGCCTGGCTCCAAGCAGTACCCTGCTGGCTAGACGACTCTGACTGGGGTGTCATACTCCAGGAGGACGGAGGCGACTGCGTGTTCGAATGGTCGCTAGCAGCGACGGACCTTGGCGAACCCTGAGGGCTTTCCCAGGGCAATTCGTGAAAAAGTTTCTTGTAGCTGCTGTACATCAAGGGCAGGTTGCTCAGCAAGCCGGGGCCCTAGAAAAGAACAGGCCACATACGATGATATACACTTCACGGGCGTGATAGGCGTTACCGGACGTATTTGACGTGTACGCTGAGACATTTACGATGACGGAAAGTGAGTTAGGCTCCGATGTGTGGGTGAGGATAGACAGCAAGTCAGCACTCACTGCAACATCTCCTTCGACACTGAGGCGCGGGCGCGACGCATGGTCAATATCGTGAGCGTGATAATTCAGCGACTTGTAGGGAGAGCTCAAACCATTCTTGGCTGACACCTTTTCCCATGAGCATTGCCTGGACCAGTAAGAGTCAATAGGGCAAGTAGGCATATGTCACGAGGGAAGATTTGCCTGGGAGATGAGGCGCACACTAAGCCTACAGGAGGATTGAGATGGTCCAGAGCATAGGAGCTTGGAATTTAACCAATTCGTGTGTAGGTGATCATATCATATTATACTTATTTCCAGGGAGCGGAGCTCGGGGTCAGAGGAAGACTGAAAGGTATCAGAATTCTGAATCTCAGTACCCAAAAAGTTTGACACTGACAGATCTGAAGGCGACCGATATAGGGTCCCAAATCTGTTCGGAGCAGTATTTGGGAAGCTGAAGGCACGTCTTCTTTGGATCTCGCGCAGTTGTGATCTAAACAGGCCTGAACTACCGGCCGAGGTTCTGTAAATCCCATTGGGACGCTTACATGTCAACTCAACCGAGAATAAATCTCACATAGGTAACCAAATATTAGGGAAGTGTCTATATGTTACAGGGGTCTATCATACGCTCTTCTTCACATAGCTCCAAATCCCTGCCACTCCTGAGATCACTGATGCTGCTGCAAGAGCGGGTTTTACTCCGGCTAATGGAGAAAAGTTTTTTTGTTAGAAAACGTAAACAAATTTAAACGCTGGGGAAATCCCTTTGTACCTGTCGACTTGTAGAGGGCGCCTGTTAATGCACCCGCAGCCATGCTACCGGCTGTGTCATGTTTTCCGCGAAAAGAGTCAATGGTAGAGTTGATTCCGTTATAGACAAGGGCTGTGAGTCATGAAACATCAGTGACACACCACAACAGAAAAGGTGGACTCACCAAGTACACCAGCCGAGTTACCTATGAACGTCCCTCTTCGCGTGACAGAATTGAGAACGCTGTTGATCCGGAGGCGGGAATTTGATACGGCTAAAGGTCTGCGAGCGCCTTCACTCACACCCCAAAAGCCACCCAATGCCAGACCTTGAGGAAAGATGGATGAGCATGTGACAGGCGAAAACAATAAGAATGGCCGAAGTTGGAGATGACAGTAATATGATAAGGTGAGAGAAGATGGAATGAGAGAGGGCACGAGTCGTAGACGTACAAACTCGTGCAAAACTCATGTTAAATAACCGAAAGAGGGAAGACCTACCGCTGAGATACATTGTCCCCGTTCCGTAGCACAGATCATCACTCCAACCTCGAGAAGGTATAGCAGTGCCAGCCCCCGGCAACTCGCTCGTCTTATCATCATCTAGTACAAGATAGTCTAATTGATCCCCAAGTTGAGCTAGAGGGTGTAATTTGGCCGGGTCGTATGCACCCAGGAGCAGGTCGTTAGCCGTTACAGCATTCTCCACAGACACTGCTGGTCCATCACGCGAGAAAGTGGCCGAACGTAAAAAAGACGTTGGGTCTTGCGAGCCAGAGGCCGAGTTTTGAGCGTCACTTGAAGACATGCTTAAGAACAAGTAACTTTGGTGGCGAGTGAGAGCAACGAGCAGGCAGCCGACGAAATTTTGGAAGGGCGCGAGGGATGCGTGGGAATAAATTACCTAAAGCACCAACCTCCCTTGGGTCTTCTCCAAACGTACTCACTTACCGCTTTAAACCTGAACAATTAGAAAAATGTCCTTTGCAACCGCGAGCACACGCGCCCTCTCAAGGCCTGCTAGCTTCTCTTTGAGGACAAATGCGTCCTTCAAATTGAGCCGGGCTCCCCGGTCAAGGCTTTTACACACGGCAGGCCACGAAGCACCTGTCATTGCCACAGCGCGTCCCGGCTATGCGTTCCGTCGCAAATGTGCGGGTGAATCGAACAATGTGTTCAAAAGTCAGCACCGCATTTTCTACTTTCATCTGGCGCTAAAATGGTATTTTTCAAGGATGGGCAACTTCCACAACACTGCATTCGACGGCATCCGATCCTGCAGAGATGGAAGCCATGCAATGTCTGGAACAGGGGACCCAGAAGCTAGAGGAGGGTGATATTCAAGGCGCCAAAGAACTTTACAATCGTAGTGTCGAAATCAAGCGTAATGCTAGCTCTCTCTTCAACTTGGGCGTCACGCATTATCACCTCAGTTTGTCCAACTCATCTCCATAAATTCCAGGGTGCTGAGTAATTTTTTCCTAGAGGAGTTTGACAACGCTATTGCGGCTTGGAAAGAGTCAATAGCACTGCAACCCGCTAGTGCCGATGCTCACACAAGTGCGTGCCTCATCTTAAGAGCTATCTAAATCTGGATGACGACATTAGTATCCGAAAGACCTCGCAAGCGCATACATAATATCTCCTGTTGCACGTCCTGACCTTGCTTTGCATCATCTCCAGCACGTAAACTGCCTAGAACTTCCTTTTCCGTTCACTGATTATTGTGTTCCAGCATTGCGGCATCCCTCTCACCGGAAGACCCTGAGATCGCCTTCAATCTCGCCGCAGTTTTGGAAGCCAGTGAGTAAATTATGACATGGCTTATTGTTCCTAAAATTAACTTCCGCTCCTTGTGAAGCTGGGCAGCTCGAAGAGGCTCTGAAGCAATATCAACGTGCCAAAGAATACGGCGTCGAGCGTGCCGCAATGCATATTCGGAACGTTAGTAGTTCAAATCTCGATCGCCATTTCCAATCTCATATAGCACTGCTTCAACTGCAGGTGAGCGCAAAGATCCTAGGCAAGACCATAAAAATCGCGGAAAACACGGACAACACGGACAGCTCAGCAAAAAAATCAGATTCTTGATGCCGATTTCCACGCAGGTGCGGGTTTTGTCGCATCAGAAAGCGTAGTCCTCGGTCACTTGAAAATTGAAGACTGGGCTATGTGCGAAGTACTTGTCATTTAGTCTCGCTTTAGATAAGTTCCATCCTGCCAAGGAACCCTGGGCACCTACTTTTGAGGGCAGTATTTTATATTCGTGAGCCTAATGCGAAGTTGTAAGTTCTCTTACCCAGGGTTGAAGTTCATAAAATCTCCATGGGATCTTCAGGAGTGCTAGTACCTGCCCATACTACTCCTCGGACCGCTCCATGGGTCTCGGGGTGTCCTCTATCAGAGTCCTTGTGCCCACTTGTCGAATATGTTTCTGAATTTACAGTTCTACTGATTCCTCCGTGGTCATCACCCCCCCTTCTAGAATAGGACCCAGTAGGACTACTGGACGAAAAGGGGCGGCCCCTGCCTCTGCCTCTGCCCCTGCCCCTGCCCCTGCCACCGCGATGAGCATAGCGAGCTCTGTACCCGCGACCTTGTGTATGAATGGGGGCTGAGCCTGTGGAAATGAAGGAAGCCTGCATAGGAGGCTGAACGTTTCCCCGTTTGAAATATGGATAAGAAGCTTGGAGCCGTTGTAAGATCAAACCAATGTCTTCGCGCGTATACTCGGGACGAGGGTGGTCAGAAGGCTTTAAGTAAAGAATGTGATCATGCCCTTCATTGGGTCGCGGGAACTGGAGGTCTGACGCAAACCTGGCCAGAATAGATTGTCCTTGTTGAGGGTCCTTAATGGTCGGGTGTGAACTTCCTATCGGGCAATACCATCATCGATCTCTGCAATAGATAATGGACTGACAATTTCACGTACGTTCCTGAAGACGGGCGGAGCAGACCTGGATACGAATGCAGTGCATGATAAAGCTACGATTAACTTTGAATCATTCTCAGGAATCTCAACGAACCTGATAGGGGGTATCGAAAACAATAACGCTGATGGAAGTACCAGGAAACTGGCGAGCGATATTGATCCAGTGGGATCGCTGTCTGTGGCAATAATATCGGCCGTAATATCAGGCATGCAACCACGTACGTGATAGAAAAGGCTTACAAGGCATCAAAATTACACCTGTCAATGCAGGGCGATAAGCCTTCGCGGAGCGTGCGATGAGCTAAACTCTCGACGCGCTGTCTCGTCCCAAGCTCATCTTGATTGCATCTGCGAAATTGTGGAAAGTGACGTTCGAGCGCCTGAGCAAACGTGGACTGCAAGAATAGTGTCGGCCATCTCTCCGGACCATTCCAAATCAAATGCCATTCATTACCTTTCCTGATGCCACGAGTCCAACAAGGATAAGCATCGTCCGTGTGCCAGCGAATGCCGCTAGATCTTGCAAGGTCAGGTCCATCCTGTCTGTAGCTTTAAAATTACCGAGTTGGAGGTTGGAGGCGAAAAAAAACAGTCGACCTCAACTTGAGGCTTGAGCTCGAAACATGATAAATTAAAGTCACACGGAGGCCGCCACAACGTGCTATATCCTAACTCAAAATATTTTTATAAAGTGAAATCCACGGTGCAAATCCTTGTCACCCTACACTCCTTGACCAACAACTCCTGGAGGTCCAAACAAAAATCTAACAGTCCCTTGATTTCTTCCTAGCATGGCAATATCATTCCCATTGTATAGCTCGCTCGGATCAGCACTCCCGAGAGGTTGCTGAGGTCGCAGCGGGTGTTCATTTTGCCGCATCATAATCTTAAGACGGATGAGCTGATCTGCTTTGTATGGTATCGGCGGGGGTTGCGGGGTGCCAGTGGATGAGAGATGTTGATTTCGCGGGGATGGGTGTGGGGAAGGTGACGCCGGAGTGCGCGGGGACGTATTGGCGGATGGATTTTGTGTGGCTTGTATGAGTAGGTCGATAACTACGTGCGCAATCTCTGTGGGAGGAGAGAATTAGTAGGGACAAAAGGCAAATAGAAAAGTCCCCGACCTTCCAAGTCCTCGGCTTCAGCCATGTACGTCCGCTCCCAATCACCTTTTTCCTTTAAAATGGTTGCCACCCGCGAGTCCAATTGTGTCTCTACAAGGGGCGATGGCGGCGGCTCAAGGGTCGTCAGTAAGGAGGCAGTATACAGACATCCTAATGCGACAGTGTTCGGTGGATACATGATCGGTACCAATGTCCTGTGGCTGTCATTTTGCTCAGATATGAAAACCAGGTGAGATATAATAAAAAATTGTGACACACCTGTCAATGGTGAGCCGCCATGCACATTTAATTAGCTTCTTGGATGCTAAATATGCAGAAGGTTGAATATGCAAAGCAGAGAGCATTGAATCGAGTAGAAGCACCTTTCAGCTTCCTCCCAATTTTGATCACATACGAAAACGGCATTTTGCTGGTGAAATTGAAGCATATTGTCTCTAATATCAGTCGTTCCACAGCTAGGAGTCTCTGGCGGTCATTCTCAGCCGTCTAAATGCACCACATCAGTAGACACCTGAAAGTTCAGGATGATTACTCACCGCGGGATCCATATCAACTTCTCCGCCGACAGACTTCGACTTGGCCGCAAGCTCTGGGAATCGCACAGCATATGAAACCATGAGGATCTCCCGAGGCTTTTTCAGCGTGTCGTGCATCTTAGTGGAAACGTACAGAGCTGCCAGAGTGACATCATGATAGTTGAAGTCCTTTCGAGGAAAGAACAAGTGAAACCTGTGGTACAGATTCTGGGCAGTGGCTAAAGTCTTCCGAGGACTGTCCTTTGCCGTCAACGCCAGTGTCCATTTATCTGCAGGCAAGAACGTACAAGCCAATCTTTGAGCCCACAGCTTCTATGAATCCACATGCTTGCTGTCTTGTTTTCTCCTCTTGCGTGGCAGACAGTTTTCCGCGTTGTTTCTCGGATAGGTATTGTACCTCAGCAGGTGTAAAGTAAGGATGATGATATTTCGAGAATGAGGCCGGCAGCTGCGATGGGGATGGAACCCTAGAATGTCCTGGATCCATGTGTAGTCGAGGTATAGATGATTTTCAATTGCTGAAGCTTTCGTGCAAATGACTTTGGAGCACGTGAGCGGGCAGACGCGTCGCTCAAGCACTGAGCCAAATATAGCATTCATTCACATTCAGCCCATCGTGCTATGCGTGTTGTACGCCATCGAATCACAAACTCACAAGTTATAGATAAGTATCTATATAACCCAAGGATCTCGCTCTAAATTCGATCCAACAAAGCGATCATAAAACGTCCAGAGCACTGTCAGAAATCTATGACAATTCGAAATGTAGTAGGTATTATTCAAGGTATGGGCACGGATAAAAATTACCGAATCATCTTGGAGTCATAACCAGGTTGATGTCTGAAACCTAGACCGTCTATATTCTAAAAAGCAGGTATCTAAAGCGATAATTAAGCACAGAACAAAATCGAGTCATTGTAGTTACCCAATTGGCAAGCCGCTTAGCATGCAGGTACAGTCAGCGGAATTTTCACGGTTGTCTACAAAAAACGTTATGGTTGCGAAACATACGAAATTCAAGCGAGCTTACAGCAAGACCCTTGATCCGGCATTGGATGAGAAAAAAAATTTGTTGAAGATAAGTTAGTGACGTACGGATAGACTAGTTTCTTTGTATTTGACGCTCATGTCAGCCGCGGTGAGGCGCATTGCCTCAATTGCTTCGTCCAAGGTTACACGGTATACGCCGGTGCTAGCCATGGAAAGCTGAGCTGCGGTCACGGCCTTCACAGCTACATCGCGCAGTCCCATGTCAATAAGTAGCATCATCGAATGGAGAAATGCGGACGCACCACCTAGGCTATTTCGTTCCTGTGAGGCTAGATAAGCAGTTGGTCTTCAAGATGCTTTCATAATAACTTACAATGCAAGGCACCTGGACCAGCCCGTCAATGGGGTCACAAGTTAATCCCAGATTATGTTCTGCGGGCCATCAACATAAGCACGAATTAGAAAGTAAAATAATCTTACCGATGCCAATTTCTGCAGCCTGGAAAATGCTCAATAGAGGTTGGCATGGTACAAAACAGAAACACAAACCTGAAGGACAGTTTCGGGCGACGCACCCATGCAGGCAGCAAACCCAGCACTGGCCATAGAACACGCAACTGATAACAGTGGCATGAACACCATCATTTTCTATGACAGTTTAATTCAGCGCACCACCGACTTCCGCTTGGCACCCTCCTTCCGCAGCTGAAATCGTACTGCCCCTCTTGAATAGCATGCCCACTGCCTGTAAATTTCCGTGAGAATTTTCACATGAAACCAATCTGCTTTGCTTACTGCTGCGGTCAGCAAGAAGGTCTTGATCGACTTCTCGGGGTCGTCGCTGATGAATTCGATGACATACTTCAACACAGCAGGGATAACACCGGCTGCGCCATTTGTTGGTGAGGTGACGATGCGCCCTCCGCTGGCGTTGACCTCATTTACAGCGATTGCGTAACAAGAAAGGAAATCGACAGCGGGTATCATTGTCTTACGCTATACGCAATGTCAAGACCCTGCAGATTGGCGAAAAATAAGCAATTACCGGAGGCATTGGAAGAATTGCATGATCGAATGAACCTGTAACCAATGGGGCGCGCGGCATTTTCCCTGATGCACTTACTTCACCACACCTGTCACTTCCGTCTGCATTAGACGAAAATTGTGTGTCTGATTCTGGCGCGTCTATTGCCCCAACAGAGGCGGCGGATGCGGAACCGATGAGCTGCAAATCGGGCGTTGCAATCCCGGGATAGAACCTGTTTCACCAGGAGTTGAGAATCATGTCCACTGGTAAGTACACAGTGAACTATAACTGACCCTCGCATCAAGCGTTTGTACAGCATCGGGGCACGGCGTCGGAGACCTAAACGACCGGGGAGAGTCTTCTCAGCGGTGCTCACCCCTGACCGGATGCAATCATCCATGACCGCCCATATCCGCATGAGCTACGCACAATCATAATTAACTATGTTTGAAGCTGATATGTGAAACAAGTTGAATACCTTGTTGTCGATATCGGCCTCGGATAAACCAAAATAGCGTTCATTATCGTGCACGATTTGTGCGATAGTGAGCTATTTAACCGGTGACAATCAGATACCCGCTCCATGATGTAGTGAGACGTACGTTGTGTTTTCTCGTAAGTGCTAGCAGACTATTTCCAGACTCAAACGGATAGGGCGGATGCCCAGGATCATTTGTTGCTGGTTGGTCTTGGGTTTGATCTCCTTCGGCGGCGTTATGGGTCTGATGCAACCTTGCTCCATGCACCACGCTCTTGTCGACACCCTTGTAAAATAAATTTTCGTCTACTAGTGTAAGTGTTAGCCGCTGACCCTATAATGCATTGTCGGGAGGTACCTTTTGTCTTCTCATTTACTACAAAGCCTCCTCCAACGCTAGCATTTCATTCAGCTTCTTGATCAAACCCCAAGCTTATCATACAAACCTGAAATACTCGTTAGTTGCCAAGAGTTCGCCTTCTTCGCCAAAGCATGAGAAACGCATGCCATTCGGGTGTGTCTTTAGTACTTGATCCCACCGCCACAACATATCACGGTCCATGTCAAAGTTGACGCGGCGAATGCCTCCGAGATGAAGAGTCCTATTTGCTAGTATGGCCTCATAACGGGAAGAAATTGTACCGGTGTCGATAGTTTCAGGGTCCGAACCTTCAAGCCCGAGGAGTATCGCTTGCGGAGTGTGATGGCTGCATAAATGGGATTCCAATGGTAAACAGCGAGAAACGAACATCACGGTGGGGCTGGAATAAGGTACTTACCCTTTTCCTATGTAAGGAGACATCTCAGTTAGCTAACAGAATTCTGGAAATCCGAATACTTACCCGTAGCGGCCAGAGATCCATAGCTATCGTGCGGACCTGCACTGTCAGCTGGATGCAGAAAGAAATCACGCTCCTGCACTCACAGGACTATCTTCAAAGTTTTGACCTGCCAGAACAGGTTCATTCGAATGGGTCTGAGGTAAAGACTAGAAGCACGTACCTTCTCCAACATCTGCAACTCTTGCAAGTCAGCAATGAAAATCTTGCCAGCACGCATGGGCCCAACCGTGTGTGAGCTACTTGGGCCCACTGAGATCCCGTTCAGCCTTGTGTTCACGGACTCAAACTCAATGATACAAGGACTCACCGCCAATGCTGAACAAATCGAATGTGGAAATGACGGCATGACCAGGTTTGACTTTCTCCGTTTCTATGAGAGCAGAGTCCTCTCTTGCCTGGTTCGACGTTAAAGTGTTTGTAGGATACTGCGAGATTATCGAGTGGGATATCTTCCTATTCATGCCCACTGGAACACGTCGGATAAAGTACTGCGGTCGCGCACGGAGGGCAATGCGGATTGTTGAAGGGTTCATTATGGATAGAGGCAAAGAGGTGAGAGGACACAATCTACGTATGCCTGTGGTTCTATGGTATGATGATGATCCAGCTCAGCTGAACCTGCCAGCGAACGGAAAACTAAGGACAACCGACTTGGACGGAATGGAGTCAAGTTCCAACTTGGTTGGTATATCAAGTGCTAAACTTTATTTTAGCACATCCTAGAAAGGAAGGCGCCGTATTCGCGAATACTCCTGTCGTTCCCTATATCTAGGGAAGAATAACACCTTTCAGATCTGGCCGCCCGAACCGCAGGCCTCGAGCTCAGCCTGGGCTTGTCTACAATTTTCCAGATTTCGTAGAAACAGCCCATGTTCTACTTGGTTTCTGCACGAACGAATTTCCAGAGTACCGAGCCATGTGCCTCTCGAGTCTCGAGCAGAGATGAGATGCATTGGCAAGTATGTATTCGTATGGGGCCTGACTTTCGTTCTCAGAGGACGGGCTTATACCGGAATTGTACCGGAAGGCACCAAGGTACGTATATGATGTTTAATTGGCGTGAACTCGGCGATCTGTTGCACAGGAACCAGCTTGATTTTAATTCCGACAGCGTGGTCCAGGCGGTTCTGGATGCGAGGGTCGAGTAGCGACTCCATGACTCGATGAAGTGCCATAACCCACAATGACGAAGGAAAAAATGTCTGAGTTAATGAAGCTCGATTTGTTGTGCGCTTCACACTCATAGAAGCAGTGCTCTCTCCACGCTCTTTATAACTGCCTCTCCCTTTTTCAGTTCACTCCCCTTCCCTCGCACCCTTTCCCTAGTGTTCCGTTCGATGTGCTTTTCTGCTGGCCAGCTTACCAGCAAACATGCCCCTCTTCCTGCTTCAGTTCTGAATGATCATAGACCCTTGGGCGTCTATACCCCCTCCCCTTCCCGAGTTCTTCAGCATCTCCTTCCACGCAGTTGGGTATGAGCAAGCTCTTCGAGTTCATATCATAAATGAAGCTCAATCGCCTAGTTTAACGGCCCTCATCGCCCACCGCTGCTGCTGGCTGTGTCACTTCTACTCCGGTCCATCTTCTCCCACTCCTCCAGGCCCACCTGCCTCGCTAAGATGTTCTCGGGATGTCGTAAAACAAGGAACAGCTCGACATCTGACTCAACAAACCAGCTTCAAAAGGTGAGCGTGTACCTCAGGAGGACCCGCTCGTCACCCTGTCACCTTCACCGCTCTTGTTTGTTTGTTTTTTTCAACAAAAAAAAACATACATGTGCATGCCATCTGAGAGACATCCCATTCCTCCCCTACGTCACTCGCATCTATAGGCGGGCATCTTCCGCGGCTTCACCAAAAAATCTCCCCATGCTGTTGATACCAGCTCTCCTAACTCACCTGTGCAGCTCCCCTCCATTGAGTTGGATATTAAGTCAGTTGATAACCTGTTCTTCCGCTCTTCTTTGCCTCTACAGCACTAGGTACCACCCCCGCTGTGTTCGCAGGGGGTTAGCGCCGCACGACGACGGGCTGAATCATCTGTCTACCAAGCATCTAGCACTGCCTCCCCAGAAAAAATTGACTGGGGCAACTTGGTGAGTCCTCATCGAAGGCATTACCACGCAGGCAGATGAATCGTTTGACAAGTTCCATGAGTCGGTAGGGGTATATATGACCTATGTTTGAAGTAAGAGGCGCTTTTGAGGGGATCTGTGCATACCTCAGCATGGTGCGCGCTTCCCTTCAGAGGATACGTACGATCCGACGAGTCTCAAATTAGCATCCGTGGCACGTCCATGTTGTATCAGAGAACGCGCGCCACACTGCGTTTCCTGCCATGTCAAGGGATTGCGAAGACGGCGCGAGCTCCTGTTTTACAGCCGCTTTAGCATGCGACAGATCTGGGTTGTGTGTTTCAAAATGACATCTGATGATCAGATTCACAATTTCATCGAAAGGATGCTTGTGTGGGTTTGATCGGGGACCACTGGCACAACCTAGCAGGAACTTTGTGGACATGGACTCATAGCCCGATCCGTCATTGTTTCACAACAAGGGCACAACGCAAACCTCAGCCTCCTCAGCATAATGTGCCCACAGTAAGCAATGTGCAACCCGTGGTGAGTATTAGAACTCACGTTCATGGGACTATCCGAGTCCGAGACAAATACATACTCCTCCGGGGTCAAACGTTAAAACGTGATCTGGTAAATGAAACAGCATCTTTCCCTTTTTTTGCCCCGTTTTCCGATTGGTGCCTCGAAATTTTGATGTGAGCCTTACCAACAATAAAATATGCAAAGTATGATCTGCCTCGCGGGATCCGTCAAGCTGAGGCAATGCAGTATGTAAGATAAGCATTAGGTCTAGAATCTGACTCTGGTCTGTTCTAGATAATACTCCTACACGGCAGGATATCTAGCAAATCGGATAGTGTTAGCCAACGCCGATCACGCGCGGTATGATGGTCATACCATCGACCGGTAACCAAGTTTTTATGGCGTAGATCATGATCATTGGGAAGGTCGGCGTCGCGTTGCTAACTGTTGAAATTCAGGTGTCTGCTGGATCGTTGGTATTGGTCGTGAAAAAAAACTTTGTGCTACTCTTGGTGAATGGAACCCGGGAGTTTCGGGCGGGAGGTGGTCATCACACTTGAAATTGCGATAATTAGTGTGTGGTTGTTGCGAAACCTTCTTTTGGACAACCACTGAGCTTCGACCGCGGCTTCCTTCTTTCCTACAACCGCGAGCTCAACGTCCAACACGACGAGTTCGACGCTGCCCACGACGGTCTAGACCACAGACTTACGAAATAAATATCCCACTCCAACCAGACCTCAACTGGTATGTAAGAATCTCCGATTATCGTCTGCCATAACTCATTTTCACGCTTTTAATTATTGGGACAGATCATCGACGAAACGTACAGCGCTACGACGATTAGGGCTCACTTGCCACAAAAACCATCTTCTCAGGCTTCGCTTGCCTTCCTAGTTTTGTTCCAAGTTTTGTTGTTGTGCAATATCACGAAAGCTTGACTTGTTACAACTTGCTACGATGACTACTCCAGTCGCCAGTGCCACGCCCTCCCGCGAACGAAGCTCGACTTCACAGTCAACGTCATCTCCGATGTCAATGAGACCTCAGGCATCCTCTTCTACTGCTTCAATTGCGGCCTCTGCATTGGGTCAAAACGCCAACACCACCACATACCCCATTTCTCTCGAAACTCTCCTTGCCACCCATGCCAACGCACCAAATCCAATACTCGCTGCATTGGATCAGGTCCTATCAGAACGCAACGTCCTCTCAACTCAAAATACACAGCTTTGGAAACTTATTGAGAAGCAACGTGCCGCATATAACCAGGTGCTCAAGGAAATTGAACGTGTCCGTAGTGAACGAGATACGTACAAGACCCGCTTACAAGCAGCGGGAATGAGCACTGAGCTGGCAAAGAAGGAAAAGGATCGCGAGAAGGAGAAGGAAAAGACTAGGAGTTTGAGGTCCTCAGGATCCAATGCCACGATGTCGAGTATGTCTGTCAATGGGTCTGCTGACTTACGGTCAAGGATAGTTCGCAACCAATTAGATGCCACATGTAAGTCATTATCTCATCTCCTGCTGGTCACGTTCCTAAGTACTTTCCTCCCAGCATCACCATCTCGTAACGACGACCGTCCTGTTTCTCCACCATGCCTCCCAGACATTAATACTAAGGACCCCAATCCTGAAATGCCCCAAACGCCTCAGACTTCAATGTTTACACGTCCACTAAACTCTCCTTTGGTTGTGCCTCCTCGAGGTACCTCATTAACACTTGCTGCCGCATCTTCTGCTACTTCATCTAGCGGGGCCACCTCGCCAGGATCAACGTCACAATCGAGTATCGACCTGGAGAGAACTCCAGTACCACGTACAACCGACTCACGACCTCATTTGCAACAGTCATCTGCACCACCACCACCACCACCATCTCTTCAGTCTGGTCACCTGCCTCCCGTTTCCCTTCGGCCAGCTCATCCTCCCACCACTACACTCCAGCCTCCTGCTCCATCTATCAACACTCTCGTTCCCCCTTATGGCTCAGCCACGTCTCCCAACAGTTCAACCATATCTCCCATCAATATCTCAAACACCGCATCTCAGACAGGCTTGCTTAGCCCAACAGTTGATCACTCACAGCACCCATCACGGGGGTCTCGAATTTCTTCTGTTTCACTCCCAGATGAGGCGAAGCTTTACATTGCCAGCATGGGTGAGAGCCCATTGCCAAGTCCATCTATAGGCCCGGACAATGCTGGGTTTAGCGATGATGTGCAGTGCAATGCTGGACAGGCGCCTCCTGCCGATGGCGCGCCCCGGAGGGAATCTCCCACGATCATGCTGACAAATGGGCAAAGTGGTGAGGTGGGAGAGTTCCTGGACATGGATGATGATGATCGTGAGGAAGAGGCGATAGAAAAGCACTTGAAAACGAAGAATAAGCCTCATGCAGCAGTAGAAGATTTTCCAATGCCCCCCTCGCACGGCGCCATTCATATTCCCTCATCCCATGTGCAGTCCTTGGATCCTACATTAATGCTCACGCCAACACAAGCGAACCCACTGCCATCGGCGGCGGCGAGCACGCCTTTGCGAGCGCAATGGCACCCGCAGCGGGAGCTGCTACAGTCCGACAGTGCTTTTGTTGTTATCCCTGAATCTCCTCTACCTACATCCTACTTGTCGCCGACAAATCCGACTTCATCATCCGGCACTAGCGCAACGTTCCGTGCGCTTCCTCTCTTGCCAGACGACCTCGTGACGACGCGGGTCGCCGTCTCATACTCGTCCGTAAAACCAAATGACCGTGGGAAGGAGGTTTTATCATTCATCGTTGATGTGGAGCCAGGACATGGTAAAGAACCATGGAAGGTGGAGAAACTGTACTCGGATGTGCTGACCCTTGATAATCGCATGCGAGCTAGCGTGGGGAAGGGTCTCGGGAAGAAGATGGCGGTACTCCCAGAGGGGAAGATCTGGAGGGATCATGCACCTGCGAAGTCCGATCAACGCAAGGTGAGTGAGACACACTCATCAGTGATGGTCATATCTTATATATGATCGATGCCCAGGTCGCACTCGAGGTGTACCTCCAATCGTTGGTCGACCTACCTGTGAAAAACAAGGACGAAATTATCGCCTTCTTCACTTCCGACATCGTTCGAGAGACCCATAAGCCTGTCATGCAGGCTGGACACAAGGAAGGATACCTGACGAAACGCGGGAAGAACTTTGGTGGGTGGAAGTCACGATACTTTGTCCTCCAGGGTCCAGTATTGGAATATTATGAAAGCGTAAGCAACCTCCATTCGTCACCCGCCACAGCCGTCTTATTATGTACCCTCAGCGTGGAGGCGCCCATCTTGGCTCGATAGTGATTACCTCCGCCCAGATAGGGCGACAGCAGCGCACAGCTGACAATGACGACGAAAGAAATTACCGGCATGCTTTCCTCATCATCGAGGCCAAGAAAGCTCCAAATGGATCTCACTCGCGCCATGTTCTGTGTGCAGAAAGCGATGTAGAGCGTGACAGCTGGGTTGACATCCTTGTGCGGTATGTATCTGGATCGTTCAACGAGGATCCTGCCACATCCATTTCCACTGGCCCCAGTCCAATATCTATCAATGTCAACGTCCCTTCTGGGCAGGGGCAAGGGTCTGGGCAGCCAAGATCAAGCACTAGTTCCAATCATGATGGTTCAGTGTCCACGCCGAACGGAAAGCGTGCCAATCGGACGATGTCTAGGGATGATATCTCGCGCGGTGCCGCAGTCCCCACCAGCCAGCTTACGCAAGACGGGACCAACACAAAACTCTTCCACTCCGCACCAATTCCTGTGGTCACACAGGATCCACGCCCACACTCGGCTAGTCCAACCAAAGGACTCGACCCGTCAGCTCACCACGAGCGAGACCATTACACTGCAGAGGAGACTGCTCGGCGGATTTTGGAGCGAGGTCAGCCTTCGGGGAGCTCAGAGCAGCTTTCAAACTCGTTACCTAGCTCCTCGCCGCTGGAGGGAAGCAGTGGAAATCTGATAAATCTGAGAGCGAACTCTGAGCTTGGGCACTATTCAGACCTACAACGTGGTTCTAATTCCAAGCAGGAACCATTTTCACCGGAGAACAAGCTGAGGGAGCAGCGACGTGACAGGAAGTCTGTCCATCCAGGATTATCTGTTATAGCTAGTCCAACCACAGCGAACTTTGGTGATCGTGCACCATCACCCGAATCTAGCGCTACACCTTCGAAAGGCAGTGATCGCGCAAAGATATCTGCTCCGATGAACGGAGCGCCTATACCAGCGGGATACAAGTTTGGCAGCAAGGATGCTCCTTCCGAGAATTCCGCAACTTCGAGTGACAGACGAGAGAAGGCGAAGTCGCGGTCCTTCTGGAACTTTGGACGGCCCGTGGACAAGTCGATAATTCATGTCCCCAGAGCTATCTTTGGTGTCCCACTCGAAGAGTCCATTGATGTCGCAGAGATCGCTCGACTGCCCGCAGTGGTTTTCAGGTGCATTCAGTATCTGGAGGCAAAGAAGGCAGACCAAGAAGAGGGTATATACCGTCTTAGTGGGAGCTCAGCTGTCATCAAAGGGCTGAAAGACCGCTTCAACGCAGGTCAGTTACACGATGTTCTGAGTTCCGCCTGACCGTCTGACATTTTATTCGCAGAGGGTGACGTGGATCTCCTTGCATCGGATGAATATTGGGATCCTCACGCCATCGCTGGACTTTTGAAGAGTTTTTTGCGAGAGTTGCCCGCCAGTATCCTGACACGCGAGTTGCATCTGAAGTTCCTGGCAGTGATAGGTGAGAGGACTTATAGTTTGTTGGCCTACCTGTAATGACATCTGTAGCAGACTTCGTCGACGCACAGGAACGCATCCGAGAACTATCTGATCTCATCGCCTCCTTGCCGATCGCCAACTATAGCCTCCTGCGCGCTCTTACAGCCCATCTCATCCTCATTGTTCAAAATTCGACGGTGAACAAAATGACGATGCGTAACGTTGGCATCGTCTTTAGCCCTACGCTTGGGATTCCTGCGGGCGTGTTTAGTTTAATGCTGGGCGAGTTCAACCGCGTGTTCAATGTTGACTCTGGACAGGGTGATGAGGACAATGTTGAGGAGCTGAGTCGGAGGAACAGTCGGCAGTATACGGACGCTGCTGCTGATCAGTTGTTGGGCTTGTCTGGAAGGAGCTTGAATGGTATGTATGTGTCCTGGTTCATTTTCAACTCCTCACGATTGTGTTCAGCTCCTTCCGACGGAACTCCTTCTGAGGACGGTGACAGCATTTCTCTTCATTCTGAAAGTGGAAATGATACTGCCGAGGACGCAACCGTAGAGTCGAACTTAACTCAGTCGAGTGCTAACCTATCTTCGAGTCACCACCATCTACAAGACTCACAACAGAACGACAATCTCCTTTCGCCGCTCCGATCTGAAGGAGTTTCGTCGGAACAGCGGTCACGAGCATCTAATCTTGCCGCCAGTCGTGGCCTGAACATTGCGGTTGGCAAGAAAGGCAACAGACAGAGCCGTATGATCGGCCTTCCCGCGTCAGCCCGGTTACCAGTTGACGCACCATGCTCCCCTATACCTTCACCAATGCACACGGCAAGACAGAGTTGATGACCTTACCCTGTTACTTTACCCTGCATTCGAGATCAGGGCTTGTACTCTATTTACCCATCTCGATTGTGGTCATCTGTTTTCATCTATACCCGTCTCATATGTTGTTGGTTCGCCAGCCTCGTTGATTTTTTACGTAGATACCCTGCTTTATTCGAAATAGCGACGGACCTCCGCTGAAATGTCAAATACATGTATTCGTGGCTATTTGTGCTTGTTTGTGACAGCACATGATCGTGACAACTTTAAGTTCACGCGACGCGTTCGACTCTCACCTCCACCCTGCTTGAAGCCTCCAAATCTGCCGTGTCATTCGAACTAAACGTATTTGTTTGAGCAGGATGGCTAACGCGCAAGCAAAGCAAATTCCGTTTTCCTTGTGCGTTCAAAAGTTCCTGGCCGCACTCGAACCGTTTTTGAAACCCCTGACTCTAGCTTAGTTTCTTTGCTGCACGAAATCGCCAATCTTCCAGCACATAATACATCACTCCGGGTCAACAAACAGTCTTCTGTTAACCGTTCTCCCGCCCACATTCTCAGACTATGGGTCGAAGCCCTCAAGAAGAACTATTCACCTTTACCTCGGGATACCACTACACACGTTCTCCGTCTTCTATTTCCTGAAGAAGACTCACACAGGAAGTATGACCTGCAAGAAGCAAGGTTATCGCAGCTTCTACCGGAATGCCTTGATACCTCCACCTTTCCGCCTATCTCTACCACTCGCTTGAAACAGTGGAGTAAGCAACAGAACTCGGGATGCCTTGGCCAGGAAATTCTCGCTTTACAATCATCAGATGCTGAGGTACCTCTTTGAATAATTGACCTGCTGGCTGCAGTTAATTGAACCGTAGCCATCTATCGGCCCAAATAGTCTCCAGGGTATCAACGTATTGTTGGATGAACTGGCCTCTACCTCCGCATTTTCTGACAAGACTCTCCACGTGGCTCATTCTCTGTCGCCACAACGGTCTAAACATGCTATCCTGCGGTCTTTATTTGAATCTCTTCCTGCTCTCGATGCTGCTTATCTCACGCAGATCATTCTGAAAGATCTGAGACCCATTTTATACGCTCCCCCTGTCGCGTCTACCAGTCGTGCTCTCCTTGAATACAATACGAACAGCAAATCGGTGTTGACGAAGGAGCAGTTCATGAAGATTTGGGACCCAAGTGGCTCCATGTTGAAAATGTACAGAGCGCGTGCTAACATGACCGAAGCGGCCCTGTGCTTTGAGGCTGGAGGTGCGATTTTGCACCCGAGGCCGCGCTGGGGTGTTCCAGTTGAGGTGTGCTCTTTGAATTCTGCGGTGACTCGCCATCTGATTTGAATCATTTGCAGATACCGAAATCTGCAAAGGGCCGGAGCCCGCTGCATGCACTTAATGTTCTTAGGCTCAGCAACGCTATCTGGGCAGAAACCAAGTATGATGGCGAGCGTGCACAGATTCATGTCCGATTTAGCGGCCAAGGTGATCCACAAATTACAATTTTCAGTAAGAGTAAGAGGGACTCGACGATGGACCGTATTGCGGTACACCCGTATGTTTTTCCCCATCTAGTCATGTTCACAGTTCATGCGCTGAGAAAGTCTTGGAAAGCATAATCATGGAGGCCCTTGCTGGCTATAGTATGGGAGACATCATACTTGATGCGGAGATGGTTGCGTATTCTGATGAGCGGCACAGAATAGAAGGTAATTCTACTCCCACATGACTGTGGCATTTGCACAACTTGAATTTATCACAGAGTTTTGGCATATACGTAGCTTAATAGCGCGCACTGCTGAGGGTGCCCGGGCAGGCGGATATCGAAGGGGCGAAATCAAGCATGATTCGTACACACAGCATGTATTTCTTTCGAGATCATGACCCTTAATTCACACGTACCCACAGAGACTCTTGCCCTTCACTCCATTCGAATGCGTCGTCAACGGCGTCTACCTTGCATCTCGCACTCGTTTTCTTTGATGTCTTGCAGGTGGGCGCAGCCTCCATGTTGAACGCACCATACTATATGCGCCGGTCACTACTTGAGAGTATTATCACCCCAGTTCCAGGGCGTTCGATGTTGGCTGAGCGAGCAGTTATCGTAGATGGGCAAGAGCAAGAGCCCGAAGGGCAAAAAAGATTGAGGGAAATATGGGCCAAGCGTATTACGGAATGTGAGGAAGGGCTAGTACTCAAGGCTTCAGACAGCACCTATGGAGACTGGAAACTCCCTTGGGTCAAGGTATGCAAACAGTTCATCGACCTATAGCCTCTTTCAACTTCTGAAAACACACGCATACAGCTGAAAAAGGATTATGTCCCTGGGTATGGTGATACTATTGACCTCGTCGTAGTTGCCGCTGCTTGGGAGAAAGACAGAGCTAGAGAACTGAGATGTGTGTTTTATCTACTGGACCTTGAGGTTGTGATGATGAACCAGGCTGTTCAGTGTCACCATCAACCCTGACTACTTTCTACATCGCCGTCCTAAGCAACTCGGAGCAAATGAACATCGATGTAAGTGCGGAATCATCATTGTTATGTGGTCTGATGTCTTTCTTAGCCCGGTTGCAAACCTCACTTTGTTGCATACTTCACTGCTTCATATGGTTTAACCCGCGAGCAGCTTGAGGAATTCAATTTTTGGATACGTGCAGACGCGGTTGATGGGCCCAAGGTTGTACATATGTGCACGAGCTTATAATCATACTGAACACTGAATATCCAGCCGCCTATTGATGAATTGTGCTACACGTACGCTATGCTCCAAACGCTACCAAGGCCATCTGTGTTTGTTCGGAAGCCGATTCTAGTAGAGTTGTGTGGTGCGGGCTTCACCAAGGCGCTGCAGAGCAAGGTACACTTTGTTCTCACCTTGTTGTCGCGGTGCATATTTAAAACTCATCCAGTACTACGAGCTCCGCTTTCCACGCATCACGAAGACCTTCCGTCCATCTGAGAGGTCCTATATGGAATGCATCACCCTCCGTGGACTGCAGACTATAGCTTTTGAGGCAGTTGGACGAGAGGCCCATGATGCCGCGAAGTACAAGGACCTGGATGACTGGGGAAAAGGCCTGTGGGGGAAGCTGGGAAATGATACTGCTGAGAAGCAAAGAAGGGAGCTCAAAAGACAACGGTCCATTGTATACTGGGAAGAGAAGCTGGAGAGCATTGATCGTGTGAGGAGTGGAAAGAGAAGGAAGGTAGACCTGGAGATGTCCCCATAGGTGGTTCATGTGCTGAACAGATGCATTACTCACGGTGATAATATATAATCTTATGCACGGATGGCTTAACTAACATCCTTTCGATTCCCTGTTAGCAAGGACCATCTTGCCGAGGGTCACTTGTGATGATTTGGGTAGACTAATGGTGGCTTATGCTGCCGCTGAAGCGAGTGTTCTTGGACTTGAACACTTACCATCACTCCTCATCGACTCTGCGGCAAGCGAAGACTATTAGTAGCGCACAGAGCCGACCAATAATGATTTCTGCCAAGCTTATGACAGGTAGTTACATGAATCTAACGACGTATTTTGCTCGTTTCCCCATGGCCGACTAGCTCAGTTGGTTAGAGCGTCGTGCTAATACCAACTCATGGTACGCGAAGGTCTTGGGTTCGATCCCCACGTTGGCCATATTTTTTGTTAGGTGTTCACTGTCTGGATTGTGAAGTTTGTAATTAGAGACTAAGTTAGGGCTCCCGCTTAATGCGTCCTCTAGTGCATTAATTGTTTTCGCAAGCTGGGCATCTAAGGCGATTCAACGTTGCTGACCGTAGATGACATAACTAAACTAACGATTTCATGGTTCGATGAGTCATAGGAATAGCTGAATTCAAGTCGTTCAAGATGTGCTTATATTTTGTGGATGATCGACTGAATGTAAATCCACATCATGTGGCTATAGTGAAATAAGTGGGTAGTAAGTAACAGCCAGCGATCAAAACCATAAGGTAAAGGCGGGAATCCGAGGAAACGGCTGTCATCTGAGATTCCTAAGGGCTTCATTGACTGTACTTCGCTCGCCAAGCAAAGCAAGTATCTGCCATCGCTGATCTCGTACCTCCCGATCCTTTAGTAAGATAACATCTTCATCATCCATAACGTCGTTGTCGCCAATAGCCAGGCGCATAGCCGCGGCTGATTTATTCGGTAGCACGGCAGGCGAAAGTGTGAATAGGGTATCGAAAGATGATGCAGTGAGAACACGGCTATGTGAGTGGCGTGTGGATGGATGTATTGAGGCGATTGCGTGAGACGTCGAAGTAAGAGAAAGTGCATGTGTAATAAGTTGCTTCAGTTTGGCCTGCATGAAATGTGAGAATTGCATGTCAATACTGTCAAGGATGACGGACCTCAAATGCAAGCATCAATAGCGATGCTACGGTTCGTGATGGTGCGCCAAGGTTATGTTGTGCTGCTATGAGATTAACTCTATCTAAAATATGTTGTAGTGTCGGTGCTCTTGAGACCGATGCAAGATGCAACGGCATACGACTGCCGGGCGGATCTTTGAAGAACCAGAATTTCAGTGGTCATCAAAATGCAACGAATAATTATGCGCACCTCCGCGCTCAGCTAACAACACCACCCCTCTATCACGTGCTATCTCATCAATAGATTTCCGAGGTCTCGGGCGTTCAGCAGGAGCAGACGGCAGTGTTCGTATGCGGTCGCGTTCGCGCTTCCCCAGAGATACAGCCCATCGCTTAATTCTTGATGACCGCAAAGTATCATCATTGTCATCCGGGCCTTGGTAAGGCAATGTTCGGCGACGTTTACGTGGTGGCGGCTTCGATACATCAGGAGGGGGTGTGGGTAGTCGACGGTGCACGGTAAAGTCAAACAACGAGATGATAAGGGAGTTGTGTAACTGGACTAGAATAACGTCAGTACCACTGTGAAACGCCAGGAGTAATTGCACATACCTAAATTCGGAGCATCCAGCGCCTGGCGAACGGATTCGTCAAATTCTATCCTGGATATCTTGCCAGAAACAAACTGGCTGAGTGTTTCAAAGTATGCTTGTGCTTTCTGCCCCAGAGCAGCATTGAGCTGGTTCTTGATTGTCGATGTTGAGGACAGTGACATTAGTTGGCTAGAGCAAACTTGAGTCTGAGGTTGGTATCAGATATTTCCCACGACTGAGTTCATGCAGTTAAATGTAGTTCCCATTTGGTTCGTACTTAGTCCACAGTTCTAGCTTGTTGCCACACCTCATGTTGGAGGAGGTCAAGAACCTCATGGCAGTTCTCCACTTTGTTTTCCATGGCGCTTTTTATGTCTAAGCCAGAGACACCATCATAGCACCGGATACTTGAGGTATGCACTAATCCAGTTCGACTCGGATGACGGCCGGGTCATCGCTTCTGAGTCGGAAGTCCTTCATCAGTAAACCGATGAACATATTAAAATAACATATTAGACTATATATGAATAACAATCGCAACAATCCTCCACAATGTTGCGGGGAGCGTTACATGACTTTATGTAGGAACGATTAATTTTTGAGGTAACCAACCCAGTTGTCCTAGGTCCAACGAATCATCATCTGCTTTAATTGTCCTGCAAATGAAAGATGAGACTCCAGTCAACGGAGTAAAACGCAAGTCCGTAGTTATCCGAACAAGCCCAAAAGTTAGTAACTACTATTAGCACGAGGTCCTCTCGTCATGCGACAATCTACAACACAATATGCCTGGCGCAAAAGACATAACTCTTCATGCCAGTTGTGAATTGTTGCTGTTAATATTTGGTTGCGTAATGAGAAAATGCGAAGTTTACATTGGACAACCTATTCGGTTGGTAAAACACAGGTCCCTCGACCCATACGTGTCACAAGCTCGCCTGAACTGACTGAAATGTTTATCATGTGCTTCGCTTGGAGTCCCACCATTGTCTCACATCATATCCGACATCAAAGTATTTGGTCAATGACGGTATACCAGCACAGCCTACAAAAGTGCACTCAACTTATGGCACCGGAAGCTCTATATAATCTTCCTTGTGATGTCCAATCTTCGCAATCATGAGATTGCATGAATATTCGTAAGCCGCCGGTCTAGCTGCCGTATCGAACGAGATATGGTGATGCCGCTCAATTTTCTGCTAAACAATACAAAAGTCAGATTTCCTTGATCAAAAACACAATCTGCAAACTCTAACACAAGAGGTGCACTTAGCGAGTGGGGGAACTATGGTTAGTGTGGGCATAGCAAAATTCTTATTAGCTGATAGGACCAACACCGAACAAGATATCAGATGTGAAAACACGTACTTCTTGTGCTCTGTCTGCGCAACAACAGAGTGTTTGACTAAAATGAGGGATACAGCAGATAATAAAGCAACACTGCGGGACGGTCAGGTTGGTGGTAGTTCTAAACAAGATGGGAAAAATCATTCGATGGGAAGTATGGATGCAATGAACATGAAGGTGCGTGGTTGCGGAATTGGCTTTGCAGAGCCAGACAGATTGTCCCGATCAACCTTGGGAAAGACAAAAAATGGCAACAAAAATTATTCCTTCGTCCCACTTGAGCGCTGGATACAATACATTTTGTTTGGCAGAACAATTTACCCCTTGGAGACTGGATGACAAGAGGTTGGAGTTGCGAGGAGGTGATAAGATATGTTAGAGTTTCATTCGGGTACCGATCTGTCTGTGACTTCAGACAACGTAACATATTGAATGAGTTGTGCATCTTAATGAGGAGGATAGATTGTTACTAGGAGATAATATTGTCCGTTAACTCGACTTTCTGCTGAAATTCATCCTGATATCCCCACATCCACCATAGTTCCATCTCCTACAAATGTGCGCCTCTCATGTCTAGGATTATCAACTAATACCCTACAGGTGGAGACTGCGAGTGACGTCCTCTACCAGAAGTATTTCACATCGGAGCATTTGTTATCACAGTCGTGAATGAGTGAATTATATAGAGCATGTCCAGAAAACATAATTTTAGCGGTGAATGGCATGCTGGACATTATGGACTTAATGTATCAGTGCTACTATTATCATCAGTGCGTCAAATGGTAGTCAATCCTAATTATAAACGGTGAATGCGACATCATGATTGCATTATTAAGAGACAATGATATAGCAAAGCGTATATACAATGACGGAAGGTAAAATAATGATTGAGCTAGTCCGAATCAAAGACGGAATCCTCCAGTGCCTTTCGTTGCTCTGCTAGTGCTGTTACGGACATTTTGGATACTACCTCCGGCGTGAGGTCCTCGCGATGATTTTTTCCAAAAACCTTCCTAAACAGTTAGGTTAGATATCTGAACATATGTGACAAAATTGTAAATACCTCGTCCACCATTCGAGAAGTGTAGTCACCCTACGTCGTGCGACAGGGCCAGGTACGTCCTCGAAAAAATCCACGATATGGTTCCAGAATGCTTCGTAGTCGAAGTCACCGTCGATGGTGCGCCAAGACGAGATGTTGGATAGCGAAAACCGAACCTGGGAGACAAAGATGGTAAGCCAGACATCAATGGGGGATTATTTTAACTGACTTGACAGGCGACATAAGCGATAGAACGAGGTGTAACTTTCCTCATATTGATTATCGAGGCCACGCACGTTTTTACCTTGACTTGATTTAGTGCCCGCCGCGCGCGCCTGTTGTTCTCGAGGATATCGGCTCCGTCACCATCGCCATCAGCTTCTTTTGCCGATGACGGAGACGTAAAGGTGGCTTTAAAAGCCTAGCGCCATAACAAATGTTATAAGTATTCACGACTATTACTCCAAACTACTAACCTGAACCAAAATTTTCGACATGAAAAGACCTTGCTGGAGGTCGCTACTGTTCACTGAGTAGTTCTCATACACAAAGAGCGGCCAAGAATTCTCCGACACAACATAATCTGATGTTCGGTCGCGAATGCCTGCTTTCACGCTGCCCAAGCCTATCAGCGTCACGTAATAATCAACGAAAATTGATACTCACCAGTCCTTACTCCAATCCCACTCAGCAGGGCAGAGTAATTTGCCACAAACTTCGTGTATGAAGCCGCGCGACTGTTTGTCATCAGATTTTAGTAGGTTGGACGGATGAAAGCTTTGATTGACCCAGGCGGCAACCAAGTCCTTGAGAGTCGAGGTATCATCACCGCGGGCCGCATCCGCTCCTCTTTTAATCTAAACATTATCAGTATGCGGTGTGAAAAGTTGGGCAATGGAGAACTCGCACCTTTTTCATCATATCCTCGACATCATCGGGGTCGAGTTCTGCAAGTTTTTCATGCATCCATGGCAGAGTCTGCACCAGCGCGAAATAACCACGCTGCAAGCGATTTTGGCTATATCACAGAATTAAACATATGATAAAACAAAACAAAAACAAAAAACATGCTCCGGAGTAGAATTCTCCCAGCTCTCCTCACATCTGCGATCGTTCTCCGCAATTAAGTTTTCAATGTTGGCATAAAGGACCACCATGCGGCGGATTGCCCGGCCTTGAGACACATAGTATGTGGTCTTTCTTTGAGGATCAATGAACAAGAGGCATATAGCGAGCAAGATGGGTGACGAACCTTTGCTTTGTTCCTCTTTCTTGCTTCATCATCTGTAACTCCTCTTCTAGAGCGGCAATACGACGTTTTGCCCTCGCCTCCGTGGAGGTCGGGACGGCACCAGAGAGGTCTGGGAGTGGGAGTGTGTGGGTCCGATTGTGCTGGTCATGCTCTGCCGCAGACATGGTAAAAGTGAAATATGTTAGGTGCGGTGAACCAGACAAATAAAGAGTGTGAGTAAGAGCAAAAAATGAAGAGCAACGCGCAAGAGAAAATAACGAGTGATGTTGGAGAGGATTGTAGAGAAGATGAAGGTAAGAACACCCTGCTTTATAGTGTGCACCTGCGCTAAATGGTCGAGACATAAAAGGACAATTAACCACATACGGACATTAGCCTAATGAGGATATTAGCCTAATGAGGACATGAAAGGACGGAGCCGAAGAGTGGGTCACTCAAAATATCACAATACAATAGTATCATAACGCACATAAAAGCTTTCCGGCAAGCGACTGATTTCATACGGGGTTCGTCGATGGATGGTAGCCGAAAAAATTGGGGAGGAGGGAGTAGATTTGGCTCAACAAGCGTCCCGTTTGAGTCAAAAGTATACTCGGATACTTTCCAGTCCCGTTGTTGGACGGATTCCAGTGTAGACAGAGATGTTAAAGGGTGAGGGTTCGTATGCAAGCACGGTGTAAACGTTACGCATGAAAGGAACACCGAGGACCATGACCCCGATTTCGGAAGTGGCGGTAAGTTGTGAGTGATCGATCGATCAGCGCTCAGCGCTCTGAGCAGCTTGTGTAAGGCCAATGCAGTACTGTGCGCAACGTTGTGCTACTGCAACAGTACTAAGTTGTTCAGACACAAGAAAACATTTCATCGAATGTTGGACACACCAGTATACAGTGCAAACGGTTCGTCAAGACTCAAGATATTAATATTGTACTTGCTGTGAATGAATCCCAGTGAAAACTGGACCTTACCGGAGAGGCTCGTAGATGTCGTGACGTGTTATTTTTTGTATTGGAGAGAAAAGCATATACGAGAGCCTCAGAACATGCAGCGCACGAGAATGAGAAAAATGTAAAGAGACGGGGCAGTCTGTGTAATGTCCTCGTATGTTTTTTCACACAAAACATAATTGAAACATATCTGTGCATATTAGCGCACACTTTCCTAGCCTTACAGAATATGCTCGTAGCTCGTTAATTATGATATCATTGCAAAACTAGTATATATAGTACTACAAAATGCAGGTATTCCATAGCGGCGGTATCGAAAGCGGGATATAATGATAGCACGGAAACCGAACGGAATACAATGACGTGAAAAATCATCCTGATGGATACGAGACTTGGATAGATGAAGAGAACAGACAGGGAAGATGCGGGAGATCGGAATGAAGAAAGGTCCACTAGTAGAGTTGGACTTCGCAAACTGACTTGCCCGAGGTCCAAGAATCTTTGGCAATCTGTTGCGAGCGAACAATTAGAACAGCATCAACAAACAAAACAACAAAAAAGTCACGCACCGATAGAGTAGCTCTCGCTGTTCTAAACTCGTGCGGTCAGTATAATCATATCTCCAGATAAACGACACATGAGACACTCACAAGGCGGAACCAATGGAGGAGAATGGTGGGACCTTTAACTTGGAGGCGGGAAGATGGTGGGGAGAAGAAAGGTTTAAGGTGATGGTGGGGATCCCGGATAAGAAAGGTCTAAGGTGGGGCAACGAAAATTCTGCCCCAACAGTTTATGTAACTTTGGGGTGCAGCTGCACAATCTTCGTACCTCGCAATGACATAATATTGGACTTCGCGAGACAAATGTTGCGCTTTTCACTGGGGAATGTTGTCCACTGGCGCCCTTCATTCATTGTGCGTACTACAAAATCAACCACTACACAGCATGATGTTTATATCACGTGACTGACAGATTTTGTTCCGATCGGATCCACATGACTGGTAAAATTTTGATGGCCTTCCAGGTTTGCACCTAATCCAGACGCAAATTCACTTGATAAGCCCGTCACCGCGTCACCCATCATACATGTCTCGGTCCACTGTGGCAGACGATGAATGAAATCACTGTCGATTACGTTGAATTTGTGAATGGTACATCCTGTCAGAATCGATTAATAGGTGGCCCTGCACATACAAATTCATCCAGGTCCAGCTCTTCTGAGTCCATCTGAGGATCGCTCAAAATATGGCTCGCATGATTTTCACAGGCTCCACTACTTCTGCAGCATCTGACTCTGGTTCCCTACTCGATTTTCTACTGGTAAGTCTTATATTAATTGAAACTTAGACTCACATTCTATCACAGTGTTTGCTTCTCCATCGGCTCTGGCTCACTGACATGCAGCTACCCCCTCCCTGACACAACGTGTTACGGATGTTGCAATGTCCAGGAGTGCTAATTGGATCGAGCCGATTAATGCTGCAATTCTAGCCCTGTGTATTCAATTGAATGTGTTTGGTCCTAACACGAGTCCAGACTTTGTAATGTTACATACTCCAACGCGAGGGCTTGGCGAGATCGCCGCCTAGGTTTAAATACCCTGGAATCCAATTTATAATACTCTGGCAGCCAGTTTACCGTCTTCATCTGCCGCAGCTGTAACGGTCTTCGTTGAAGATGCCCAAAGGTGCATTTTTTTTACCATTGAAATCACACTAATATTCACTCACAACATGCTATAGCAGGTGGCAAGAAAACCAGATTTGTTAGCGTTTCATTCGATCCTGCGACACAAGTCATGGTTCAGGCTGGCCATGGTTACCGCAGACAACAGTACAGCCGGGACGTTACTGTTGGAGGGGCTTTCCAGTCTCAGTTTGCGCCCCATAGCAAGAACTCTAGCAAGTTTCGCTTCTTCATAACCCCTCAACCGGAAATTATGCAGCCAGAAGCGCCACCACCGTCACGTCAACCGTGTCTATCCCCACCGTCCTTACCGCCGTCTCCACCACCGTCCTTACCGCCGTCTCCATCACCGTCTCCACCACCGCCTCCACCGCCGTCTCCATTGCCGTCTCCATCGCCATCCTTAACACCATCCCCACCACAACTATCCTTGCAACCCCAGACACCACTTCCTGAGTCGTTTTCGCCCCTGGTATTTTCACCCCAGCTGGAGTCAGTCAGAAAAGTGCCAGACCATGAGGAAGAATTGTCTTCGATAGTGGCACAACTGAGTCAAGGACTTGAACTGAACGTCCTGATTCAACTCGCCAATTTGCAGTGGGACTCGACGCATTCAGAGATGTGGGGTCGTTACGTAGATATTTTAGAACTAGAAAAAAGCTAGTCTCTTTAGTGTTACCGGTACTACTACTGCTATATATCACCGGCACTGTATGCCCTTCGAGACCTACAAAAAGTTCGCTGGAAAAAGGCCCCTATCAAAAATATATCGGAGTTGTATCGGAGTGTATTGTCCCCAAATCGGAGCTATCTGAATCAGGCAGTATTGCCTTATGCGTCTAACTTGAAAAACGTTGAAAGAACGCGGCAACGACGCGTAAGAGACTACTTCGCCTCCGGCTGTTGTCCGGCTGTTAGTTTTATTTTGGGGTACTGCTCGATTAGGCATATTGCCATATTGGGCAAACATGATAAATATTACACCATATTATTTTGGATTGTATAGTACGGCCCCGAGCTCTGCTTGCTTACTTTGCTTTCTCTCTTACCATGTACTCCGCTGGTTCTTCAGCGCACTCTTCAGACTCAGACTCACACACTGTCATCCAGAGTAAACCAAAGCTAGTAAGTGTGTTATCTATCATACATCTGATCTATTACCAAGAATCTCATGATGCCGCATACCGCACTCATCCAGACCTTCACGGGCCATCCTGATAAGTAGACCATGCGCTGTCCATGCGCAGCCTCGCTCGATTTACAACATCACATGGAGTTGGTGTCATCTGTGAGTAAATTAGGTTCTAATTTGCGTCTGGAATCTAAATGAAATATATTCATACTACAGAACATTGCTTGTACATCTAACCGCCATGAACCGCTCCTTTCTTAACCTCCTTCATTCTCCTTTGTGCGTGCTGTACTCACCTGAAAAGTATAAACAAGCATGTTGCTTTGTACAGTAGACGTCTGCGGAGTTGTCAGTACTGATCTAGTGGACGTCTGAATCCCAATTAGATAAGCATGCCACTGGACATGTTGTATGATTTTTATGTAAATAAGTCATGGGATTTGAAAATCTGGCACAAGCCATCATGTCGACTGCTATCGTCAAGCACACTTTCTTATCGGAGAGCATTTCCGCCAATAACGACTCCAAATACCATGCAAAAAGCCTTATGAAATCAGAACGCAAAATCCACGAGGTCAGAGACCTGGTAGTTGAAGACACCTTTGCAGTTGGATCTTCCATCAAAAGTTATCCACCTAGTCCACCCGAGTGCAAGCTTTTGACTACACTTTCTCCATCAGATCATTTGGATCAGCTGTTGGATAGTTTTAATCGGTTTTCACGGGACAATCCCGAGCTTTCACTAGCAGGTAAGCACCCAATGCAAACAACATGCAGATCATGTAACCTCTAATCTCCCATTCTGAAGCTATCCGTGTGGGCCAGGAGGTGCTTCGCTTCATCGCAAAGCCAGACCGTCAACACGAGTGTGAGGTAAGTCTCTATCATAAAATCAACGGACCTACATCTATGACAGTGGCGCTGACTGCATTGTCACTTGTAGGAGTTTTCTGGGGTCTGGCGTGAGGAATTCGAAGCAATCGTACGCTTTATCGAAGACAACCATAATTTTGGCTTGAAGCCCAGGTGCGTCTTCAACTCATACCAATTTATCACTTAATTCTTATTGCAACGCTACAGATTGTCCTATATAGACACCGACAGCACCCTCATAGTTGAGATGCCGTCAGCGGTCCACGAAGCTCCACTCATCGCCTTACACTCTGCTTTCACGTGCTTCTTCGACAATCTGCCCTTTAATCGCGCTTCAATCAATGCAAATGTATTGAGCAACATCGAGGCATCCGACTCTCTTGTCCCGGACTTGAGGGTATCGTTTCAAAATATGCAAGACGTTACAGCGGAAGTTGTCATCCCTATCATTGGGGAGACCGCGTTTTCACAACACATTGACGCCTTAATGGAGAAATTCAAGATGGCGCTTGCCGCTAACCCATCCTTACTGACGTTGATCATGGCTGTCGTGACCGAGAGGGCACGCTACTCTTCACCCGCGAAGAACTCACCTGCGCGGCTCGCATTCATGAGAGATGGGTCGATTCGCTCGGCCAAGGATTTCATCGCTGGGTCAAACGTACTCCCGACCCTTGACGTACCCGTTGTTGTTGAGGGTCACACATGGTGCTCGGTGGAGTCGGTGGAGTTTGTGGTCTGGGTGAGGGGGGACGAAGCTATAAACCTTGAGACACGTGATCCAGCCTTGATGGCGGAGGGGGTAAGCCAATCTTGTCTCAACATTCACATTCAAGTGATATGTTTGTTTTTCACAGACTCTATACCCCGTGGACAATATGGACTCAGTCATGGATATGATTCAGAAAGGAGTGGAGGCCATGAGGGAACAAATCATCTCGATGGCTAAGGCCATTGATCCCGACGTTGATGTTGTTGCCCTACAGGATCCCACCATCAAGTTTCGCATCAGGAAAGACGACATCATCACAAAGATTGCGGGCGCTATGCGTGAAACTGCATACCGCCGCTATGCCGCGTGGTATAAGAAGGCATCCAAAGCTGTCAAGCGGAAAGCTACCTCTGAGCAGCTCCAGATCAAGTCAGGCCCACCGGCTACCAATACTCGTGCTAAGACGAAGGCCAAACGGCGTGCAGGTACTTCTCGTAATGGTTCGGGACCTTCGCGCCGCAGAGGCACTTGACCCTAACATTGTTGTTGGCACCCTATATTTTACGAAAATCTCATGTGATCATAAAATATTCCCGACGTAGCGCAGCGACTCGCGTTTTCAGTAGATAACACCCTCGTATCTGCACTTTCGAATTCTCGAAACGCTAAGTCCGTACTTAAGTCTGCAGCTGCGCGCTCGCAGTGTGCCGTGGGCGTATGGTGGGCCGTTTGCACCATAATTAAATCACGTGCACGCGGGAATTTCACGCACGCACGCAGAAAAGAAATCGCGCGCAGACACTTCGACGTTTTTCAATACTAACTACGTATAAAATTTTGACACAAGGTCAAAGGCAAAAAAACAATCTCAAGGATTATCACAGTCCATTTAGCTGATTGTAGGGTAGATTCAGGTGGAGAGTGCCAGGAAAACCACGAAAATAACAAATGACTTCATTTCCTATCCCAGGGGTAGCACTTTGATTTGACGAGCATGTTGAATCCCGAACGGGATGACGAGAACCATGGAGTGTTGTTGCGCATTGCATGAGGATTCTGCGGAAGGCTGGAGCCAAGTTCATGAGTTGAAGCGTAAATGCTGCCATCAAGGAAGTACCTGTTAACATGGATGCGGAGGGTGGTATATCTTCACTGGCTGGGAGTAGTGCTGTCACAGTCCGGTTCTGAACCTGAACCTTTCCGAACTGGACTCATGGTCTGGTCCCAGGCCAAGACTGAACCTCTCCAGAGGTTCGGGGTTCGGCTGACGGTGAATAGGTTCGAACCTGTTTGTGACGGGCAACCGTCACGACTAAGACGAGAATAGAATGCCGACGAGTTCGAGGAATGAGACGAGGACCGGAAGAATGAGTAGGATGCCAATCACTGGCGTTGAATCCGCAAGAAGAGTACAAGGCAGCAGACGACAGGAAAACTTCTACTACGCTTAGGTAATCTAGATGGCGCGAGAATGGGGCGCAATCGGAAATCAACGTGACTGTAAACGATGGAAACACAAGTAAAGTGAATTATAGGTGAGGGTATCCATAAACCCTCACATCATCCCCCTTCTGAGGAGACGAGTGCAAAGGAGTTAACAAATCAAGACGAGTGGCGGGGGCGCGAGATTCGTCCAAGCGCGTGGTAGGTGCGGGAAGGCGGCACATACTCAGAACGTAAGTTCTGTTGCGCGGGTGGTGGACTGGAGGGACGTAGAACGGCAGCGGGCACTGCAGCAGGAGCGACGGGAGCGACGGGGCTAACACTAACCAAATTCCTTCCACCGCGATTATCGATCGAAGGCGGAGATACCTCGGACACCACGCAAGACGGATCCGTGTGATCGAACGTCTTGTTTCGAAGGTGGATCGCGACGATCGACACCGGAGAGAGGATCCGCGGCAGGGACCTGTATCAGAAAGAGAGAAAGTTTGGTTTAGTACAATGGAATGGGGTCTAGGTGCTTGTGGATGGCGGTCTATGGTAGCGTTCGAGTAACTCGTTGTAAGGTAGTAGGAATATCGGAAAAGAGGAATCCATGCATCCTCGGAATCGGAGGAGTTTTTGAAGTTGAATAAGATACTCGTAACGGTGACCAAACCTTTCGGCAGTCGCAAATAGAGTGAATGGAAAGTGCAGGATCGTTGTCAACAAGAAGTTCGAAAGGAGTAGGGTCTGAGTGTGGGTGGGAATTCTGAAGGTCCTTGTAAGGTTCTAAAAGTGAAACGTGAAAGACGGGGTGAAGGCGTGAAAGGTAAGTAGGTAGGTTGTAAGTGATAAGAAGAAGTGCCGATTTTTGCGTATGATGCGATAAGGACCGAGCCGACGGTGGTCGAGTTTGTCGGAGGGACGTGTGGTTCTGATGTTGCGACGGAGTAACCGACGAGCTGGGTCCTGTTGGAGGTTCTGGGGCTGGAAGGTGTTTTTCGGTCCATAATACTGGGACTGTAGGGCTTGCGCGTGTTTGAGTTCTGCGCGCAATTCCACGTGAATTTGCTCGAGACGACTTGCTAGATCAGCGGCTGCGGGAACAGTGGAACGTTCAGTGACGCGTGGCTCGAAAGTGGGATGGAAGCCATAATTGGCGAAACGGGGTCTGTTTCAGTGATGAGTTTTCGAGATTGTTGAATGCAAACTCTGCGAGAGGGAGGTAATCGACCCAGTCGTCCTGCTGATAAGAGCAGTACGCCCGAAGATATGTTTCGAGAGTCTGATTAGTCCGTTCTGTCAGACCGTCAGTCTGAGGGTGATATGCTGTCGAGGTGTCGACACTGATGGAGAGACGGGAGGTGAGTTCTTTCCAGAACTTCAGACAAATAATGATCCACGGTCTGATACGATCGAATCTGGCAGGCCATGAAGTCGGAAGACACGGTCGAGGAACAGCCATGCTAATTCTGGTGCATTCATGGCTTCACGACATGGGATGAAATGAGCTGCGCGAGTAAGACGATCGCAGACAACCCAAATAGAATCGTAACTGTGAGAGAGTGGGAGCTTGACAATGAAGTCCATGGTGATGGCACGCCAAGGACGTTCTGGGATTTCGAGGGGTTTTAGAAGGCCAAATGGCTTGTGACGTGGGGTCTTGGTTCGTGCACAAGTATCACAGGCTTCTACATAGCGTCGGACATAGGTATTGATGCCGGGCCATGAATAATCTCTTGACACGAGGCCGAGAGTGCGATTTCGACCTGGGTGACCTGCTGTAAGCTGGTCGTGGCGGGAATGGAGTATGTCAGCGCGTAAAGGTTGAGGAACAAAGAGACGGCCTTTATGAAAGACCAGACTGTTTTCGGCAGTGAAATCAGAGTTCCCGCGAGCGAGAGCTTCACGCCACTCTGTATCCATTCGGAATGCATTCTTGAAGCGTTCCAGAAGTGCCGAGTTATCAACTGCTAGGGTAGTGAGTGCTGAGACAGGAGCAGAAAGGGATGAAATGAGAGTGGGCGAAGAAATAGACTTGGTATGTTCTGAAGTGAGTATAGTTTTGCGCTGGCACTCAAGGGTGTCATCCCCCTTCTGAGGGACGAAGTCCGGACGTCGAGACGGAGCATCTGCGACGTTAGTGTGACCCGGACCCCAGGCAAGCTGAAAGTCAAAATCAGATAAAAACATAGCCCATCGTGCCTGACGACGGTTCAAAACTTGAGAAGACATGAAATACTTAAGGTTATTATGGTCAGTAATGACCGAAACGGGGTGCGGAGAGCCGAGGATCCAGGCACGCATCTCGCGAAATGCTGCCACAATAGCAAGTAGCTCCTTATCGTGAACCTCGTAGTTGATCTCGCTGGAAGTGAGCTTGCGGGAGTAGAAGGCAACTGGGTGGAGAGTGCCGTCATCATCTGGCTGTTGCAAAACAGCAGATAGTGCGAAATCAGAGGCGTCAGTGCAGAGTGTGCACGGCAAGGTGGGTTCGAAGTGGCAAAGGACAGGGGCTGTGATGAAATGTTGCTTCAGGGACTCAAAAGCTTGTTGTGCCTTGTCCGAGAAGTCAAAACGGTGTCCTTGTGAGTTAGGGCAGTAAGCGGGAGCGTGATTCGTGAGTAACTGGCAATAAAACGACGATAAAAGTTAGTGAAGCCAAGAAATGATTGAAGCTCCTTGACAGTAGTCGGAGCAGGCCAGTTAATTATGGTATCAAGTTTTTTCGGGTTCATCTTCACGCCGTCAGCGCTAATGATGTAACCCAGGTACTCGACCTCAGACTTGTCAAACTCACACTTCGCGGGGTTAGCGCAAAGCTGAGCGTCACGGAGGCGATCGAGAACCTTCCCGACATGAATATTATGCTCCTCCTGGGAGCGCGAGAAAATGAGAATGTCGTCAAGGTAGACAACACAGAAGATGTCAAGAAAATCACGTAAAGTATCCTGAATAAAAGCCTGAAAGGCGGCAGGAGCATTAGTAAGTCCATAAGGAGTGACAAGGTGTTCGAAAAGTCCATGGGGGGTGCGAAACGCGGTTTTCCACTCATCACCCTCCTTGATGCGGATGTGGCTATATGCAGACTTCAGGTCTATGACCGAGAAGATCTTGCAACCCTGCACACGATCAAGGAGGTCATTGATGAGTGGTAGTGGATACCTATTTTTCTTCGTGATGGCATTTAGCCCACGAAAGTCGACACAAAGACGGAGTTCGCCAGTCTTCTTGCGAATGAATAGTACGGGGGCAGCAGCTGAAGAGGTTGAACGACGAATGTGGCCACGTCTGAGATTGGTGGCAATATGCTCAGCCAGGGCTTCGCGCTCGGCTGCAGTAAGTCGGTAAAGAGGACCGAAGGAGGAGTTTCCCTTCTTCAAGCTCGATGTCAACGTCATAAGGACGATGTGCTGGCAACTTGTCGAATTCCAAGGGGCAAAAAACAGACTCTGCCCAAGCACGATACTTGTCCGGGATGTACTTGAGATAGTCGGATGTATCAGTGGGTGGTGCTTCGAGGGGATCAATGTCGTCGATGTTGTCAAATGAAGGAGTGGAGATGGAGTTGACAGAAGTAGGGGCTGTGGAAGGAGAGAAACGGAGGATACAAACAGAGTCAGGATTTGACTTTGCGTACTTCTTGAAACGAGAGGGACCAATCAATTTGATGTCCGGGGGTGAAGGAGAAGGGTTGAGGGTAGGAGTGGAGTGACCGTAGCCAGTCCAACGCACAAGAGATGAGAGAAAAAACGAGTCGGAGGAGGTGTAGGCGACAACAGTGGCGAGGGAGTAGACGTCTGAGGATTGTCCGTGGACGGACTGGCTGAGGAGCCCGAAATGCGAGAAGATGCAAAAAGAGTTGAGCCGGATAGACCGAAGCCTAAACCGAGCATGGAGGTGGAGTTGATAGCCAATTTGGAGAGAGGAGGCTTAAGACCGAAGCCTTTGGCCGAAATGGTGACCGGATGGGTGCGTGAGAGCCCACAACAGTTGAGCGAGAGGTTCATCTCAGCCCAATCAATGTTGGGGTTGTGCTTCCGAAGCCAATCGAGGCCCAGAATAACTGGGTACCCCACAGCAACGACAGTGAGAGGACGAGTTTCTGTGTGAGAGTCAACAGACAAGCAAGTAATGACGTCTTGGGTGATCAGCCCAGACGCAATAGGACGGTCATCAACCGCAAGAATGGGTATAGGGTTGTCCTTGAGACGACGTGGAAGTGAGTGCCATTCGGCAAAACGTTCCGAAATACATGACGCAGTAGCGCCAGAGTCAACTAGAGCATAAGTAGAGATAGGTTTTCGATTAGGAAAGGAAAGACGAATAGAAATAAAGAAATGCGAAGGTGCATTAAGATGAGAGCCGGAGTTGGCGAAGATGTATAGAGGAGCAACTTTGTTCAAAGGGGTATAGCCATCCGTCGTAAGACGGATGTGAGAGCGCTCTGATGACGGCGAAGGCGAAGGAAGCGTGTCAGTCAGATGCTTGGAGATACCTGGTGCTCCTCCTAGGCTTTTCCCGAAGAGGGATTAGCCTTTTTCTTGTCCGCAAACCGTTTCTTGGCTGCATCGGACATGTTGGGACAGGAGTCCACCTTATGACCACTGCCACCGCAGTAGACACAGAGATTCTGGGCAATGCGGCGTTCGCGTTCTTGAGCTGTTAGCGGGCCCCGACGGGTCTTCGTAGCATCGATCTGCATGGGTTCACCCTGCGGGAGAACGGAGGCCACAGCTGGTGGAGGTGGAGGCGGACGAGAGTCGAATGATGAGACCTGTTGGATTTCGAGGTCTGGCCGTGCTTGGAATTCTTGGTCTCGAGTTCATGCTGGTGGTAGTCGTTGTCGATCTCGACGCAGATCTTGACGAACTCATCGAATTCCTTTGGCTTTTGACGAACGGTGATGAGAAGTGTCTTGACGTGGTCCTTAAGGCCCTGCTTGAAGGCGGCGATCTTCGAGGACTCTGACCAATCTAAATGAACTAATAATTCTCTGAAACGAGAAGCATAGTTAGCAACAGAGCCGGTTTGCTTCAGGGACGCAATCTTCCGATAGGCGGAAGCTTCTAAGTCGCTGTCCCCGAAGTGAGCACGAAAATTCCCAATCAACGAATCAAAGTCGTCGAGGAGATGAGCGGCCGTTAGCCTGATTGCTTGGTACCACGATTTCGGGCTACCATCCTCAAGATAAGCAGATAAATAAATAGACCTGTCATAGTCAGTAATAAGGGAACGGCGCTGCAGATGAATAGCATTCGAGACTTCGTCGATGAATGCTTCAACCTCGGCAGCTTTGCCGTTGAACACGCGCGGTTCGCGGACTCGAACAGTGCCACCAGACGAATTGCTGGATGGTGCAGGGCGCGTGGAAGGGGGCTCGTTTGTGCTGAGGGCTTCAACCTTGGATGCGAGGGCTTCCAAGGCTCTGCCGGTTGCACGTTGAGCATTATCAGTAGCGGAAATAAAATTACCCATTTGCATGAATGTTTGCATCAACATGCGGTAGTCATCCCATGAGGGCATACGAGGACCTGTTGGATTAGACGGCAAAGACTGGTCCGTCGTATCAGTTGTATTAGCAGACGCTGTATCAGCGGAGGGCAGATTTCCGCCCCATGCGCTCTGTTTGAGAGGGTCCATTTATTAGTAATACACAACCGTGAGGTCGTGGCAAGGGAAAAGAAGCTCTGATGTGTACGTTACCGCTGGCGGTAACGCGGAGATCGCGTAAGATCTCGACTGGGCGAATTTTGGTAGGCGGATTCAAACTGTGATGGGCAACGTCACGACTAAGACGAGAATAGAATGCCGACGAGTCGAGGAATGAGACGAGGACCGGAAGAATGAGTAGGATGCCAATCACTGGCGTTGAATCCGCAAGAGAGTACAAGGCAGCAGACGACAGGAAAACTTCTACTACGCTTAGGTAATCTAGATGGCGCGAGAATGGCGCAATCGGAATCAACGTGACTGTAAACGATGGAAACACAAGTAAAGTGAATTATAGGTGAGGGTATCCATAACCCTCACACTGTTCGAAATTTTGTGTAGGTTTCACATAGAGCTGTTGCAGCTGATGAAGCAGAACTCGGGTCCATGAAGGAATTCTCTTTTCGTCTGTGAAGAGCCCCAAAATATCATCTGCAGCAGCCATAAACATCGCTTCCTTGACCACACTGGACGTGTTCATTTGAGCTTGTTTGACCGGGGCAGGTTTTGGAAGGGTGGTAGACGCTGATGCAGCCGTCACAGGAGTTGCGCTGATAGAAGGAGCTGGTGTACCTGTGAGGCTAGCTTCACCGCTAACAGAAAGGTCCTTTCCACGGGTATCAATGAGAGCTGCAGGGAACTTGGCAAACTCGGCCTCGAACCCAGGTGGGAGACGCGTCTTCACGAAAGCGAAGAGCATTCACTGTAGGACTAGGGGCAGTGTCGAGCGTCCAATTGTACTGTGATCAAAACATTTCAACTCCGTGGACCATGGTCTCCGCATTGGGCATTGGGAAACGTACAACATAGTCGAACAGTGTATCCAGTTACATCTGTCCCATCACTCGTGGTCCCTTGCCAATAGGGAACTGCACGGGTATACCCCCGGGTACCAGAGGTCATACCCGCACCCGTACCCGCACCCGTCAGGGGTTTACCCACGGGTACCAGGGTAGATCAGTGAGAGTTGTCCTTACCTCTGCATCAGTAGTAGCCAGTGTGCAGGCTGCGCTGTGTGACACAGCGCGTCTCTATAGGCTTGTTTAGCAAAGTTAATGGGCAAGGACTGAATGCTCACCATAGATCTGGAGGTTGAGAAACAGTACGAGACGAGCCCACCATGGGATGTGTGGTGATGGCGCAGGTGCTTCACCAGCTGTGGTAGTACCAGTACCTGGAGCAGGAGGTGTCGTGGAGGTTGAGGTGGTCGTGTGCTGAGTTTGTGATGACGACGCCTGGGTTTGGCCGTGCAATTGGCTTTGCTGCTGGGGCCGCGGCTGTGGAGCAACAACCAATGGCTGCAGATAAATCATTGAACAGCGGCGATGGGAAACATACATACAGAAAACATACGTACCTTTCTGTCTTGTACTGTAGGAAGGTCGACGATACGAGGGCCACGATGAGAGAAGACGGCGTCCTGATAGTCTAGCTCGCATAGCGCGACGGGATTTGACAAGGGGAAGATGATGGGACGCACATTCAACGCACTCATCATTTTGACGACTTGTTCAATGAATGCATCCTGGAACGAAGTGAGAGTATGAAAAACACGTACTCTGATGGTGCTATCATGGCTGTCATGAACTCGTCCATGAATTCATCCATCTGAAATATACATGAGTGGATGCATGCGTGTGTGTGGTCTCTGGGGACACACTTCTGGACCCAATGGGCGTGGGCGGCGAACGCCGATGTAAAGAGGATCATCGAGGTAGTGTTGCGTATTGGTACCCAAGTCCAGGCAAATCGGGACCTGATCAGGGTCAACTGGGTGCGGGTGGATACAAACAGGATGGACTTACAGTTGATGATGGCTTAATGCCGGCTCCAGCGATGTAGAGGTCCCTGGGTAGTTGTGTTCAGGTACAGGGTCTTCTAGAAAAGTGTCAACACTGACAGTTTCCCAAAGCGTGAAACAAGCAAAGACAATTTAGACAAGCGAGAACAGCGCAAACAAGCAATTACCATTTTTGGAAGGTACGGGTACACCACGGGTATGGGTTTGAGTGCGGGTCTCGAAATCTCAACCCGTACCCGTACCCGTGACCCGCACGGGTTACCCATACCTGTGCAGATCCCTACTTGCCAACTAGCCTGATAGGAATGTCATATATCATGATCAACCTGAAAGCGACAAAAAGATATTGTCATGAATGTGCAAAGTGCAGAGAGAAGAGAATACACACTTTGATTTGCGCTTGCCGAGCTCGACATCACCTTCATCAATCCTCACAGAAGAAATCGCAATGTTTCCCTCGGTCCCTTCGATTACGAGAGCTGTCCGCTCTTGCTGAAATCATTCCTTTGCCCATGGAGCATCATTTTGTTTTTCCAGTGCCAGTTCACAGCAGAAGTTGGCATAGCCATCTTGGTGAGGATGCGCTGGGTGTTTGACGCAACACCTCAAGATTGCTGTTGAACCTGGTTCGAACGCGAACTGGACCTCGTGAATGTGTTCAGAGGTGTTCGGTCCAGAGTTCGACCACCAGCTGAACCTGAACCTTGGGTAACTAGGTGACATTGAATGGGTGTAGGAAGAAGTGGATGATGCGGAAACATAATCTCCTGAAAACTTGAAGGTAGGTGGAGGCTGGCCACTGGTTGATGATGGACAAGCGAGAACTGACACGTGAAGACACTCATCACGTAGAACGGGAGATGTTGGCCGTTCAGGTACCCAGCCCACAGAAGACACGCAAAGAAGGTCACATTAAATAGGCTTAGTGCAGAACGAATGCCATCGCCCAGACAGACTGTGGCCCATGGACTTGACTCCAGCCTTTCGTTGTCCTTCTTGTCCTGAGATGCTGCTTCTCGTGGGGACCTGAAAGACGAGGGCATAGGAAATTGCACCATGGTGGTACGAACAGGGCAGTTCAACAAACAGACACTGTGGGGCGAAAAGGTGAAGACTGAGGAGCAGTGCTCATGGAGGAAAACTTTGGCAAAGAGATACTTGGGGTATTGAGAATGTAGTTAATTAATCAGTAGCTCGTACTTGGTCTCCTCCACCATTGGGATTTTATGCATAATTAGTATTGAAAATGTTGAAGTGTCTGCGCTGATTTCTTTTCTGCTTGTGTGCGCGCGTGAAATTCCTGTGTGCACATGATTTAATTATGGTGCAAACGGCCCCCATAGTGGGCGTTCTTCATCTCTTCTCACGATGAGCGGACACGACATACTGGCAATATGCGCAGCTATTCTTTCTTCATCATCGCCTCTGAGCTAGATGAGGAACTCCTCGTTGCGAGTCTGCAACCTTGGGACGACACAATGTCAAATGCTCTCGTGTGGTGCGTGTGCAGCCAGTGCTGTCTTGCTGATGGTGGTCGACTCAATTTTTCAAGTCGCCGTGGGCACACCCATCGTCTTCTCTCATGATGATGGTGTGCACAGCATATACTGCTTCCTCTGCAACATTCATTATCCCTGCCGTATGAGAGTACGAGATGCTGCCCAATTCACAGACATGTCTGTCATCGGCCATTTCAAGTACCACTCGAGGTAAGACCTATCGACGCTCTGAAGACTTTGACACATTTCTTACCCATCAATTATCAGGATGATGCAGGTGAGTTTTCTTGGATCTACACAGTGATTGGAAATTCTACTTGAAATATAGCTCTACGAGTTAGCATCAGATAGCATTCCAAAGATATTGTGAGCGCATATATTTGATGTGAGTGACTAGGCTCATGTCAAAAGAGCCTTTAGAATGGATTGCAGGCGGCCCAGGGGAGTGGGATGACACACAGAAGAGCCTCGATGATCGACATTATCCAAAGGTATGTGATTGTGTCACCTGCTTATTGTCGACTGACAGTCTTCCTCAATAAGGACCAGATCAACTTAATATATGCACCTATATCTGTATCAAGACCCTCCTCATCTTCCGCTCATCCTCCGTTGGTGTACCATTGTTGCTTCTGCATCCTCCTGGTGACCACGTAAGTACCTCAGATTCTGTGATACTCATATCTGGCTCACACCCGAGGAGGTTTAGCAATGTTGTGGGACCAGACACACTCGTCCTGACTCCCCCCTTTCCTGTTTGGCTGGTCATGCTCGCCTCGTGTTAGACATGCTACTAGGTACAGTTTCTGGCTTCCTTTTCACACCTGGTGACCTGTTGCTGATCGTGGCTTGAAGGACACTGGCTGGCTTCTTTGGCGTGATTCTGATGAGCGCTACCATAATCATGGTCCGGGAAGGGTGCAGCTTAGGTGGATTGGTCAAAACATGCAGGGTGCAGGGCTGGAAGAGCAGGATTGAATGGATTAGAACGATATCTAGGCTACTGCAAATTGAACTGTTTCGAGTAGCTTGACCATGTGCAAATAACGGCTTCTGATTATTCAGGGGAAATGAGTTCCTTTATTGGGCGATAACTTGCTGATTACTTGGACAAACGGTAAAATAAAGTTGACATGTTTATCTTATGGTTATCCGTTGTATATCTTTCCGTTACTTGATGTTTCCACAATATATCCCCCTGCCATTATTTGACCCCAATTTCCCATCGATCGGGATGTTTGGGGTTATAGTTTTCTGCTTGCACATGTGTTTTGCCTCGGTCGCTTTGCTACAAGTACTATCACTCACTACTCCGCCTTATTCATCAATGCAACACACAAAACGAGCAGAGATTAGATCACTAAGACAGCTGGACCTGCGAGGGACATATGTGACCTGTGTCAGCGATGATTTCTCGACTGATGTGACTGCGGCCGCGCAGCCAGAATCATTTGAATTCTGCATGAATGGCCACGAGGGAGGGAATCGTTGAGACAGAAGCCCAGTGGAAGTGACTCGAATCAATTTCAGATAAGTGCTATTTTTAGTACTTAACTTCGCCCGGGCCAGCCATCCTCAGAATTTCTCACACAATCTCAGCCTGGTCTCAAAATTCCCCAACCTCGGCGGCACAATCTCAGCCATTCTGGCAGGTGCAAGACCTCTGTATTCACTTCCCGTCCGAATGTTGGCCCATCTCGTGCTTTCTCTGCTGTGCGTCTCCTCAACACGATGACAATACCAACCATCTCTACGGTGTTTCTCGTGAGTCTTATGCTTGTATGTCCAACGTTTTTGAGAGTAGGAATTGGGTTAATTCTTCACTAGATTTCGGTTGGGTTTTCGCTCAGCATATCTGCAATCGCCTGGGTCCTGCGTACCTCCACCTCAAGAATATCTTGGACAAATCGAACCCCTTACACGCTGAGGTGCTCAATGATATCAAGAGATGCGCATTGAGCAAATCTTCACGCGAGAGAGCATTGCTAAAGTCATTCATGCACACGCTGAAATTGTGGTTGCCAGTTTCGCTCAAGACGTCGCATTAATAG